TATCCTCATTGCTAATCACCCATCAGTGCGCGAGAAAGCTAAGCAGCTAGAAAAGGACCTCGAGGCACACTGGGAGCTCACAGACCATGGGGAAGCTGAATGGTTCTTGAACATTCGAATCATCCGCGACCGCAGTGAACATAAGCTTTGGCTATGCCAAGATGCCTATATTAGCAGTATGGCAGCCCGATACAATCTGACAGACCGTCCGCCGGTCTATACACCACTGCCAGTGGAAGAAATGAAGCCATACGATAGCACTGCAACCCCTGCAGAGGTCAAACTGTACTAAGGAAAGGTGGGATCTGTGCAATATCCCACTACAATTACTAGGCCAGATGCAGCGAAGGCAACCGCCAAACTCTCACAATTCCTTCAGAATCCTGGGCCTCAACATCAACGTGCAGTGGATAGGGTCATCTGCTATCTCTATACCACGCGATACCTCGCTTTGCAATTCGGTGACAAAGGAGATATGGAATCGATTGAATTGGCAAGCGACGCTTCTTTCGCAGATAACAGAGATCGCCGAAGCTCTGCAGGTTATATCTGCCAGGTTTATGGTGGACCAGTAGATTGGAAAGCTACCAAGCAACCCACAGTCACCACATCGACTACCGAAGCCGAATTGCTTGGATTATCCGACGCAGGAAGATCTCTCCTATGGTGGATGAGGTTTCTCGACCGAATCTCATTCAAACCAAGCCACCCAATCACATTAAAGTGTGACAATCAACAGACAGTCAACCTATTGACTTCGGAGCATGCCAAAATCGATACAAAGCTTCGTCACGTCGATATCCATGGGCACTGGCTAAGACAAGAGATTAGAGAAGGTCGAATCATAATTCAATGGGTGCCTACTGCCAAGATGGCAGCAGATGGGCTCACAAAGATCCTGCCACGCCAGAAACATGAAGATTTCATCAAGATCTTGCGCATGCAAGATATACAGCACCTAATTGAGGTGTAATTGAGAGAAAAGAGAGAGCTGTTGGAAGAGATTCAGCGCTCATCTCGATTGAATTCAACAAGGAAGACCAATTGGCGAAGCTATTCAACACTCGCTAAGCGCTGAGGGGGTGTGTCGGAGCAGAACCAGGAGTGGATACTCGGAAGAAGGAATTACTATAGACCCGCATGTATTAGTCATTATTTTGCCCACCAAATTGCTAGCTAGGGGCTTCTTTGCAATTCAGACCTGTTGAAATCCGATTGGTGCACCTAGATGAGCTCAGCAGCCCAGTTCCGATAATATAGTACATAAATACACGCCTGTATAGTAACAGAGATTCCAGGACGCGGATAGGAAGTAGACAGAGCTACGTTTATGGGTATTACCGATTCCAGGCATTCTCGTACAAAAGGACTGCCATGGTAGTTGCCTCCCGATAACGCGCGAGTAGGGGGTTTTTCTCGTGCGGTGAAGGGCGTTCCCTATCCAGTTGTTTTACCGCTCGGGGTACAGAGTAACTGAAAAACAGATAGCAATCCCAGCATCCGACTAATGAACGGAGATGGCTCACTCTGTGGCTAGGAAGTTATACTTGAAAGTCGTCTGGCTTCCTGTGAACGCAACTTGGAGCCCCGTCTGTGAATATCGCAACGGATGCGGGCATCGGAATTACCCAAATTCCGGGATGAGGGGTTCTCCACAAGCCGCTTGATCGCTACGTTCCACCAATCTTACATTCAAAGCAAGAATCTTTACACCCTCCCTAACGATTTGTTCATCTTACCATCTTCAGAGGTATAACGCCTGAGAGGAAGGCTCCTTGGCGCCCCTTGATTTCATAGTAGAGTAGGGACTGCCAGGTAATTGTAGACGAGATGCCAGTGAATCTGTCGAGCTCCTTGAGCGAGCCAGCCACCCTGGTCGTGGGATGGAGCCACAGTGGGTCTCCATGGTTCGTTCTTTGTTTGCTACATAGGGTGTGGTACTTTATCAAGCAAACAAAGAAAGCCTCGAGCATAAGGAGGACGCCGAAAAGTTCTGCTTTGCTTTACCCCTGAGTTTGAGACACTCCTTGATCTCTCTAGCAATTTATCTCAGACCTAGCCCAGTCGCAACCTTCACAGAGCTCGATTTACAATGGAGAAGATCAAGACCTTGCGTACGCTCCTCCCGGCGGAAGCCAAGCACACAACGCAGTCCTTGGAAGCAGGCCCGGGTAAAGAGATGCGACGCAACATTCTCTTGCTTGCACAGCGTGTCAGAGAAAGAAAACTAAGGTCCAAACCCCAAAAACAACTGCTAGGTGTGACGACAGGGCTAACATCATAACTGGAAGTAGTGCTCCGGAACAATGCCGTGCACAAGATGTGCAACTAGCGCACAGCAGTGTCTATACGATCAGAACAGTGACCGTAGACGGAAGGAGTACACGGCCGGGCTGTTGAAAATTCAAACCACTCTTTTTCGAGTGGTTGCTACGCTGCGCTCCGCTACTCCCGATGAGATATCATTGTTGCTCTGGCAGGTTCAAAGCTTGTCAACAGATCAAGAGGCATATAATTTCCTTATTCAATTGTGGGCAGAATAAACATGGGATGGCTAGTACAAATGCAAGGAAGCCAATAGTATTGTTTGTGAACACGCTTGCTTGTCCCACTTTACACCTGCCAAGATAAGTCGTAAAGCAAATCAGATTCGTTGATATCTTATTGATGCACCGGTAAGACGCACTAAGTAGGATATTCAGCTCGCTGCCAAGCCTTGGTACTCATGACAATAGCCAGCAAAATGAACAGTGTTCATGAACTCCACATGTTGTGTTCACATTTGCAACAGGATAAACTTTCAAGAATAACGTTCTTAATTGGGTTGAAAAGTAGCCCTTGGTTCATGATATGAGAGTCGATAGAAGTAATCTCAGGATGCCCTCATAGTCTAAATTGACCAGCCCCCCTTTCTAACCTTCTTTTATTTCGCTAATATTGGAAGCAAAAATGCCAGGTTCATGCCCGTAACAAATTACCACGTTTCTGGAGCAAGGGAACAAGCTTCGTGTGGCGGTCAATATAATGGGGCCTATGCAAAAATGATAAGTCAAGTGGAAGACATTCTAGAAGAAGATACTGAAACCAGTCAAGCCACGGTTCGATGTCTTCGTGCCGTAACCGACAGATAATTTAGTTTAGAAATCACAAACGCGAAAGCCGTCGACAAAATCATGATGAAAACAACGGAGTACTCTCCACTTCATCGTCTAAACACCAAAGTGGATGTAGGGAATCCAGTAAGTGTTCAGAAGCTCTTTTTCTGCAGTCCCTAAGTCCAGATGAAAGGCCTTTCTCGCCTCCTCCCCCGTCTCAATGAGCCTGGCGCGTAACTCTCGTACGGCTCGGTGCAGTCCCCAGCAAACCGCCGCGTCCGTCATGCCTTCATTTTGGGTGTAGAGTATTCTGACTAATAGGAGAGCAATATCTGTAAGCAATCGCCGAGGTGCCTCGTGGGCGTTTTGAGGCTTTTGAAAGTGGTAAATATGGTGATGTCATCGATTACGAAGTCATAGAATGTGGCTGACCAGGGTCTGGAGCAAGAGAGGTGGGCAATTCGCCAGGTCCCTCTATATTAAATAACGGATCGGATAGTTCTAGCCAAAATATTCATGAATCCTTACCTCGAAAGCCGTTCTGAGAAGTCTGGGGAATGGCGGAAGAAAATGAGCCAGAGCAATCTTGAACTCACATTCACGGTTCATGAGCAATCACCTATCCGTTATCAAAATTTCCGAACTGCTATAGATGTGCCTAGTAGAAGACTCGGTTTCAAGTATTCAAAAGATGGGGCAGAACGACCCTGATGAAAGACTGGTTTATCTGGCTTGCCAACATATTTTCCGTGGCTCTAACTCCCACGTCCGAAGATCGAAAACAATTAGGAGCTTGATTCAAGAAAACGAGCCTTCTCTCACAGATATTCTACGGGAACACAATATCAATCGTACCATTAAAGTTGTGAAAAAGCTGCTTGAGGATCAAGTTTTTGACGATACTTTGAAAGCCAAGATACGATTCCCGGAATTGTTTGACGTATCACCAACTCAAAGCGCTGAGAGAGAAGCTTCAGAAGCAGAGGCGGCGAGAGGTGAAGCAAGTGCGGTAAGGGAGATCTCCGAAAGGGAAGTCGCCAGAGATATCGGTATCGTTCCTCAAGCAAAACCAGATAACAAGGGGGACAGGGAATCAGAGAGTAGGTATATCCGATTCACAGAAATCAAACCCCAATACAATTTATTTACTCCAACAGAATCACACTTACAGAGAAAGCCAGATATCAATAAACCCATTCCATCGCTATATCCAGTATACATACAGTATCGGTGTCAACATCTTATCACTACCACGATACAAAAATTACTCGAAGAGAGTTGTTTTGAGTTCGCTCAGCAGCATTTTCCTCGCGTTTTAGCAATAAAAGGCTGGGATTGCCCTGAGGCAGGAGAACTAACAGAATGGACGAAGCTCCTCTCTCAGCATCCTCCGCAGCCGGCAAAGGGCATAAATAAACCGACCCACGAATTATTTAGCCTTCTTCATGAGTTGCGACACTCTGCAGTCCACAGACTTCGAAAGACTGCAAATGGTATCGAACGGCTTGCCGAAAATGCACAGCTTTTTCTTGAAGCCTTGGATGATTTAGTTCGTTCAGAAAAGGTTTCGGTACTTCGAAGAGAGCTGAAAGGCGCAATTGAAGAGCTCAAGCGCAACAAAGATCTTTTAGAAGGGAAACTACACACGCAACTCAAGGATATACAAAAAAAGCGAGCCGAATTGGATATATGCGAAAAAAATGCAATCGAATCTATGCGTCTCGATGATCAACAATGTCAGAACGATATCGGAGAAGGGTTGGATGGCACCATTCGAGATTTGATATCAAACGAAAGACAAAATGCGAAAGGGAAGGGAAAATTGTATTCTATAGACCATGGGTTGTATGAATCGGAAGATGAGTCTCCCGGGGCCGATTTAACAATTTATAGCCCGGAATTGGACTAGGGCTTTTCGAAGTTTATATCGTCTCTACTGATATCCAGCCAGTTGCGCGCAATATCGTACCGAACTCCAAACAAGTCATGGAGTAGGCTCTGGGTTTCCGCAGCGTATCTGGCAAACGTCCGGCCGTGCCATAGATCGAGGAGAACGATACCGAGCTCAAGCATTACTCGCCGAACATTGCAGACCTGTATTGCTCCAAGAGCGGGAGGAAACTTGTGGCTGACGAATGGCAGAAACCCCCAACCTGCCTTGTCGTAATCGCCGGGGAAAAGGCGGATCATGTTGCTATTTGGAGGGAGCTGAAAGCATTGCGTCGAAACACTGTCAAGTAACTAAGACCCTGAGAAGGTATTGGACTAAATACCGCAATTTATACGGATTCTTCCTTTTTATATTCCCTGTCAAGACCCTTTCCTCAGGTGCTAAATCAACCTAAGCTCTCTATCTGGAAGTTGCCTTGAAGTGGTCTATTTTACGCATGCACCAAAGGGTCCTACTTATTGATTGGGCTCAATACGGCGTCGAGAAAATCAGCGTGCTATTAAAGGAGCGACTGTAACTCCTAAATCGATTCTTGGATATTAGTACTTATCGAATTCAAATATGCTATGCTCATTGCGCTCTCGAGCTGCCCGTTATAAAAAGTAAACCTCGGAAACAAATTCCGAGGGGCAGGGTACGGGCATCGGAAATACACAAATTCCGTCATGGGACTCCACAGACCTTAACGCATTTATGTCACGTGAAGGTCTAGAAATACGAAGCAAGAATTTCTAGACCTAATTGGCGATTCATTTAGGCCACCAAGTTGATGATTCTAACGTGCGCCTGCTAGGAAGGACCCTTCACTTACCTTATCCGCATACTCGCTCATTCGAAGAGTATTGGTCGATGGGGGGCTTACTAGGCATAACAGTACAGGGAACGTTTCTACCTGCCTGCAGACGCTACTTGGAGGCCGGTACCACAACGGATGCGGGTATCGGAATTACATATATTCCGGCATGGCAGTTAGCCAATCTGGCAGCGGCATAAAGGCCATAGTGGGTCTCCTGGGTCAGTTCTTTGTTTGCTTCGGAGGGTACGGTACTTTATAGAGCAAACAAAGAAATTCTCGAGCATAAGAAGAAAGCTGAAAGTTCTGCCTTCCTGTTGCCCCTGAATTCTTGATACTCTCACTGATCCCTGTAGCAATTTTTCTCAGACCTGGCTCAGTCGCAACATTCAGTGTTCATCTCAGACACAGCGCTCGATTTAAAATGGGAACGACTAAGACCTTGCGTACCCTCCTGCCGGCGGAAGACAAGCACACAATGCAGTCCTTAGAAGCAAACCCGGGTAAAGAGATGCGACGCAACGTTTCTCTCGCTTGCACAGAATGTCAAAGAAAGAAGACCAAGGTTTGACCCCCGAAATATAACTGCTGAGTTTGACGACAGGGCTAACATCATAAGCTGGAAGTAGTGTTCGGGAACAGCGCCGTGCACGAGATGTGCAACTAGTGCACAACAGTGTCTCTATGATCAAACCAGTGATCGTAGACGCAAGGAGTACACGGTCGGTCTGTTCAAATTTCATACTACTCTCTGCCAACTGGCTGCCACCCTGCGCTCTGCAGCTCCCGAAGAGCTATTGTCGTTGGTTTGGCAGGTTCAAAGCTTGCCAACAGATCAAGAGGCAATCGATTACCTTGTTCAGGTGTTGGGTTAGTACATATTGATGGACTACTACAACGACGATGGAAGACAGCAGTTCCGTTTGTTGCGCATTATGCCTCGCTGAACAGAAGATCGGTCAACAGATGTGATGAATTTACATCGGATTGAGTTATGGTATTGCTTTTTCCGTTATTGCCGGGTAAATTGTTAATCCTCAACTGAGAAGGGAATACAGAAATATATATACCTCTATATCATACTGTATATTTATGGACATTTGCATTGGCCAAGGTTTTCCATCGACCTCGCGTAACTATCAAATACAAATTATACGGAATTAGTGGAACGGGCAAATCTGAGACCCAGATTCTACCACAGGAACGAGGAACTTCACACTGTAACAATAAATCTCCCGGTCAGTACAATGAGAAGGCAAAACTTTGCGGATCCAGAGCCAGAGTTCTCGGATTTTCAATTTTCCGCCGCGTGATAAGCTCTAGTCCATAATAGAATCGAAGGGACACGCCTCTAGCACGGCTAGATATCCATATATCTACATAAGCCTACTACATGGAGAGTTCCTAAACAGATGTACAAAAACCGCGCCCTTTCACAGTACTCCTATCTCAGGTATTTAGTTCAAGATCTTCGGACTCGCCTCCTCAGGCTCCCAGGTTAGAGGTCTTGTTCTCATCTCTTCCAGTTTCTTCTCAACCACCGTTTCCAGATTTGCTCTTTTGTCTTCGGTAAGAGGATCTATCCGTTCTTTCCAACGGCCGTCTTCTGTGCTCATTCCGGGTCCATAGAATCGACCACCGAGCTTTGTCCTTTCCACGCCGCATAGGTGACCCAAAAATCACCACCCTCCCGGCTTTGTTGCCATCGCCCAAACCCGCCTATTCCACAGTATTTACCACATTTACACACATAATATATGATATTACTAGTGTATTACCAGTGTAATGGGCACACCCCCACTAACCTGTCCGCCTATGGACGGACTCTGCCGAGGTCTATACCTAGCTATATTTGATCATCCAATTTCCTACCTATATGGCACGAAAGACTCAGCTATCTATTTCGGTGATAGCTAACTAGATAACCAGATCTTTACTGCTTCATCAGGCATCATCTCCGACGTTTAGTTACCTACGCGGAAAAAGGTGGTGTCCTAGAGACACACAAAGATGTTCCCGATGACATCGGGGAAGAGTCATACATGGAGGAGCAGCAGAGACTGGAGAAAGGAAAGCGCAAGGGCGAACATATCCTCGCGATTGGGGCCCCCTATCCTCCCATCAACATTAATGTTCTCCCGTCGCAGTCTCATTTCTCTGGATTGGATATTGCGGCTTCCAGGACGGCTGTTGACTCAGCAGGATTAAAGGATTTGGGTCCATTGAACACCCCTGGTTCAAGGATGTAGCCATTAAAGAATTTGGCGAGTGGCTGCCTCCAGTGTAGAGGTTGACACCCTCAAGGCTGCATTTCGACAAGCGTGTGTCGTAATGCTATCAGATGGCTTCGACCTTGAGCACATCTACAAGGATCAAACCCTGAATTCTTCATTGACAAGGGAATCAAACCCGGAATTGCACGAAGTTTCGTTGAGAATATTCGTGACTGGGTTGAAAATACCAATTGTCGAGGAGATGTAACCATTTTTCGTTGGGAGCGGCTGGGCATTTTCTTGAGATTGTGGGTTTACTTTTGGAGATTTTTATAAAGTACGAATATATATTTGGGTCTATTTGGCGTTGTGATTCTTTAACGGACATATGTCATTAAGAGAGATCCTTCGGGAAAAGCCACCCCAAGACACTCAAGTTCTCAGCTGCTGTTACAGTACAGTAGCACAGCATGTTTTTTTCCCCTCCATCATCATTTCTTCCCCTGGAAAACCCTTTGGCTCTCATTTCCTGAGGATTGAAACATATTGGAGATAATGAGTGTCTCGAGATACAGGGGTTCTCGAAATCGCCTTGACGGGTACACTCATAGTCACTCTTTTCTTGCCCCACTGCCAAGGCCTTAGCGTAGATTATCCATTGAACTACTCGTACTTTGCTGAAGAACACCGTAACCTGCGCCTAGTATACTACAGTACATAACTCCGTAATAATATACCACGTGGACGAAAATTGAGTGGAATTCCGTGGAAGCTAATGGTGGGTCCGCAAACCATGTGTAGGGGTCACCTCGCACCTTCCGCGACACGGGCAGATAACAAGAGTATTATAGAATATTCTCTTATCAGTATAGAGCCGTATGAATTTCCCTTTTTCCTCAGAATAAAAAGATGAGAACATAGAGAAATGAATAGAAACCCAAAGTCGTTCACATCTATGTACAAAACCTGATGAAGGAAACCCGCCCTGATGCGTGTCCCAGGGCGAGTGTATCACCATTGATCTCGAAACAAGTTGGCCGTGACTCGACAGGAAGCCAGAGAATCTTTTCACCATTCAGGCCTATCCATTTCCCATGCTCAATAGAAATACCGATCTTCGGATGGGGCGGGTCAGGCGTGTGAGGCGAAGGAATGTTCCTGGATTGGATATCAAGAATGCGAGCATTGGAGTGGATAGATAAACCGTCGGAGGAAAACTTTACTGTGAGGACCATTTTCCCAACATCCCAAGTTTGTGTGAGGGCGCCTATCATCGGGTCCCAGAGCCGCACAGTGTTATCGATGGAGCCGGACGCCAGCAGCCGGCTGTCCGGTGAGAAGGCAACGGACCAAACAGAATCCGAATGGCCTTCAAGAGTCTGTTTGAGCGCGCCTGTCGCTGGGTCCCAGAGCCGGACTGTGTCATCCATGGAACCGGACGCCAGTAGCCGGCCGTCGGGTGAGAAGGCTACCGACAAAACCGAATCCGAATGGCCTTCGAGCGTATGTGTGAACGCGCCTGTCGCCGGGTCCCAGAGCCGCACAGTATTATCGATGGAGCCAGACGCTAGTAGCCGGCCATCGGGTGAGAAGGCCACTGACCAAACCGAATCCGAATGACCTTCGAGCGTATGTGTGAACGCGCCTGTCGCCGGGTCCCAGAGCCGTACTGTGCTATCACCAGAGCCGGATGCTAACAGCTGGCCGTCGAGCGAAAATGCCACTGACTGAACTAAATTGGAATGGCCTTCGAGCATCTGGGTGAGCTCACCTGTCGCTGGGTCCCAGAGCTGTACTGTATTATTGCTAGATCCGGACGCTAATAGCCGGCCGTCGAGCGAGAAGGCCACCGACCAAACCGAATCCGGATGGCCATCAAGCATCCGGGTGAGTGTGCCTGTCGCCGGGTCCCAGAGCCGCACAGTGTTATCGCAAGAGCCAGACGCCAGCAGGCGACCGTCAGGCGAAAAGGCCACCGACTGAACCGAATCTGAATGGCCTTCAAGCGTCTGTGTGAATGCGCCTGTCGCCGGGTCCCAGAGCCGCACAGTTTTATCGCGAGAGCCAGACGCCAGCAGGCGACCGTCAGGCGAAAAGGCCACCGACTGAACCGAATCCGAATGGCCTTCGAGCATCTGGGTGGGCACGCCTATCGCTGGGTCCCAGAGCCGGACTGTGTTATCGCTAGATCCGGACGCTAGTAGCTGGCCGTCAGGCGAAAAAGCCACCGACCAAACCGAATCTGAATGGTCTTCGAGCATCTGGGTGAGCTCGCCCGTCGCCGGGTCCCAGAGCCGTATTGTGTTATCCTGCGACCCAGACGCCAGCAGCTGCCCGTCGGGTGAGAAGGTCGCCGACAAAACCGAGTGCGAATGGCCTTCTAGCGTCTGGACGAGCACGCCGGTCGCTGGGTCCCAGAGCCGCACTGTGTTATCGTGAGAGCCGGAGGCCAGCAGCCGGTCGTCAGGCGAGAAGGCCACCGACTGAACCCAACCCGAATGGCCTTCGAGTATCTGTAGTTCTGCATCCCATCCTTCCACGACTCGTGGTAACTGGCATATCCAAGTTGGATTCTCTCGTTTGAACTGTGCACGGATTATTGCTGTCTGGGGTGCAAATATAAGGCCTGCACAATAAACTTGAAGGGGCGCTAGATCAATAATCTGGTAGTTTTTCAGAATAAACCGCTTTGCATCGTGAAGAAAATCCGAAGTTAGGGAAGAGTCATTGCCCTAGAGCTATTAGTGTGAACTATATGACCTGTCTGCGCAACTAACCGATATGGCCCCTTGCAGCCGATCAAGAATGCCTAGGATTTCCGATGTAAGACCGAGTATGCTCATTGCTTCCACCCAATGTAGGAAATGTTTTCGTAGAAAATGCCTCTCAAGAAACAACAGAGCCCTATATGTCATTTTATCCAAGTTCGCGCATTTCACTAGATGGTATGCCCAGTATCGACAAGCATACTTTAACTCCGGAGGAAGGTTGCTATCGACAATATGGAGATCAATCTCCGTACGTTCGGTTCCATCACTTGGTAATCCACAGATATTTTTCCGTAGACTATAACATATCAGGAGGCATTGTTTAGCCAACCTACAGTGCATCTCTGTCTCGTTTATTCCCAAGGGGGTTTTTTTCCGGGTTTCTGGATCAAGAAGAAAGTCTCGAAATGACAGGTGAAAGAGCCGCACAGGTACCGTTTCATTATCTGGCACTCTTAGCACGGAGTGTAGTGGATCTAGTCGAAGATGAATAAGCCTCTCCTTGATACCTAGAAGCCTCGAAAGCGAGGCAACAGAGAGTGGGCTCTCTAGTATCATGATGGCTCCAATTACCTGCCGGAACTCCGATACCAGCTTTGCTTTGTACTTCTCGTGTTTTGTGTTAATAAGACGCTTAAGAACCGGAAGGTACGTCTGGTCTAGCTTCGATTGGTCATATTGACATGTAAGGATCTCTGTGAGACTATCCCTAGGGTCCCAAACCGGGTCGTCAAATATACGACAGATCGTGGCTGCGAAAATGAACAACGGAACAGATAATGCCACTAGCTTTTGTAGATCTCCGTCACCAGGCCAGTTTGTTGGTAGGGAGCGTTCTGTTCTAATCTCCTTCAATCGGTAATCAAAGAACAACGATATATCATGCTTGATCACCTCGAGAGGGATGTCATGGAGAACAAAGTCTCTATAGTCATCGTCCGCAATCTTCAAAAACCCCAGACGAATCGGGAGATCAGGCCTGCTAGTCAAAAACACACGTAGACGTATAGCAGGTAAATTTTGTAGCTGTGGGAGAAGTTGGAGTATAAGCCGAATGTCCCCATCTCCCTCACATTCATCTAATGCGTCGATCACTATCACCGTGGCCTGGGTAGGGATTTTAGATCGGTCGAGGCTGTGGAGTGGCTGAAGAAGGAGTTTTTCGAATTGTTCCCGCATTGTCTTTGTTATGATACCTGGGTTCTCGCGGACTGTTTCCTGGAGGACTAGGGCGATCTCAGGAATGTTGATAGCCAGTTGCCTTGCGATTGTCGGGAAAAGTTTTCTTGCGTTCCCTCGATCCCCTTCGCCTCTCTTGAAGAAAAAGCTCGCTCCAAGTGATTGAGATAGGCTGAATGATTTTGCCACGGTTCGAGAGATGGTCGATTTTCCGGTTCCTGCTATTCCATTCAGCCAGAATATGCATCTGCCCTGTGGTGACGAAGCCCATTCGCTGATCTGGGAGAGGAGATCCGTTCTTGTGCCTGGAAGACACTGATCTTCATGTTGATCTACGTATGAGTCGAACGCAGCCCCAGACACAGGAGATAACTTGTCGTCAAGATCTGCATAGAGGTTAGCATGATCGACACTTCACAAAGATTCTCATAAAATACCCCATGGAAGATGAAACTCGTTTGAGACCGAACCGTAGTTGGCCCCTATCTGTGATCCATAATTGGAGCCACGGAATGACGCGGTGGAACCCATGATTCATGGAAATAAAGGAACCTTGACCGTATGGGGTTGAAGTGACACGAACCGTGTGTCTGCATGTCAGCTTCTGGTCTCCGCCATCGGAAGGACTGTCGGCCCGAACCAGCCTCGACCATGCTCATTTCCGCCCCATCAGCCAGCCATAGGTATGACATAATTCAACTCGGGTTATTGTCGGTCCGCAGGTCGCGTCCAGTGCACGTGCCAGGCATCCTGAGAGGAAAGTCGGGGACACCTTTGGGGATGGGGGGAGGGGAGGCAGATCATCAGAGAACGAGGAACGGCAGTTAGGCCACGGTAGGCCTTGACGAGGCTCTAAGTTCGTTTTCAGGAAGTGGAACACTACATGTACGTACGCACGGATAGATATAGTTGAGGCAGCCTGCATATCGCTTTCGAACGAGGGGTCAGGGTAAATGATATCAACCAACCAACCAACCAACCAACCGACTGCGACTTCCAGCTACTTATAGTCTCTCAAAAAAGCTGCTATACACAAGGCTATGACAATGACCTTCACGTCCCCAACTGCTCTGTCAATTCTAACCAATGGGCTGCTTACACTGCACCTTTTTCCCAAGTTAACTGCCCATCCTAAAACACATATGTTACCCGAGTTCCATTCCAACCGGAAGTGTGGACCCAGAGAAGGAATCCTACAGGGATAATGAAGCAATGTTGGTTTCGTGGTATCACACTCCCATTCAATCGTATCGTTTCTAGGAAGTGCGGGGGATTGTAGACGGGATGACAGCGAATCGGTCAAGCTCCCTGAGCGAGCGAGCCAATCTGTACACAGCCAGGCTGTTGAAATTTCATACTACTCTGTGCCAACTGGCTGCCACACTACGCTCTGCAGCTCCTGAAGAGCTATCATGGTTGATTTGGCAGGTTCAAAGCTTGCCAACGAATCAAGATGCAGTCGATTACCTTGTTCAGATGTTGGATTAATGCACATGGATGGACTACCACAACAGCCAGAGGAGTCAGCAATACTGTCTGTTGAGTTGCGCATTATGGCTAGCTGAACAGAACGTTGGTCGATAAATATATTCTGAACACGGGTGCTTGTCTCAGTGTTGTAGTTCCAATTGCCTAGCATAGGGCTGGATGTTTGTCTTGATATTTCTAAGGTGCGTCCCTGGTATACGCCGCGCGCGTTCCTGCACGGATCTGTCAAGTCATCGTTGGTTAGAAGATACGATTTTTGTGTGAAATAGCCACATCATTGATTGATTAACTAGAAGTAACGAAGCTCATGGAGTGGTGGCTATTTGACAACCGACAGCAACGATCGTGATCAACGTGTTGAGCAAGATACTTGGAAGGAAGGCGTTTTGCAAATCGGTCTTGCTGATAATTGTGAGCCACACACAAACGAAGGCAAAACAAGCCACCTGCGTCAACAGTGTCCATGAAATAAATCTCAAGAACGAAATTCCCTCTATGGCGTGCAGACCCCAGCCTTCTGTGCCAAAGGTCTTCTGAATGGAAGGTGGAGCAATCTTTTTTGGTATCATTGGTAGGACTGACATCGTAGAACTACCCCACGAAGGATTTTTTAGACCCTTTGTTATGTTCTTTGCTGCGACTCTGACATGGGTCTCAGGTGAACTCATCTCGAAATCGTATTCTAGCCTCGACGTCGGAACTTCATTTGGGCCAGGATCGACTTCATTATGATTATCTCGCACCAGTTGAAACTGTATGATGAGCTCGTGATGTGTTAAGAAAGGGCTACTACACTTACTTTGATAAATTCAACCGAATGACAGGATTTCCAAGTGAGATAGTGCCTGACACGACCACGAGCTTTGATATATTCAGACTGGAGGTTTCTGTAAAGTTCCTCATCGTCGCGAAGGGTTTGGGAATCTGCCAGCACCGAAAGTAACGTTTCTCGAATCTCACACCAAGGCCTATCAACACACCAGTATATTTCTTTGGAGACGTGTGATGATCTGTTTGTATTTTCATCTTGGTCGAGGGCGCTGTCTCCAAGACGACCCGTGCCATTGTCGAAGGTAGGAGAAGTGCTGAGGTGGCGGTGAGCTGAGCTTTCCGAGGAATTATCTTGTTGATCATTCCTGGAAATCGGTTGTACGATATCCTGTCGGTGGCGCGGTAGAGCTTGCTTCGATTGAGCTTTAACTTGTGGTGATAGCGACAAACACTGTCGGCGGTATCGGGTTGCTTCATCCACTGACAAGTGGATCCAAAGCTCTTCGGGTCCATACTTGACATGGTAGGTAAGTATTCCATACGTGGTATGCATGTAAGGCTTTCTTACCATCCATTTCATTGTCACATGGCCAGGTGGGCATGGCACATACGGTTGACGCAATGGCCACCAATCAATAGGAGCCGCTACAATGCTTTCTATGGACAATTTTATCCGATCAAGGAGCGATGGTGCTGGTATACTGGAAAAGCATACGTAATGGACACCGTCAAAGTAATGCTCCCCGTCATGACATTGTAGCCGGGAATGAAACCTGCCAGGATTTCGAGGCCTGTTTGCACTCCTGGCTCTTGAAGTTCGAAGGTGTTTCATGACGGGAAGCATATCCCAACTACGTCCTGCGATGTTAAAAGCTGATTTCCCGTATTTGTGCCTGATATTGCCGTCGGCATTGTACCGAAGAAGCAACCTGACAAGTTGGATATTCCCAGAGTCAGCCGCGATGTGAAGGGCTGTCTGGCACTCCTTGTTCTGGACATCAAAGTCCGCGCCACTCTCAAGAAGCATTCGTACAATATGATTACGATCTCGACGAATGGCGGCCTGAAGAGCTGTTCCATCCTGACCACCCTGAGCGTTGACGTCCGCACCCTGGTCCAGAAGGAGTCGCACGGTCTCTATGTGTCCCCATGATACGGCGGCCTGGAGAGCTGTTCCATCCTGGCCACCCTTAGCGTTGATATCCGCACCTTGGTCAATAAGGAGTCGCACGATCTCTATGTATCCCATTGATGCGGCAGCCTGGAGAGCTGTTCCATACTGACCACCCTTAGCGTTGATATCCGCACCTTGGTCAATAAGGAGTCGCACGATCTCAGTGTGTCCCCTTATTGCGGCGGCCTGGAGAGCTGTTTCATCCTGACCGCCCTGAGCGTTGATATCCGCACCTTGGTCGAGAAGCAGTCGCACGATCTCGGTGTGTCCTATTGATGCGGCGGCCTGGAGAGCTGTTCCATCCTGGCCACCCTTAGCGTTGATATCCGCACCTTGGTTGACGAGGAGTCGCACGATCTCGGTGTGTCCTATTGATGCGGCGGCCTGGAGAGCTGTTCCATCCTGGCTACCCTTAGCGTTGATATCCGCACCCTGGTCCAGAAGGAGTCGCACGGTCTCTATGTGTCCCCATGATGCGGCGGCCTGGAGAGCTGTTCTATCTTGACCACACTGGGCGTTAACATCCGCACCCTGGTCCACAAGGAGTCGCACGGTCTCTATGTGTCCCCGTGATGCGGCGGCCTGGAGAGCTATTCCAAACTGGCCACCCTTAGCGTTGATATCCGCACCTTGGTCCAGAAGGAGTCGCACGGTCTCTATGTGTCCCCATGATGCGGCGGCCTGGAGAGCTGTTCCATCCTGGCCACCCTTAGCGTTGATATCCGCACCTTGGTTGACGAGGAGTCGCACGATCTCGGTGTGTCCCCATGATGCGGCGGCCTGGAGAGCTATTCCAAACTGGCCACCCTTAGCGTTAATATCCGCACCTTGGTCAACAAGGAGTCGCACGATCTCAGTGTGTCCCCTTGATGCGGCGGCCTGGAGAGCTGTTCCATCCTGGCCACCCTTAGCGTTGATATCCGCACCTTGGTTGACGAGGAGTCGCACGATCTCAGTGTGTCCCCTTGATGCGGCGGCCTGGAGAGCTGTTCCATCCTGACCACCCTCAGCGTTGATATCCGCACCTTGGTCGAGAAGCAGTCGCACGATCTCTGTGTGTCCTCTAAATACAGCGGCCTGGAGAGCAAATTGACGACCTTGAGCGTCAATATCTGCGCCACTCTTGAAGAGTACCTGTTCTTTCTCTATGGCAACCTTGGGGGCAGTACTATATTCACCACTTTGACCGTTAAATTCTGCACCGTGGTCAAGAAGGAGTCGCACAACCCTTGAAAGCTGCTCTAATGTTGCGCTGTACTGGCTAGTTCTATAATCGTCCCCGTCGTCAAAAAGGAGTCTCACAGTCGCTGCATATGTTCCCAGTACGGCCTGGAGAGCAGTTATACATTCTTCGCCTTGAACGTTAACGTTTGCGCCACTCTTAAAGAGTTCCTGTACAATATCTAGGTGTCCTCTTATAGCGGCAGCATGGAGAGCAGTGTCATACTGACCACCATAGGCGTTAACATCTGCGCCTTGATCAAGCAGGAGTCGCACAATTTTTGCGCGTCTCTCTAATGCAGCAGCCTGAAGAGCAGTTCCACAACGACCGCCTTGAGCATTAACATTTGCGCCAACCTCAAGAAGTGTTTGTACAATCTCTCTGAGTCCCATAAATGCAGCGGCCTGAAGAGCAGTTCCATATTCGCCGCTTTGGATGTTGACGTCTGCACCTTGGTGGAGAAGATATTGAACAATTTCCGTATGTTTACCTAATACCGCAGTGTAGAGTGCAGGCTCATTTAGACTACTCCACGCGTTGGTATCCGCACCTTGGTCAACAAGGAGTCGCACGATCTCTATGAATCCCCTTGATGCGGCGGCCTGGAGAGCTGTTCCAAACTGGCCACCCTCAGCGTTGATATCCGCACCTTGGTTGACGAGGAGTCGCACGATCTCTATGTGTCCCCTTGATGCGGCGTCCTGGAGAGCTGTTCCATCTTGACCATACTGGGCGTTAACATCCGCACCCTGGTCCAGAAGGAGTCGTACGATCTCAGTGTGTCCCCTTAATGCGGCGGCCTGGAGAGCTGTTCTATCTTGACCACACTGGGCGTTGATATCCGCACCTTGGTCAATAAGGAGTCGCACGATCTCAGTGTGTCCCCTTAATGCGGCGGCCTGGAGAGCTGTTTCATCCTGACCGCCCTGAGCGTTGATATCCGCACCTTGGTCGAGAAGGAGTCGCACGATCTCAGTGTGTCCCCTTAATGCGGCGGCCTGGAGAGCTGTTCTATCTTGACCACACTGGGCGTTGATATCCGCACCTTGGTCAATAAGGAGTCGCACGATCTCAGTGTGTCCCCTTAATGCGGCGGCCTGGAGAGCTGTTTCATCCTGACCGCCCTGAGCGTTGATATCCGCACCTTGGTCGAGAAGGAGTCGCACGATCTCAGTGTGTCCCCTTAATGCGGCGGCCTGGAGAGCTGTTTCATCCTGACCGCCCTGAGCGTTGATATCCGCACCTTGGTCGAGAAGGAGTCGCACGATCTCGGTGTGTCCTATTGATGCGGCGGCCTGGAGAGCTGTTCTATCTTGACCACACTGGGCGTTAACATCCGCACCCTGGTCCACAAGGAGTCGCACGGTCTCTATGTGTCCCCATGATGCGGCGGCCTGGAGAGCTGTTCCATCCTGGCTACCCTTAGCGTTAATATCCGTACCTTGGTCGAGAAGTAGTCGCACGATCTCGGTGTGTCCTATTGATGCGGCGGCCTGGAGAGCTGTTCCATACTGACCACCCTGAGCGTTGACGTCCGCACCCTGGTCGAGAAGGAGTCGCACGGCCTCTATATTCCCCCCTTGATGCGGCGGCCTGAAGAGCTGTTCCATCTTGACCATACTGGGCGTTAACATCCGCACCCTGGTCCAGAAGGAGTCGTACGATCTCAGTGTGTCCCCTTAATGCGGCGGCCTGGAGAGCTGTTCCATCCTGGCTACCCTCAGCGTTGATATCCGCACCTTGGTCAATAAGGAGTCGCACGATCTCAGTGTGTCCCCTTAATGCGGCGGCCTGGAGAGCTGTTTCATCCTGACCGCCCTGAGCGTTGATATCCGTACCTTGGTCGAGAAGGAGTCGCACGATCTCAGTGTGTCCCCTTAATGCGGCGGCCTGGAGAGCTGTTTCATCCTGACCGCCCTGAGCGTTGATATCCGCACCTTGGTCGAGAAGGAGTCGCACGATCTCAGTGTGTCCCCTTGATGCGGCGGCCTGGAGAGCTGTTCCATACTGACCACCCTGAGCGTTGACGTCCGCACTTGGATCGCAAAAGACCCTCAGAGCCTCCGAGAGTCCTCGTGATGCTTCCCTGAGGAACTCCATTCGCCACTTTCCAGTCTTTTTGGATGTCCCTTGGGTAAGAATTGCGCAAGACTGATGCCAAAGGCCTAGAAGGCAGATCTAGTATTCAAAACAAATATTGATTGCCCAACTTTGAGCAAGGGTGCATAGCATAATTTAGTTCAACCACAGTCTATGAAGAAGTGAAGAAAACCCACATAGTCCTCATTACTTAGAATAGGTGTAACTTATATAGAAAGCTCTGACTAAATACAACCTTTTGATGTCCCCGGCTATCAGTGGCGCCTGGAGGCCAAACCACTATTTCGGCCCAAGGCGAAATTGAAGTCAGCCTAGCCGTCAGGTTTAGCCAATCCTGGGTTGGAATTCGATGGGATATGCACGTGTCGAGAGACCGCAGTTTCAGCCCGTTCGAGATGAACTAATAATGCTGCATCTGAGCTCAGATGAGAGGGGTCAGTGCGGTGGCCGCGCGACACAGGGTGATTCTCACCCGCTCTCACCCGCATTCTCACCCTGTCTATTGCGCACTCACCCCATCTCACCCTGGTCGCGCGACCGTAAAGCGGCGCTCACCCACTTCTCACCCGGGCGGCAGCCACCCGACTATCTGCCGGAGATAAGCCACACGCCGGCCAGTTAGTAGTATGGTGGGTGACCACATGCGAATCCTGGCTGTTGTATGTTTTTCCTTGCTTTTTTGGAAGGCAAAAAATTAATAGTGTTGCTATTTTGAGTGTAGGGCAGGTGTGGCTTCATCTTCATGACGGATGCCCTTCGTGATCAATACTGCCACGATTTTCAATGTGCTGTATTTTGCTTCACAACTCGGTATGCATATAATTGACTGATCCTAGGACAGTGTACCGTTCCGGTGCCTTATCAAAACTACACGTTCGACTTCTATGTTATCACTCAATTTACGATTGATCTTTCGTACTTGTTTCGTTTCAGGGCCACGGCGTGCGACAGCGCGCGTCACCAGTTAATGTAATATTGGGACCTGTGATTTACTACATTAGGTTAGTTTTGCCGTTCCCGGCCTAGCGCCCTAATACACTGTCTTGTCACCTCCACCGCCGTCGCCTTGACATAAAACACTCGACCTGCCCTCTCGTCCCCTTCTTTCCTTCTTTTCCCTCACTTCAACTCCTCTATCTTATACTCATCAGCGCCCCCTTTCTTTCACTCTGGCCCCCACCGACCACTACGCCCTGGATTTTAGCCCGACGCACTACCCTTTTTATTTCACCGAGATACCGCTCGATCCGACGCCTAGCTTATCCTCGCTCCCCAAGCTAGAACGGTAGTCGTATAGGAGTAGAAGTACCAAGATGATCTAGCCCGCTACGGTATCCTGTGAATTTTAGGTCGCCACTGTCAACATCTGAATGTTGTGGGGTCATGTGAAGAAAGACCCACTACCCCTCACTGCTCCTAGATCTTCTCTATAAGATCTATCAGATTGATCCTCAACGAGCTCGCATTGAATTGCCTCCCTAGGCAGGAGACTAAAACAACAATCCATGGTTACTTCTGATATTCCTGATATTTCATATGATCTTTTACCATGTTTCATAAGATATAAATATTGCCCTGTTTCCCAGCTGAATTGAATCGAGTTTGACATCCCTTTTGATCTGCTCTTCTGATCAGTGTTTTTCTTCCACAACCTCCACAACCGTGGTTTTTGCCCTTTTAGAACGCACGATCCTTATATTCATAACCGTGTCCTTATACACAACGTTGAATCCTATCTTGTTATGAATACATATGTTTCTTGTGTGCATTACCACGAGATTATGCATTCCACCTGAACTTCGACAGGTATCACTAAAATGATCTACATATTTCGAAGTTTATCTATTCTAAAATTCGTATTAGCTAACTCCGATACAGAAGCGGGCTATAGAGGCTAATATACAGAAATTAAAAGCTCTATAAAATAGATTTACCGCTTACGGTATCTTAATTATAGCTTATTGTCAGGACCTAGTACTCGATAGGCCTAATAAGGTTGGAGATGAATTAGAGTGAAGGAAACCAATTGACTGCGTTCGCGGTGTAAACTAATCGCTGAGGTTTCTAGTACATACGCGATGTGTGTATAAACTCTGGGGGTACTGCGAACCGCAGAGACCAGTTGTGCAGTACCTGCGAGGGCTGGCCCGAGAAGGTCGTAACACTTATACACTAGTTATAGAAGTAATACTTCATAGATAAGGAGCCAATTCAAGGACCGATGTCGCTATCATAAGCGTCTTAGAGTACACTAGCTTTCTAAAGCTACTTATACTAAGATTTAAGGCCTCGCTACCGCGTATAATAGAGAAACGATACACTCCGTAGCTCTTAAAAACACGCCGTCTACCGCGTTTACTACTAGACTAGGCTATAAATATTACGTTAAAGGGAGATCCTTTATCTCTTTCGAAATACACGATCATAGCGTAGAAATCTTTAATCATAGCCAGGCACTTATATCTATCCGAAAAGGCTAGGTAATATTCCCTTACTCTTGATGTGAGGCCTCTGCGCGGTTTAATAAGCTAGAAGTAGCGATACTATCGGTCTGGTCTGCGTGTGTATTTAACTAACGTATAAATTGCTAAGCCTATTAATTACACCGATGGCTTTTGCATTCTAAGTAAAGTAAGAACTTTCCTGTAAATGCTAGTTTCTACGTCGTTGAAAAGTTCAATGAAAGGTCCTGAAAGGCCTGGTAATATAGTGCTCCCTCCATTCGGGATGCTTTCGAAACGGTATTCCGGCACCGCTTTCCATTACCTTCCGCCTAGATACACTCTTCTCGGTGTAGCGAGTTACTGATTAGTTGGCCTAGATACCCCAATTCATAGTCAAAAATGTGGTTCATCTTCACAGTGGCTAGTTTAAAGGTAACGATATAAGTGTGTTGAGGCAATTGCGCGGTGGGGATATTGAGAGTAGATGAGAGAGTACCTGGAAGGCCAGCCGTCCCACTCTATAAAAAATATGGTGGACATTGATTCACAGGGGCCGCAACTTCCCTTCATAGGAGAAATTGTACCTATGTGGACTAAATAAATACCCTAAATGATCGAATCTGTCTACTTAAGTACTTCATCTCTATTTCAATTGTTCGTAGAATTTTCATAGTCACCTCTGCCAGGGCAGGAGCCGCGTCTCCATGATTTGATGAATTTTTTAGACGGATGGCTCAAATGTCGGACCAAAAATTATGCACTGCTTTATTCTTGGGCGCTACTATAAGTTGGGCAGCTTCCCGTATTTTCAAATAATCCTATTTATTTATGACCGACACGTCCCTCCAGATGCACAGTAAAAATGACCTAAGATACGCTAAGTTTCGACCAGACTAGCGCGATTGCAGTAAATATAGTCGTGTCAGCATCAAAAGTATCGTGAACGAATTTCCCCAGATATTCGTCAATGACGATGTAATCTTAAGAATAGATCGTATCATGCGGCAGCGACTATGCAGCAGCTGCAGGCGGCCAGCTATCATACCCGCAAAGCATGCTTCTTTCATGACGAAAATAATGGCATCGATATAAAAAGTCCAACTTTGATTGTGAGGCTAGGCTCGGATTACATTATTGGGCAAACCTACTTTCGTAGATAGCTATTGAGGATTAACCGACCTAGCTAGCCATTGACTATAGTCGAATTTGCATAGGAAACTATATAATTATAGTAAGACTCTGGTGACCTTCCACAAATATCATCTCATAGGCATAGATCGAGATGTTTAACCGATTATGGTTGCTCTTCGTAAGAATGCTCGGTTGACAAAATCTATGCTACAGGTTCTGATTTAATATCTGCGCGCAAGAACAGTGATGTATGACTAATTGTGTATTTTGAATAGTTAACTATTAACTACTTAAAATAAAAAGGTAGACCTTATAGGAGCGTTGAGTGCTGTAGTGACTCTGGATATGGAAAAGGTAAGGAGTTCGGAATTGGGTACTCGCTGAGGACCCTCAACCTCCTTGATTCTTGCATTTCAATGAATTCATGCAGCACTTATAATAAGGCTGAGGTTAAATAGTAAGTCCTAAGATAGATATGGAATCTAACTGGCTACTTACCCATGATACCCGGCAATTTGCTATATACGCATATATCAACAATGTGATAGCTACGGAGTACTTGGAAATGGGCTAATCAGGGCAACGGAATCAAAGGGGGCGAGGATTGATATTGAATTGAGTGATTGGTTGAAGAGAAACATGATATGAGGGCGCTCATGGGAGTTGAAATACCCATGAGCTTACATTATAACAAGGATCCTCGGATGGTACAAATCCGGGATGCCTAATAACAACAAATTTGTGTTGGGCAGACATGCTTTATCATTATTTCATGCTTGTAGGTAGTTGTCACACTGCAGGCTGTATGTTGAGATACGAGCACCAACCCATTTGGGTTGACAGCATATATGCTATCTTCCATCAGGTATTATAAACATGTACTTTCTCTCCGTCAACCCCCCGTTCAGACCCAACTGGCCCGCCTCGCTATTAATAGCCTGAACTCAACATTGATCTGAATCGAGATTAACTTGCATGGTGAAATGTGTTAGGAGTTGTGAACAGTATCGAGGGTAACGTAATCATTGCTGATTGTTCTTCTTATATTTCGCTCCCAGCGAAATCCCAAGTATCCTGGACACCAAATAACCATCTTTCGGCCCGGGGACCCCTTAGCGTATAGAGTCGCCTTGGAAATGCATCCCCTATGTATTGGACAAACATTTCTCAGACTGCCCTTTCATTCGCCTTCTTAGGTTTCAAGCTCTTCCATTCAATGCCCAGGGCCCCAATAATGCTCAAGCAACTGAGGATCAGAGCAAGCTGAAAGACCTCGACTAGCGCGTTGTTATATGCTAGAAGAACATTGGACAAATTGGACTCGCTGACAATGGCCCGAATACTTGTTGCTCCCCCATTTATCACATCAAATGGGGAAAACCCGGATATATTGAGGGCCTCGAGGTTCTTGATGAGCTCTTTGGCAAATATATTCTGCGCGGCCGCGACAAACAAGGATCCACCAAGGAGCTGAAGGAACAAGACAATGGCGGTTCCGATGGATACCTTAGACAAAGGTAGCACAGCCTGAGCAGCAACACCACCCTGCTGAAACCCCAAGCCTCCTCCTAGGCCATAAATAAAGAGGAAACCAACCCATTTTGCTTGTGATGTACCTATTGTAAATGTGGTGGTAAGACCCGCCCCAATAGACATGATAATGCTGCTGGCGATGAAAAAGGGCGCGTTGTACCCGAAATGAGTCGTCATCCCACCCGCTACTATAATCCCGAAAACACTAGACAGCATCATCGGGAGGGAGTCAATGCCGGATTGTACGGCACTTGCTCCATGAATGGCCTGAAACTAATAAATGGATCAATAAACTGTATTCAATCAGAGAAACAATGTCGCTTACCCAGATAGGAATGTAATAGATCATTATGAAGAACGACCCACCCATACAAATACCAAAGAAGGAGGCAAATGCAATCGTCTGCTGACGAGCAATATCGGTCGGTACCGTCGCTCTATCTTTAAGTATAACCTGGAGCGCGACAAAAACAACAATAGCGACGCCGAAAACCAGGAACAAGGCGATGATACGGCCACTCGCCCAGTCGTACGTCACCCCACCCCATTGAAGTGCGAGAAGTAAACAAACAATAGCTGGGACGAAAATGACAGTTCCGATGGGATCCAACTCCAAGAATATATCCATGGGTGTCTTCTGAGTCTTCTCCTTAGGGGGCAGCTTCAGTAAAGTGAGAAGGCCAAAAGCTGTAATACCTCCTAGAGGAAGATTGATGTAGAAGCACCATCTCCAAGAAGCATGATCGGTAAATGCGCCACCAAGCTGGAGAAGTGTTAGAAATGCATATATTGATCTTACAATGGGCTGGGACCCTACCAATGGTCCAGCGACCGAGGCAAGGCCGTACATGCCTCCAAGCGTACTGAAGAATACTGGTCTTTTCTCCAGCTCGACTGTATGTGCTAAGGTGACCAAGGCCCCGGTCCACATGCCGGCGCTTCCTAGACCAGCGATAGCCCGTCCAATGATCAATGTTGTGGAGTTTGGTGCAACACCGCAAATGAGGGAACCGAGCTCGAAAATGAATAATGCCATTAAGTAAACCCATTTGACCTGAAACAGCGTATAGAACTTTCCATATAATAGTTGAAATGCTAGGTCATGGTCATTCACTGTGTTGTTGGCCAGTGTGATAGTGCAAAGTCTTACAGCAGGTTGTCAACAGGTATGACGACGCATACCAGCCAACATCGTTGAGCGCGTGGAAGTCATCTGAGATTCGAGGAATGGCGACGGCTATGATCTTGGGTGATTTGTGTTAACGTGCTGCAATCATAGACCCTGGGTATTATATCATACCGTGTTGTCAAGTGCGACACAAAAGACAGCAAGCATTAGACTGATGGTGATGAGGATGAGCTTTGGGCCTATAGGATAGAAATTTGCAGCCTCCTCGTGGTTGATGATGTTCACTTCGACCTTAGGTGGCTCATCCTTCTTGACCGACATTGTGAGTTAGCGATCCCCGAAGTAAACGGTGTGAACAGACGGGAGAGAAATCAGCACAAGGAAAGGAGACGCAAGATGGTGAGGGAGAAAGGCCGATGATCGAGCGCCTGGTCTTTCGCAACATCGCTTACCGTGTAATAAATATATAATTCAGAAGTTAAGAATCATATTTCAAAGCTAACAGTGTACCTAAAATCTGACGTTGGATGGAAAGAAATTAGAATAGTAAAATCCTGGCCCTAATCCATCCTCGGACTGTCACGAAATGAAAGAATTATGAGACCTACCTACTACAACTAGCGCTCAACCACTTTTAACAGCTCGTAGGATGGCTCTAGCATCACTCCCTCGCTGACGGTAGAGGAGAGCTCCATAATGTTGACTACATCCAAGTGGGCCTTGTTTCAGCCGCCTGTTGTAGTTTATCGCATTTTGTATGGTGTTTTGGGATGTTCGGAATGATGTGGTGTCTTAGGTGGCGGAGAATACGATATTATGAAAACCTCACAATACTACAGGTACACTAGACTATTGCGCAATAGGAGCTCTAGAATCTATCAGTAGGTGAATCATAAAGCCATATCGCGTTCTACACGTTTTCTTATGCATTGCACTTATGACACTCAGCCAGTCTGTCAATAAAGTGGAGCCAGACTTAAATACTTTTGCGTAGTCACGGTAAGTACGGCTGTGGCAACTGAAAGATGCACCTTCTGCTTGGATGCAAAATTGGATTCATTTGCCCTGCTCGAGAATCCACTTTCAGATCAAGGAGCTCAATTTAGCTTCCGTTATTAGGCCCCAGTACCACCAGTATCATTCCCCCAGTATCCGACAGTATCGATCGACCTGCTTACTTCGTGACGCCGTTTCCAACGGTCCTGATTCCGTCTCGTTTGCCCCATCCTCCAATTCGTCCTGCGCAAAGTTCTGTTTGTAGGCTGCTTAATTTGGGTATTTTGCTAGCCAAGCTAAGCCAACTAAGCACAAGGTGCTTCTTGCATTGTGGCAGGGCCAGAACCCACCTGTAGCCCAAGTCACCCAACTGATTGGATCGAGTGGAACACTTTGTAACCAAACCAAAATTTATTGTTTATTAATTATCGATTATCACCTGTCCTTTACTAGTATACAGTACGAATGTTCGTGGGGCTAAGTTCTTTTTGATTGAAGACTAATCGACAGAACCAGTCGGAGATTGTGGGGACGGGTGTTCCTCTCCGGCTGAACCGTGATGGAAGACTAGAGTACAATAGACGCAACATCCTAAACTTTACATGACCCCATCGTACCCAATCGGCCAAAGAGTGGGGCAAAAGATGAACTTCATACATGCACTTACCCCGTATAGTAATTGTTGAAGAATGTCCGCACCGCTAGCCCGCAGACTCACTAGTTTGAGCAGTCGTGAAATACGTTACAAGCCACGATTACTACAGTGGCGCCGCAAAAGTCTGTGACCCCTCTACTGACCGCCTTCTTGAGATAGACTAGTATTCGCCCAAACTAGAAATGATCAACAGCACTATACTACTTAAGGTAGCCACTAGTCCAGCATAGGAAAGCGGAGACCAAAGCGGTCAACAGGGAGGTCACAGACTTTTGCGGCGCCACTGTAGATCTGTTCTCTGATTCCCGATACGTGTTACTGTCAGTACAACCGAGATTCAACTTCCAGGTGTTAGCAAAAGCGACCGAAATGGGCAAAAAGCAATCATCCGGTCCAAATACGGAGTTTATCGATTTAACAGTATGTGGTTTCTTTCGCCAGCTTCAATTCTAAATCCCAACCACACAATTTACTACTTTTCAAAAGGTAGACTTACCACCGACCAAAAATCCTTCTTACAATAGAAGGCCCAAAATACTTGGTCTGATTGATATAACTCCGTAAGTTTCAGATTTCAGTTGTCGATGGGATCAGGAGTAACGGACGACACGTGGAGAAAGGCACAAAGCCTGCTTCTGCACAGCGGCCAACCATGCATGCAAGACTCAACCTATCCGCTTTCTGATAAGCAGCCGTGGGTCGCGACGGCCGGGACGAAAGCCGGCACCAAACTCTCTCACAAGCAGCTGATTGAGGACCGAGCTGAAAGTTTGGCGGCTCTGTCCAGCTGGGCCTGCCTTGTCTACTCAACCGATATTTAGGGGATGTACAACTCCCAAATGCAGTTTAGTGGCGAGTAACAAACAAGCATAATTTCCTATCATAGACATGATAAAAGAATACAAAAGATTGCACCTCGTCGCTGGTATTCCTATCAAAGAATATCGGTCGGATTTTTCGTTCCGTACTACTCGCGAGCCTTTACACAATAAATGGCGCCATGGCGTTCGTTTCTATAGCGACTCTGTCCCTGGGTCTACTGGCACTCTATGTTGTGAAAAGAGCGTTCCTAGATAGAAGACTGCCCGGTTCTCTTCCACCGGGCCCCCCGCGGAAACCAATCCTGGGCAATATTACGGACTTGCCCCCGAAAGGTGAACGGGAGTGGATGCATTGGATGAAGCACAAAGAGCTCTATGGTATCACCCCCTCGGTTAATACATATTTGCTTTTAGGCAATATATTAATCAAGGTTCAGGCCCGATCAGTTCTCTTGAAGTTTTGGGTCAAACAATCGTTATTGCCAATGATCTAGAACCAGCCACGGATCTACTGAACAAACGATCTATAATTCACTCGTCAAGACCAAGAATGGTCTTTGCGTCAGAACTGTGTGTATCTAAGCGCCTACTGGTCATCTGACACCGATAAAGAAACTAAAGATTGAGAACAGGGTGGGGTGGGAGGACGGCATAATCTTTCAAGGTTATACAGAAAGATTTCGTGCCTATCGCAAAGCATTACATCCATCGATCGGGTCTGAGTCTGCTGTCACGCAGTTCAACACCATTCAAGAGAAAGAAGTGCACCGCTTCTTGCTGCGATTACTTCGGGAGCCGAATGATTTCCTTCAGCACATAAAAACGTGAGACTCATTGAATATCAGGTGTTGAATTACGGTCTAAACTTTAATTACGTCCAGAAAAGCCGGGGCAATCATTTTGAACGTCGCTTATGGCTACAACATTGAGCCCTTTCGTGGTGACCATCTAGTGGATATTACTAATGAGGCGCTCGATAATTTCGTCAAAGCTGCGGCCCCTGGTGCTTGGATGGTAGACATCATCCCCGCTTGTAAGTGTTAAGACTCACTTCTCGTTCAGTAAGTCTTTCAAAATCTTAATGGATAAAGTGAAACATATCCCGGCATGGCTCCCGGGGGCAAGCTTCAAGCGCAAAGCCCAAGCATGGAGGGAACAAAGGACAGGTATAGCAGATAGGCCCTATGCATTTGTTAAGGCACGGATGGCTAGTGGTAAGTATAAGCCATCATATTTGTCTAATCATCTCGAAAGACATGGACTTCCTGAGCCTGGGTCGGAAAAAGAGCTCGTCGCAAAATGGACTGCTGCATCACTCTATACCGGAGGGGCCGATACAGTTAGTTAGGAAAATTCCTTCCTCTTACTCCATCGCACGCTGACGCACTTAGACTGTCTCATCTGTTGCATGTTTCTTTCTTGCCATGGCCTTAAATCCAGAAGTCCAACGCAAAGCACAAGATGAAATTGAACGTGTTTTAGGACCTGGGCGGTTACCGAAAATGGCAGACCGCTCTCGCCTTCCTTATATCAATGCTGTAGTCAAAGAGGTCTTGCGCTGGCACCCTGTCGGACCCATGGGTGTTCCTCATATGTCAACTGAAGATGATACTTGGGGAGGTTACTTCATTCCCAAGGGCTCTATCATTATGCCTAACATTTGGTATGTGGTCCGACATACATCTAGCAGTCAGAGAATCTAATCTGACACTGCACAAAGGGCTATGATGCACGACCCGAAATTATTCTCTGACCCAGGAACTTTTAAACCTGAGAGGTTCCTTGAAATAGAGGGGCATGCTCCGGAGCTGGACCCGCACTCTATCGTTTTTGGATTCGGACGTCGCATATGTCCCGGTCGTTTCTTAGCGGACAGCACAGTCTATCTGAGCGTAGCGCAGACTCTTGCGGTTTTCAATATTAGCAACGCTACACAAGATGGTGCTATCACAAGAAACCCGAAATTTGAGCCGGGTCTTATTAGTCATCCGGCTCCATTCCAATGTTCAATCACAGTTCGTGGCCCCTCTCAGGAGGCAGTTATCTTGTCTGTTGAGCAAGAGCACCCATGGGAACCGAGTGATGAAACCGAACTCAAGAACGTTGGGTAAGGAATGGATATTGCTGTACCGGATCAGAACTCATTGAATAAAATGCCCGAAAATATTTCTCAGTCATACCGATAATTAAGACGTCCTGCTGATGCACCAGAAATAGACCATGAGTGAAGCCATCACATGGAGATCTTAAGCGGAAGAATACAGACCATGACCTTAGGTCATATTAAATACCGATGCGTACTACCACCCAGTATCGTTGAGCACAGCAATTCATCTATTATTGGAGGAATGGTGATAGCTATGATCTTAGGTGATTGCATCAACGTGCTGCAATCACTGACCACGGACTGTAAATCATACAATATTATCAAGAGCGACATAGAAGACGGCCACCATCTGACCGATTGTGATAAGGATGGGCTTTGGGCTATAGGATAGAAAGTTGGAGGCTCCCTACGGTTAGTTATCTTCACCTCAACCTTAAATTACTGATCCTTTGCGACCGATATTTTGAGTTAACGATCCTCCAGATGGTCGGTGTTGAATAGGAGGAAGGGAATGAGAGCAGAGCAAGGAAAGTCAAGATAAGGAGGGAGAAGCGTTAATTATAAAGTGCCTAGACAATCTTATTAGTCGTGCGTTGTGTAGCCAATGTATACTTTAATAGCTGGAATCACATTTGAGAACCTGGCAGTAGATCCAAAATCCGACACTAGATGCAAGAAAGATCGAGAAGGTGAGATCCTAGTTGTAGAACGTAATTCCCGCCCGACCGGAACACCTACAACACCCAGTCTTGCGGAACACCTCATCCAAAATCTCCCATTCTCACCAACCTACCTAATTCAACCACATACCATGCCACCAATTCGCGCTGAATCTCGGCAGAAACCGGCAAATTAAGAGGGCAACATTTTATTAGCCCTTTCTGACATTACGTATGGCCGTTTCCTATCTCTTCGTGCCGTAGCAAAGCTATATTAAATATCGCTTACAACACTACACGCGCGTAGTGAAGGGCAAATCTCACGCGTTGATAAGCGCCCACCTGGTCATAAATTGACCCAAACCGAAGATGATTCGCTTACTGAGTAGATAATCTCTATGGGTACGCGTGGGGCAGCCCCTAGGCCCTGTACAGTTTGAGATATGGCCAATATCGTATTAGCTGCGCGTGGTAACCTACCACCATCTACTGTTAGTAAGAATTGGTCATCATCCTTCGTTAACTAGCCGCCGTCCTAAGCTACGCACACGATTCTCGCGAAGATACAATTACCAAGGGCTCTTAACGAAGATCCAAAGTCCCCCCAGCTGTGGTTTACTACCGTACAACACATAATTGATGAGAAGGGCATACAACCAGAGGATATCTATAATTTTGATGAGACCGGGTTTGCAATTGGCCTTATCTCTGCACAGAAGCTGGTTACCAGGGCAGAATAATATGGGCGGAGGACTATCCTACAACCTGGTAATCGCGAATGGGTTACTGCAATCGAATCTATCTGCGTAGATGGCTAATCGCTTCCGCCATGTATAGTCTTTCAGGGCAAGGTCTATATATCTAGTTGTTTTGACAATCTACCAAAAGATTGGGCAATTTGAGGCCTCTGCTAACGGTTGGACTACCGATGAGATTAGTCTACGCTGGTTACAGAAGATCTTTATACCATACACCAATACCCGCGTGTGTGGGAGATTTCGATTGATTCTTGATGATCATGGTAGCTATCTTACACCCCAATTCGACAGAATCTGTACAGAAAGGATATCATACCACTCTGCATGCCTGCGGGCTCGTCGCATCTTTACAGCCTCTACATGTTGGCTGTTTTGTGGTGGTAAAGCGTGCATACAATCGCTTTGTGAGCGATCTGGCCCGTGTGGGATGGAAAAATATCGACAAGCTTGATCTCCTAGAGGATTGCTAACGCGCGCGGTTAGAAGCCTTTATACCGAGGACTATTCAAAATATCTTCGTCGCCACCGGTCTAAATCCAATTAACCCAGAGAGGGCCCTTTTAAACCTAAATATCTCTCTACGAACCCCTACTCCCCCAGGCAGCAGACCAGGCAGCAGATCTAGTCAATTCACACCAAAAACGCCTAAGACAGTGGTCTAATTACATAAGCAAGCATCCTCGCTTAAGCAATTACTAAAGCAACGGTCAAATAGCCCTTCAACACCATCGAAGATCTTACTAGATCAGATTATCAAGGGTCACTATATTGCCTTACACAACACTGCATTACTTGCTCAAGATAATGCGAATCCACGCGCAGCCAATGAGATGAAGCGCCAGAAACGCAATCGGTCGTATAGGCAGATACCCCATCAGGTTGGTCTATCGGTTGAAGAAGGTCTACTACTAGTTGAACAGCTAAATCAGGAGGAAGAAGCTGATGGGGTAGTATCGCATGCACAGGGCGAATTGCCTAATCAGGCAGATCCACCACGTACTAGGGCACCTCCTAGGTGTAGCGGATGTGGGGGAATTGGTCATAGGATAAATTATTATAAGAATCGTTAGCAATACAAAATTGTATGGGTGTTGATAGAGATAATCGATTTTGAAATTCTATCTTCTGGTACAGTTGCGCCGCCAAAGTCTCCGACTACCCCTAGCTGACCGCCCATTTTCTGCCATAAATTCTGCCGTACTAAAACCTCCAAAAAATCATAATCAAATTAATTGTCAAAACGGGGTAAATTGGTATAGACTAGTATGCATTGAAACGAATAAGAACTGCCGGAATCATCCAGAGAAAGGCTGATTGATTAAAGGAAGGAAAGGACTCGAACGACTGGGAAAAAGGGGCAGGTCGAGCTGTCCCATGGCGGTGTAACTGGGTATTCGAGTGACCATACCGATGTTCAAAGGTTACCCGCATATTACATACAAATACGTAGTGTAGTGGGAGAACAGGTGACGATGTAGAGAAGGTGATTGGGTGAGAGTACACTGAGGTGTATTGGAATACGCTGAGGAGTATTGATTGAACAGTCATTTACCAGTCAGCCTCCTTTTCCTATTTTGTACTAGTCTGAGATTCTGTTTCCTGAGGTATTCAGGCCTCTCAACGCTCATTACTTCGAAGAGGACTCGAAGGGACAAGAAGAACACACTGACGAATATACACTCTTTGGATTCTCCTCCGCGGATACCTATCTTTCACTACTCGGTCTCTCAGCACGATTTCTAGGCTGGGTGGTAGATATTCTCTCATCTCGACCCGTCTGATTGGTCAGACTGCCGTCGAGCGTTTCCCTCTTCAGTAGGAAATCTGGGAAGGAATGGACCAATCCGAGGTCACTGTAATGCTACTCTCCACTTTTCCACGACCTTAATCTAGTAACTAATATTTAGTATACCAGCCATTTGATGCAATTATAGCCTGCACCCTCCGCGGCATACTCTCTGATAGACTGTCTAGTATACTAAGATCGATCTGCTGCCATGCTTCCTTCGCTGTATCGATCAAGATGGCTAGAGTAGTATTATTGTTTGGCATATGTAGTAGATCAGGCCTAATGTCATAGATCTTTTGCTTGAGTAAGGTCCATAGATTCTCAATTGGATCAAGATCTGGTGAGCAAGGCGGCCAAATCATAATCTCACGGCCTAGGTCTGCTACAAATTCGCGTACGATCTGTGCAGTATGCGTTCATGCATTGTGTTGTTGAAAGATTGACGTAGGATCAACAAGTAAAGTTGGTAGGATTCGTTGATATAAATCCAGAATAAAAAAGCGATTTGCACCTTGACGAGGCGATTCTGAATCTCTATAATGGGCGGGCTACTAAGCCACTTCGGCGAAGCGACCCGGAGAATGCAGCCTAAAACATCTGTTTAACTTGGAATCCGCGATGTGGTACTGGTTGAACTTCGCCTTAGACTGCTTAGTCGGATTCGCGAATAAAGTTATATGCTGGACGTAGCCCAATACCCCGCTCAACTGTACACTCGTCAGACCAAGAGACTCGGTCAAAATCATCTTTAGTGTAGTGTTGATACCGTAAGGCCCAAGATAGTCGTGTAGCCGCATGCTCAGGCTTAAGAGATGGGCGTTTCATAACTCGCCATTTTTGGAGACCCTCGACAGAGAGTAATCGCGCGATAGAATCCTTCTTGCATTTATGATTCACTTCAGAGAGTAAGTCATCGCACGAGACTCGAGGATCTTCATGAATCTTTTGGAGGACCTTTTGACGGTTATCATCAGTTAAGATCTTCGGGCGCCCAGATCGCTTTAGTGACTGTTCTTTATCGCGAATTCGCCATTGAAGGCAGGTGTATTTGATAGTGAGAGCGGTATAGAAGGTTAATTCTTATGCGTTTACCCATACGACCATGTAACGATTTGGGTACCAATTATCCTTGTAGCTCCCCGCACTACGAGACGGCATATTGGCACTATCGGCTGTGCAATTAGCTCAGGATACTTCGAAAAGAGCGATATCTGCTCTCGGCGCGTGAGCACCAAAGTCGTGCCCTAGCGGGTTTTCGGTTGGATAGCGTCGACAATCTCACCTCGACACAATGTAATATAGCATTCGTAATGTGCTATATATTAGTGGTTTACCCCTTTATATATTGTCTTAATAATGAGCCCAACGTAGAAGATAAGGAGTGACCTAGGGTACTAGATAGATTACTAGAAGTCTTGAAAGTCACACACAGACTCAAGGGAGCCATGACACGCATGATAAACCGGGTCGCGAGCGGCGAATTATGTCCGCTCGTACGACCAGACTTAACTCGTCCAGCAATGATAGACATGTCTCAATTGATCATTTCGGTGTTAAGAACGCGCAACGCGGTGGAAGCGAAGCAAAATCCCTCCCATGAGAGGGGAGTCTACGAGCAGACCCTCCAGCATCTACGCTACTCCTTAGAACAAGTCATGGGCGGGTGTGAACCCAAGGATTCAGCCTTTTGCTGGGCATTTTCCATTCCTGTTCGAAATCTAGCCTTACTTCGGGAGAGGGAGCCTTTGGCTTTAGTCGTTTAGGCTCACTATGTGGTTGTCCTGCATCATATACACCACCCTGTATGGATGGGAAACTGGGGAAGCCGTATCCTCAAAGAAATAGTCGACTGCTTTTATCCTGAGTGGCAGGGAATGATTATTTGGCCCATCGAAGCAACAGGTTGTTTAGTGCCTGGGGTATGAACCAACTCAGTCAATCTACAGCTGCTTACAATAACGATCTTGGCCGTCCTTACAAGAATACAGGCAGTATAGCTCATGCTTGCCCTAATTGCAAATCAGCGCGAGGACGATGTCGATCAATGGCCTCCGTACGTCCCAACGGATTACTAACCAAGCCGAGGAAATGAGTTCTCTGAATGACGAGCTAGAATGTCAGTTGGTTGATGAGAGCGATCAACCATATCCTTTGGAAAAAACCTCCAGATCGGGAAAAAAATTAGCCGCTGTCGACAGTGGGGAGCGGATATGGCTTCTTTTGCACAGTGATGCTGGGGACCTAGGAAATACAACCGAGATTGAGGCGAAGCAAACCTGTGGAACTTAAAAGGATATAGTGCCAATGACCCGAGCAAGGGTCTCCGTGGAGTAACCATAGGCCAGTGACGAACGATAGTAAGAGTGTGAATCTTCAAGTGGGCCCTTGAAGAGCTGGATTCAGCCGGGATTACATTTAGCTGGTAGTCATTGCAGACACTGTGGAAACGATGGAGACCCCGGGCGCCGAAAAGAGATCTGGGCCGGGAACTACGCTAGCTGGCGCCCGGTTGAAAATCGTTTGAACGCCTTGGACCATCGCGCGACCCACTGCACTAATACTGTTGCTGCCTATTATGGAAAGTGTAGAAGGCACGGGTCCAATCGTATTTTTCATCACCTCACCGCTCCGCCTTACATTGGTTAGTCCAGCGGCCGGGCAAATCGGGAGTCTCGATACCCTAAAAGGTGTCTAGTCTGTGTCAACAAGTTGAGGTTTCTTTTCTTTGGATTCTCAAACGAAATTTGAGAAGTGAAAAGGTGGAGAGGTCACGAGACCAGTGGACAACGGAATTTGACTCCTCCCAAAATGCTAATAAGCAGCCCCGCAAATTCCAAACCTCTTATGCCTAAATAGTAGATCAGTGCTCGTTATCTTGTGCATCGGGTCTTTGGTGGGGTCTCCGATCAATAGTGTATCTGATTGGCCAAGCGTGCCGACTGAAGGTGAGAAAATACCAAAATCTTTTTTGAGCGCTCCCTAGGCTCCACCAGAGGGATGCATTTGTCTTTCCCAAAGGGACTCTGTTAGATGTTCGAAGTCCCAAAGCCCCAGTACATATTAAATAGTGGACTCTGTGCCTTCGTTTTCGAGATCGCCATTTTCGAGTCCCGAATTCAATCCGCTTCTGTCACGCCCAAGATGTATCCTCTTGCCAACCACGCTTGCTTGTCCTGTGCCGAAAAGAAGAGAAAATGCGATCGTCTATTTCCCAAATGTACGGCATGTTTCAAGTAAGGGCTCTTAAAACGCTATCCCCTCAATCTGCTGACCTTTTGGCAGACAAAAGCGACAGTGTTGGTACAGAGCTTCTTCGCGTGTGCCAGCTCAGGAATATGTGAAGGACGACAAAAACCTGCACCCTTCCAACTTACCGAAATTCACGACGGATCAACAGCCAGAACTGTCTCTGTACACCGGAAACAGTGTCAATCAGCCAGCAATTGTACCCAAAGCTTCAGGTGCAGCGAGGGCTATTGGGGCATGTCTCAATTGCCGCGCAGGGAAACGAAAATGCGACAAAAAATGGCCGACCTGCGGGCGATGCTCAAGGTATCACTTATGGTAGCGAAGATAATTGAATTTTGAGATGGCTAATGGTAAGCGACAGACTATATCCCGTTTGTGCTTATCCCAAGCAGGCTCTCGTGATCGATGGCCCCAGTGCTTCCTTCCTGCATTCGCTTGACATTAGCCGGTTGAATGCTGTAATACCGTTACCAGTCGAACAACAACTCCACATGCCTATGCTTATTCACTCGTGTAAGTAGAGACAAGCAATTAGTGCATATTCGATTTTAAGAATCATTGGGCAAATTGTGTGCTTATGGTTATCTTTGATAGTCGCTCAGATCTTTGGGATGGACCCACTCCCCGTTGACCGCGGGAGTATCGCATTCTTTTCTAGGGCGACGTGGATTCAACATGCGCTCGGTGACCCTTGTGCATTTCACACTACTCTTTATGCCGCATCAGCCCATTTGGATGCGTTTCAAGGTGCCAATATTAGCACAATGACCTTATATCACCACACAGTGGCACTGCAGTTGCTCCAGGGGAGACTTCATGACCCGGACGCAGTAATGAGCGAGTCTCTTATGGCCTGTGTTGCAACATTGGTGTTTTTCTCGGTAGGTTGGTTGCAAAAGGCCTCCAAACGCCCGTCTGTAAGAAATTTCTGACTGTTTTAGGCCGCCTTTGGCGACAAAGAATCATCTGGCATCCACAAGAAAGCGCTGATGAAGATGATTAAAGCAAAAGGTGGCCTCGTGGATCCTACCATTGGCACGTTTCTGTCAGAAGTGATCACCGCGTATGTATTTCCTAACCGTAAGTCAATTCAACGATTATCAGTGATTTCTCATTATTTTCCTGGTTGCAGAGGCGTTCTCTCCGAGGCCATTATCATAGACACCACGCTCGACATTCCATTCTTAGACGTTCCTCCAACTCCTCTTGTCCCCCCAAGCTTTTTCATCTCTGCCATCCTCCGTCGAGCAGCCACCAAGAAAGGAGGCTACTATAACCTCTCCCCTAGCACGACCGAGATCTTTAGAGAGATTCAATCCGTGATCTCCCTTCAGTCGGATGAACCTGGTATTCGAGCAAAATGGGCAAGCAGAATAGCCCCTTTGTTGTTATCCTTAGACCACCGACATACAGGGCAATTTATCAATGATGAGTTTCTCGTATCGGACACCGAGGCAATAAGTGAGGCTTGCCATGTAGCGGCCTTGATCTTCTGGTTATTGTTTCTTGACGACCACGAATATCTTGCTCCGTTCTCCATGGATGTCTTGCAACTTTTGGTTGAGAAATTGCGTTTTGCGGTGTCCTGTGGAAGCATGGATACATGGATGAGAACCGCTCCGGAAGCGCACACTTTCGTAAGCTTACTTGGAACAGCCGCCTCTTTAAAGCTAGATGATCGCGTCTGGTTCAGCCTTAGGCATGGCCGGGCAGTCAGTTGTATCGAAAGTAAAGAGGGATCAGTACTGTTACAGAGTTGGAGCGTTTATGATTGGGCGAATCATAGACGCAAGGCCAAGATGGTGGCAGTAGTGGAGCAAGAGAATATCCTACCAGAAGGAGGACACTGAATTTGACCAACAAGAAGGGCAACAAGAAAAGGCAGAAGAAAACCAAAGGTTCATCCACTTTGCGAGAAATTGCAATTCCTACCTATGGAACCGTTTGGACGACTCAACATGCTATGCTTCTTTGCCACTTACAGGGTCGACTGAGGGCTCCTGTGGGCGCTTGAAGTCCATGGGAGAACCTTGGTGCTTAAAAGTGGGATTACTTTGGAAAGATGTACTGGTAGGCCTGGTACTTATGTACATTTCATTCAAGTGTGTTGGTGCCAGAGAGCGGCGGGAGGCGGGCTAGCGGGCTAGCGCAACTGTGTGACCATGTCTGCCCATTCAGCTCGACCCTGTAATACCAGTCATCAACCACGGACATTTCCCATCCCTGTGGTTATTTCTTCCGAAGCTTACTCCATGCTGAATTCCATTATCTGCCTATAAGAAGTATTGCTGTTCTGGTTGTCTTCATCCTACAACTGACTTACCAGAGTCAGCTGCTTGTCTCAGCGGGTAGCTCGTCGTTCTCAAGTAGTCAAGTCTCCATCCAGTCACACCTGCCTTGCCTTTGCAGATAGAAGCCACCTGAGTAATGACACATTACCTCCATACAAGGGATCGCGAACTAGCCCTGTCTGACTGTACGGTCTAAGACCGCAGGGATAGTCGACCCGTTATTGACACTCTACAATCTTCTTGCTCCTTTTGACTGCACAAGGTCGCTGATGAATGCTATATATCGCAAGTATACGTTGCAGAAGGTGAGAAATTTAATAACTTCGAGAGATATCGTACTGTGTGAAACTGTAGATATCAATCATTGTCGAGAGATGGAATTATAATGTACCACATAGGGAGGTGACACCATGTGGTTCACTATTCCGTATTTTTCATATATTTATTCGGCGTGTTCGGCATTCTGGTTGTGGTAACACCACGTACTTGCGCCATTCACGGGCTAGTTAGTCCGACCTGTCTCAGCATATTTATTTCTTCTTTTCCTTCAAACAACAGTGCATACAAGATTGAATCCGCGTGGTACTACTTTCTATTCTATGTGTACCACATGCCTAATAGCCAGAATTGCCTCGGCCTGCATCGACAAACCCAGAATTCCCTGCCGGACTCTCTGTACTGTGTACACGATAGTCTCTCCTGTACGAGGTGGACACGGTTAGTACTATCTGGTTATCTGATCCTGACTCGACATGTCTCGAAAATATTCATTTCGCGCGTCTCAAAAATGCCACTCGTATGACAAGCCACATTTAGGAGGATTGCCAGAGTCAGGGATGAGGTTAGACATTAAAGTGATATACGTGCCTTCCGGGACTCGACCCGACTTCTTGGAAGACACAGTCTTATCTCACAACGGTTTGTTAGCACCACAAATTGACCAAGGCTTTCTCCTGGTAGGATTCGAGGGCGTTTTTCAGCGATTTAGTGGGAGTGGCAGGCGACTGGCCCTTTTTGAAGCGTGTGCTCAATGTAGTGCGACTAACGCCGAATTAACACGCAATGTTAGCGGTATTAGGCTTCTTCTGGGCTAATACGGCCTCACAGGCTCCTGCCAGGCGATCCTCCTCGAAATTGGCGTATTGAGGCATAGCTGGGTGGTTGAATTGACTTGTGGAAAACTACTGGCTGGGGAAGATAATGGGGGAAACCCTCTTGAGTAATTTTGTCAAACATACAAAGTAGATTTCATCTTAGGTGATTCAGTGGATAAGAGGCCCTATTTTCCGGGTTGATCAGCCCGGCATCTTTCGATTCTCTCTTCTTGTTGCTTGATTCTCGTCGCGTCAACTTTGACATGACTTTTCTGCACCACTCGACAGATACCCGGTATTGCCGTGATATGCGGAGTTACCTGCGGACTAGCGGAGTCGCGTTTTAGCGTTTGGCATCAAGCCTAGAACAAAACACATCACCTTAGCAACACGTCAAAATTTAGTACTCAAACTTCGATCAAAGCATTTCTCATCATGGGGGAAACCACCAACTTTTTGATTCGCTTTTGATGACTCGAGTCCCATTGACCTCGAAGTACTCGGTCGTTTGGTACTGCGTCCTCCTGGTCAAACCTGCATAGATTGCCTGCAGGTTTGATGGTGGTTTCCAGGACCAGGAGTTTGTTGCATTCTGTTCCTTCTTCTGTTCCTTCTTCTGTTCCTTCTTCTTCTTCTTTCGATCATCATCATCAATGGGTCTAGATAGACCATCGATTCAGGTTCCCTCTCTGGCTTCCTTGCGCTGGTGTCCTTGACACCATCAGCTTTAATAGCGTAGATATTAGGCAGGGAGCTTGCATTACACTCCGCCGAGACTGATCATTTCACTAACATGTTGCGCCCGGCACAGACCAAACACACACTGTTTGACTCTTGGAATCAGAGATGACCCCATATTGGCAACAACCCTTCCGTACTACCCGGACTTCATCATCTGTCCCTACTGTTATACCAAATCGAACGCATATGATAATGAACTGTGAATATTATACCGGAGTCCGTACGTTGGCCCTTTCACACCATCGGGAATCCATCTTTTACAACGTGATACTACTAGGAGCTATCGCCTGATTCGCATGTTCACTTTCGAACTTGCTTGCCCGACTGTTACTATAAGCTCTTGCACTTGCTTCTAGTGGTAAAGACCAGAAGAAGGTCTATGATAAGTGCCAATACTTGCGTGTTTGGTCCGGTGCTGAGATTGCACTGCGGGAGTAGGGACCTCCGAGGCCGCATGTTGGCCAAAAGCTCGAAACAAGAAACCAGGCCAGTCCCAATGCTCATTATGGGCCGAAGCTTTTTCTCACAGGGGGCGGCCCTGAAAACCAAGTGTCGTTTATACTGCAGGGGGTGACAATTCCATGGCCTGAGAGGGGGTCTGTCGAGGCTGCGGTGGGATTTTTCAGGGCTAATTCTTGGGAAGAGCGGTAGCGGAAGGCAGACAAGAGTCCTTTACCAGCTGTACGGGAGGATGAAAGAGTGTGAGTTTTCCGCTTTCTTGCGTTTGTGTATCTCCTACCTATTGAGCGTCCTGTTAATGACTGCTGCTAATCAAGAAGCCTAACTGGATCATAGGCCTGATGTGCCGATTCTCAATGTGACACCTGAGGGCCCAAAAAATGCTCTCCCGATAACGTTTCAAAAATACGCCTTGGTGGATGCCAAAAGGCCACGAGAGGGATACTGGCTCTCCCACATCTCAGCCCAATCACCCACTGGAGAGGAATACGATTCAGGAGGCGAGTAGACGCTGAGGGCGAGTATGCCCCTGAAGGAAATAATGACCCAAACGTTCCAATAAATTTTAGCGAGAATAGTGGGTTTGTTTTCTTCCACGTTCGCGAATCCTCGACATGTTGCTGACCACGGATGCCGGCAAAAAATGGTTCCAGAGCGGGTCATATATTCCGATGCAGGTTCAAAGGTGCACTAGCCATGGATTTATGGGGTTGGGGAAACCAGGGGCAGTTGTTGATCCACGCAATAATCGGGGTAGAGAAAGGCTGGCCATTTCAGGGTCGAATGTAGCAGAGTAAGGTACAGCATTGTAGAGGTTTATTGTGTATATTTCATAACTCTCGCTCTTCGCAACTCCTGACTCTTCTACTCTTCTAGCCCTTTTAACAACTAACAGCACTAAAATTCATCTCCCGCTGAACAGCCTAGAATGCGCACCGGACAATTCACCACGATAGTTCACTTAGCTCGGGCGGAATCAAGCCTACCCAGCCTCAACCATCGCATCCCAAACTGCATCACGATACGCAGAAATTCCCGGCGACCGTGGATGGAACGTCTTGATCTGCCGAGTGGGTAGATATGGCAGGACCTCCTGACTACTGACATTGCCAGACGCAATAGCAACATTTGCGTTGGCGAAACGGACAGCTTCGGGGCCGGTGGGATCCTCCTTAATCGTTATCGCAACCTCGCACATGGCCCGTGTATATGGGTCTAATTGAGGAGCACAGGTCCCGGAATCGGGTAGCGAGATAGATCCCTGTGAAAAGATGGCAGAAACCTCACCGGCTTCCTCACTGGCCGTTTCATACCCGAGATCCGGCCAAGCGCTCAAGAAGAACCAGGCGTTAGCGGCTAGAAATCAAGCGAGCAAATTAATATAATTATAGCAGTGCACGCTAGGTCGCTCACGAAGCAACCGTACGCACGAATTATCACTGCAAAACACCCAACATCCAGCAATTTAGTGGATTCGAGAAATACGAAGGTAGAGAGGGCAGCGTGATATTATTTTCAGCCCACATTCGATCGGATTAAGATGTTAAATAGCCTCCGTGGCTGTCAAGGATCGATAGCCGAAATCGCCCTCGTATGCGCGAATTAGTGCATAGAATAAAAATATCCAATTGGTGCGCGATATGGTTGACTATGCAATAATTCTGACTACTTCCACTAGCTCGGTCGCCCGTCCAAGAGCACTACCTAGTAATCCTCCTACCGAAGGCAAACTCCGCTTCCATGTCTTTATGCAAATGGCAACTCTTTCGGATAGCCCTTGAAATCACAACCAGCGAACCTCCACCAACGTCTGTTTTTGTACATATACATCCAGCGCAGGGCCAATTCGAACACGTAGGGAATTGGGGGGAAGGTTTTCCACACGCCGTCTCCGAAGGACTTATCATGTGAGATAATGCTTAAAGGGAAAATGTTGATCTGAGCACCACACCACTAGCTGTCAGAAAAATTCTCTTCTCTTTGTGTTCACAGTTAAGGAACTTACTCGGTATTCATATTGGCCCATCATTTCCTTTATCATCTTGCCCACCTCTTTCTTGAACCAAGCCTCCCAGTCGACCTTGTCATAACTTTCCAAATTGACCAGTGTGCCAATCTCATTCTCAAGGTGTGTGTGAAGCTCCGGCATGAAGGAATCGATGAGGTTTTTCACCTTTTCCCCATCGAGCTTCTCTTTGCCCCGGATAACCTCCTTCAAATAATTTGCGTATCGTGAGATTTTGTCGTGAAATCCGGCGTGCTCATTGGTATTGACGTCCATCAAGCCCGGCACCCCAGCAATTTCGCCCATGGATGGGAAAAGAGTGCTATCCTCACTTGAATGATGCTCATGAAGCCACTCCGTCCACTGAAACGCATAGTTAGCGAAGTCAACCTGGTCCGCGTCAGTTCCGCGTGTCGCGACGTTAATGCACTGGTTGTGCACCGAATTTATCATGCGAATCAGACAGTTATGGACAATTGACATTTCGGCTGCCATTGCTCTGGCCGGTGTCAGTGTTTTCCCTACCTGCACTAGTGTTAGTCACAGGGCTCCAGCTAGTTGGATACAATAAGTCATACTGAAGCGCCGCTTATGGAAGGGCTAATTAGAGTGTAGGGGCCATCGACCCATGGCTTGGTTTCGACCATTTCGTCCCCTCTCGTAAGTGAAAGGAATGGAGTCCAGGGGCCGATATGAGCGTAATGGTTTCAATTTCTAGAAGGACAAAGCTAATTTATATGAAAGTCTTTTATTCTGGGCTGACAGCTTGACTAATGTAGACATTCTATCTAAAATAGCCAGTGATACACTAAAAAGAGAGTTCCACCTTGCTTACCGTAACCGTAACCAGGTCATTCCTTCGCTAACCATCAGTGTGGAAACGTACATCGATAGCGTTGGTTACTAACCAGACGAGAGGTCTCTGGGTCTGGTGAGACTTTTCAGCTCTTCCGCGGCGTCGAGTCGGGTTGCCACACACGGGTGTCAGCAAGATATATTGAAGTCTCAGTCTCCACTCTACCGACGTGCTCATTCCCGATTGGGTAAGTTGGTCCTCCCTCATGAAGAGCGATCACAAATTCGATTGCAGCCGTACCAAGCGAGTCACAGTTGATTGAATCGGCTTAGGAAATCCCAATTTGCGCTACAACTCCTCTAATATGTGGCTGACTTCTCCGCGTTGCTCATGGGCTGTTTGTTTCACGATTACCCAGGCTTAGACCCTTCCATTCTCTTCTTGATCCCGCATTCAACTGACCACCAATTCTTTTATATAATATCACTCACTCGCCTGTGTATTAACACCATGAGCCAACCTTACCTGTTCAGTTACACCGTAGCGCGACCATAATGTATATATTTGTCCTGGCTCGAACGGCCGCGGCCGTGGTCATCCAAATCCTTCGCATGATGTTAGCTTCCTGGCATCACTCACGCAAAGCCCGCGCACTGGGATACGGCACCCTGCCTTTATTCCCATGCAACGATGTCGTCGGTATTGATACCTTGAAGCAGTCGCCGGTGGCAGACAAGAAGAAGCTCTTACCCGAGCTTTCTACGCGTCGTATCGAGATCATGAGTGAACAGGAGGGTCGCTACGTCACTATCTACATGCTACGCAACCTCGATCGTGATTTGGTGTTCACCATTGATCCCAAAAACGTCTAGGCCATTCTAGCTACCTAATTTAAGGAATTTGAGGTGGGTGAGGTGCGCCGTCATAGCATGCATCTACTGCTCGGGACTGGTATTGTGAGCTACATAGAACCTTCACCGTTATCTATTAAGTCTATCTTGTACCTGTTACTGATTCCCTGGCCCGCGAGCCTCTTAGTTTACTGCCGATGGGGAGCAATGGTCTAGATCGCGTGGACTTTTGCGCCTATAATTCACTCGCGACTAGATCAGTTAGCTTAGGCTTGAGGAAAGATATTTATAGAAAGCGATGTAGGCCCTACCAGTTACCGCTAATAGCTAGACCACGGCGACCGATATTTAAAGTATTTTTTTCCGTTTGACGATGGACTCGGTTACCGAGTTCCTGTTTAGTAAAAGCGTAGAGAGCTAATTAGGCGCACTCTAGGACCAGCTGTAGTGGTAAGGTTTGTGTGCGAAACATGTGGTCGGAACGCGACCTTCCTATCAACGTTTGTTGAGCTCAGCGGAAGCTTTCGAACGTCTGGTGGGCAGCTTGGAACATCCCGTGTGCTTCCCTTCGATTTCCTCTTAGATTCTTCTCATTTTCTGTTGTTTAGAATCCTCTGCTTCTGAGCTTTTTTGCCAGAAAGGTTGACAGAATCAGCGAAAGGTCCATCGACAGTGTTTATGAACTTAAACAGGGTTGACCTGTCACACCTGTTAGATGGCAACGTAAATCTGTGGATAAACTGGCCGTTATCACTGAGTACAGAAAGCAAAATGTGGTTTCAAGAAGAACGAGATAAATCCCGGAATCAAGACCTGTATATGTACACAGAGAAGCGAAAGTCGACAGTCCCCGCACTTTCTGTGGTGCACCAGATCAATTGCTTTTATAATTATGAGCTAGCGGACGGTAGCCCGCCTAAGCACATTCAGCCGCATGCTAACACTTACTTAAAGCGGATTAGCCGCGATGCGCAGATATCGGTAGCGTCACACTCCTACCCCGTCTCGCAAAATTAGCAAATATTTAATAACAGGGGGAACCAAGTATCTATTCTCCCTCTTTCCTTCTCAAAAATGGGCTCATCTAGTAAATAGAGTGGCGCAATTGCGTTAGTTCTTCTCCCACTTTGTTCCTTCTCCCCCCACCCCGGCGCAAGATGACCATTGTTTCCCTTCTTTATCTACTCGTTGGGGTAAGCCCCATCTGGTTCGGCGTCCGGCTTATCCAGCATCGTCGGCTTTACAAAGACCTGGTAGGGGATCCATGAGACGCTCATATCGTCCCATTAGGCTAATCTGTGCCAGCCCAAACCCCCACATAGCTTCCTTTGGGGCCATCTGAAATTATTTAGCGATGTGATGAAATTGTTCCCCTCCAACACCGCGCTGTCCGTATTTTACACAACAATTGCACGGAAGTATGAGCTCCGCGACATCTTCTATTTGGACCTATGGCCATTTGGCCCCCCGCAAATGGTATTGATTGCCCCAAACGCTGCGGATCAGGTTACGGTTGTGAAAACATATCCACTCCATGACGAAGTTCCCCGATTTGTCGGCTCGCTGTTGGGTGATAAGTCTCTCCCGGCAGCCGACGGAGAGATGTGGAAAAAGTTACATCGCATGATTGCCCCGGGATTCCGGCCCTCATCCCTGAGGCAAATGATGCCGGTTACTGCGGAACAGACAGTTAAGATTTTCCTTCCGGCTCTGACCGCGTATGCGTCAACCGGCGAGGCCTTCTCAATGGAGAAAGTCGCGGCCCAGCTCATATTTAGTATCATCAGCAAAATGGTCATTGGTGGGTCCCTATCCAAGCAAAACCAAAGCCAGATGCTTTATGATATCGATCGGATCCTGGATTACGCGCAGTCAATAGCCGTCGCGAGCGGTACAAACCCGGTGAAGAGATGGACAAAGTGGTGGAGAAAGAGACAAGCGGTACAGAGAATAGATCATTTCCTGTGCTCGTTTATTGAGAAGCGCCGCTTGGCCCACAGCGGTGGATATTTCGATAGCTCTCAAGGGACAAGCATCTTGGATCATATGATATCTGAGATGAATTCTCAGAATCCGGGTAAATTGGACATGAGCTCTGTTCAAGTTCTCATTGATAAGTAAGTGCCACGGCAATGAGTCCCGAAACTAAACGACGCATGCAAGTCGTAATTATCGGGATTTGACTTCAGCTAACAGGCACCAGTATAAAGGCGCTTCTCGTTGGTGGGTACGGAACAACAACTGATACACTTTGCGTATGGACATACCCTAAACTTCCGTTTCGATAATTCCAACTTGCTAATGCTAGAAAGTTCATTTTCATCATGCTCTCTTTCCATCCAAATGTGATGGCAAGGATCCGACGGGAGCACAGCCAAGTTTTCAGTGCAGATTTAGTCAAAACGCAAGAGATTCTACAAACCACGCCAAACAAAACAACAGAGCTTTTATATACGACGGCAGTAATCAAAGAAACCCTTCGGCTCTTCCCTGCCGGTTTCAGCGCTCGGAAAACGAAACCTGGGTAAGTATACTTCTAGGCAATGGCCCTTTCTCTCACCTCATCAACGGATCCAAGTAATCTTCGAAAAATACTAACTTACGTTGCAGAATCGACACGCTCCAGTATAAGGGAAAGTCATACCCAGCTTCCAACCAAATGATCATTCCTTGCACACATGCCATTCACTTTGATCCAGAGGTTTTCCCTCAACCCTCGTCTTTTGACCCAGAAAGATTCCTGGAGCCGAATAAGGTCCCCCGAGACGCCTGGCGGCCATTTGAGCGCGGAGCCCGGGCATGCCTTGGCCAGGAGCTGGCAATGGAGGAGCTTCGAATTGTGCTCCTACTGACTGTTCGGAATTTCGACCTAGAGTGTGCAACTGTCGAAGCACGAAAGATGCCCAGAGCTCCGTTCACAGACTTGGATTTGCTGATGGGCGACTTGGCATTCCAAGAGATGGCGCTGTCTGCCAAACCGCGGGGGGGAGCGATGATGAAAGTGACTTTTGCTATATAACATTGGATGTTCATCTGTTTCGCTTTCCAGGCTTGATGTCTTTCAAACCGGAACAAGGGGAAGAAGGTAATTGAGATCGTGGATTCTAGGTTCTCGGCTCTGAAAAGAAGCCAGAGCCTCTTTTGTACTAGTTAGTGTGCTCAATATGGTCAATACCAAGGTGCACAGAATTTTTGCTTCTTCCTTCATCTTTGAAATGTAGCTCCGGGCGACACGCAGAGAACGCACATCCAGACTGACCACATCAGATATGGGTAAAGATCAGCAATCTTTATCAACTTACCGGAAAGAGATATCTTTGCGCCGTGAGGAAGTATCATAGCTCCAAGCGTTACGTATCTCGCAATTATGACAATCCTGCGTCCAGTTGTCAGACCTAGGAAAGGTCGGGGTTTGAGACTGTCACCTTAAAAATTGTTTCTCCGACACTCTGTATAAGTTAGAGATACTAGCTCTGCGTCAATACGTTGTATTTCACAATTATCTCTTGCGTAGTTCAAAATACGATATATATTGTTCCTCGTGAATCGAATCGGCGAGCAGATCTAAAATGCGAGCTTCGTGCGAATAACCCGGCAAGGCTAGATCAGTTTGGTTCTGGTTGCCAAGTGATACTTCGCCCCCTGCATCGCTAATGATAAGCCCCTTAATCTCCATCATTCCTTGTCGAAATTCATCCTGCCGAAGGACAGCAACTGAGGAAACCTAGAGAGGAAATAGCAAAGTCATCCAGTGTACAACCACGCCTACAGGGGATCTCGACCAATAACTGGACAGCAAATGGGACACGGTAGTGTGCGGGATTTGAGCGCAGTATGCCTGCTGCGAGGTGTCTATTTCTTCGAATCGAGTCATGGAGACTGTGGGATCGTGGGAAGGTATGGTCTATATAGCGCAACTTATACGGATATTAGAACAAGTAAGGGGATTCTAGGACATGTTACTGTACACTATCTTAGATCAATATTGAGACTGTTTTCACCTCCAGTTTAAATGATATTATTTTAAAATATCTTCCACTGATCAGAATCGGTGAACTACATCAAAACCTTGAGAAGGCCAAAAGCCAGGGAGTCTTCATTTGCAACGTCCCCACCCTCATAACGGATTTCGAAGCTGGTGAAATTACCTGATTTGTGGCTTCTTGGTAGTGAACTGCTCATGGATTTGCCAGCCTAACTCAATAAAGCTGCATGTTTAACAATCTCGGTTCATTTCCGCAAATACCGCCAATAATGGTTATGCAGTATCCACGATTTGCCCAAATACCTTGTGGGTGTGATTGTTGAAGAATAAGTGACGATTTGGACAATGTTGATTAAGTGCATTTGGTAGCGTATAATGTATCAACAGCCTCTAGACTACAACATGAGCATAAGCTAAAGCTTTCGGACTCAACCTTGGATAATACACCCTCTAAGTGTTGAAAACAAGCGGAATATCAATATTTTCATTCGAGTAAAAGTAAATAGGGATTAAGTGGATGTTGATAGGGTGGATTTGAAAAGAGTCAATATTTAAGCAAATTCATGTCCATTCGTTAAGTCAGGACTCACCATTTAGCAGTTTTCACCAGCACCGTTTGACGAGACCTTGAGTTAAACGGTGGTTTTAGTGGAATTTGGTTGAACCCCACGTTTTTCTCTCCTCGAGTCATCAATCACATGCTCAATGCATGATTTTATCTCCGCACGAACCTGTCTTCCATTTTCTACTGCATGAAAGCCCAAATTCGTGCCGTTGATCAGGCTGGAGGGGAAGCCATAGTGAATGTTTCCAGCGTCTTTGCTGATCGCGGTCTTGTCTGGCGCGCTCCTTAAACAGCTATGAAACACGCCATTCGAGGTATTACCAGAGCGACTGCCGCCGACTGGGCTTGGCGAGATATTCGGATCAATGAACTACAACCTGAAGTCATAGCAACTCCCATGACGGCGATGAATCCGGAAGAAAGTGCGCAGGTCGCTTCAAAAATTGCGGCAAAACGCCTGGGCGAACCTAGGGAATGTGCCATCGCAATTGCGGTCCTTCTCTCCGACGATGCCTCCTACATCACAGGGACTCACCTTGCAGTTGAAGGAGGATTTCTTGCACGATTACCGAGCCTGACAAGACCTGGGACTACAGAAACAGACGCAAATCGTCCATATGATAGCATTTGGAATTCTTCTTATTGCATAGTATTTGACCTTGCGACACTATGATCACAACAGCCAAAGTACGTTTGTTTGGTTTCGTAAGTATCGAAACGTTAAATGGCCTCTCGCCATTGAGTACAGTGGTTGGTTGGCTGGTTGATGTCATTTACCCTGACCCCTCGCAAATCAAAGTAGAATAACTATCGGAAATGGGTTGCTGAGCTCATCTGGGTGCACCAATCGGATTTCAACAGGTCTGAATTGCAAAGAGGCCCCTAGCTGGCAATTTGGTGGGCAAAACAATGACTAGTTAGTTAACTAGATCCGCATGTATTAGTCATTGTTTTGCCCACCAAATTGCCAGCTAGGGGCCTCTTTGCAATTCAGACCTGTAGAAATCCGATTGGTGCTCGGCGATCACCATAAAGTCGCATAGACTGGTGATACCTCTACTAACTCCTGGGGTCTCTTAGTACGCTCCCCGTAGCCTTACGTATCCTAGGGAGCGGGCGGTCAAGAAGCGGCTCGCCGTCCAAATTTATGGGTGGAAAGGCGGCCGTTTCTAGCGCCAGAGGTTGTCATTTTTGGCCGCGATTTCACAGGTCCTATATTCTACTTGTAATATGGTGCGACATCCCAGTATGTCTCAATGCATTACAATGTCAAGGCGAGAACCGAGGCTCATACTGGAGGACAAACAGAACAAACCAAATCAGCCGATAAGATAAGGATTGCGCGATCGGTACTGGTCACGTGGTTACCCACACCGGCCGTCATCGGAGTACAGACCCTCGGCCGATCATTGAGCTTAAGGCCACCGGTTGTTCATTTGTCGATTCACGGTTTCAATACCAGCCCGAAAGATGTTCCGTCAAAGCATTCGACGCTTCGGAACAACCGCTCTTCGGGCCGCGGCCGCGGAGACTTCCTACACCACTCGGGTGTCTACGGCGCAGGGCGTCGTGAATGGACTGACGGAAGGTATGTGAAGCTCTGGAGGAGCTCGAGCTCGACCTACGACATGACACTAACTGATCTCCTGCTGCAAAGCCATTGGCAACACCCCTTTGATCCGATTGAAGCGACTCTCCGAAGAGACCGGGTGCAATGTCCTGGGCAAAGCCGAGTTCCAGAACCCCGGTGGAAGTGTAAAGGACCGTGCTGCGCTGTTTGTGGTTGAAGATGCCGAGAAGAAGGGATTGCTGCGCCCCGGCGGCACCGTCGTGGAGGGAACTGCTGGCAACACGGGAATTGGCCTGGCCCATGTGTGTCGCTCCAAGGGCTACAAGCTGGTCATCTACATGCCCAACACGCAATCGCAGGGCAAGATTGACCTGCTTCGACTGCTCGGTGCGGAGGTCTACCCAGTCCCCGCGGTGGCATTCGACAACCCCGAGAATTACAATCATCAAGCACGCCGCCATGCCGAGTCACTGGACAATGCCGTGTGGACCAATCAATTCGATAACACCGGGAATCGCCAAGCTCACATTGAAACCACGGGTCCTGAGATCTGGGCACAGACCGGCGGCAAGATCGATGCTTTCACCTGTGCCACCGGTACTGGCGGCACGCTTGCTGGCATCACTCGCTACCTCAAGTCTGCTAGTGACGGAAGGGTCAAGAGCTTCTTGGCCGACCCGCCAGGCAGTGTCCTGCACAGCTACATTCAAAGTGGTGGCAAGCTGATCGACCGCTCTGGGGGCAGTATCACCGAGGGCATTGGTCAGGGACGTGTGACGGATAACCTGCAGCCCGATATTGATCTTCTGGATGGCTCTCTGAACATCTCCGACGAGAAGACTATTGAGATGGTCTATCGCTGCCTGGATGAGGAGGGTCTCTATCTCGGAGCCAGCTCTGCTTTGAATGTGGTGGCTGCCAAGGAAGTGGCCGAGAAGCTTGGCAAGGGCAGCACGGTGGTGACCATCCTCTGCGATGGTGCTTACCGCTACGCTGATCGGTTGTTCTCCAAGACTTGGCTCGAGTCCAAGAACCTGCGGTCGGCCATCCCCAAGCATCTGGAGAAGTACATTGTGTTGCCTTGAACATTACGTTGGATATTGGATAAATGATGTAGATCGTGAACATGTACTTCTAAACTTAACGCAGCGAGCTTCAGAGAATACAGAAAATGATTTCACGCTTCTCTGAATCATGGTGCCTGCCCCTTTATGGAGAGGCGAGGTTGCGAAAAAGTAACACCTTCCCGCCCTCACTTACGCTGATGATTTCCACTTTTTTGTCTAGACAAACCTCTGTGGTTAACACGCCTCTTCGGCTTCTCATCTCTGCCACCCGCTACCTCATCATCTAAACTTCTCAACCTCTCGGTTCTTCGCCCATAGTACTCGAAATAGCACCATGTCGGTCGAGACGCTCCCCCTCGCAGTCCTCCAGTCAGCCCTCGGAAGAATTCTTCGTTCGCGGAATTTTATTAACGAGAATAGCCATCTTTCAAGTGATGAGCTCACTGGCCTTCTCATCTCACCCCCCTCCTGGCCAAAATCTCCGGTCTTCTCCCCGTATGCTATCACTCATGATGGTTACTCACAAGGTATGTAGTCAAGTCTATGTTGACGCCTTACGTTTTCCCTGTACTGACTCTAGAGCAGTGCGGATTGGGAAAAACAAGTATCTCACTCATAGAGTGACCTACCAGTCCTATCATGGTGATCTTCAGGCGGGGATGGATATCAGCCATACGGTTTACGTTGGAAGGCGAACGAGCCAGTTCGTATACTCACTCCTATCTTATTTGTAGCTCATCGCAGCGTTAATCATTACATGACTCATAGAAACATCAATCCACGCCACCTGGTACAAGAAACAAATGAGTTAAATCAAACTCGGAAGATGTGTTTCATGTATATGGAGAGGATGACTAGTCGATGGAAGAGCGGACTAATCGGGAAGCCAGGGTGGACGGCCAAGCGACTTCGCAAATACATCAGGAAAAAGAACCATGCGTGCATGTTGGTTCATGAAAATTGTCGTTGTGATTGTCATCCTGGGCTGTTTCCTGCAGAATTATGAACTCGTCAGTACTTAAACGTTAATCTTAATTTACATCATGACCGTCTTAGCAAACTGCGATGTGGTGTACAAAGCCTCGTCCATCATTCAATCCATCTTATCTTATTACTTGAAATCATCCCAAAAATTCATCTACGTCCAGCTTGCAGGTTCGGGGAACAAGCACGACTCAATCAAACAATCAATAAAGAGACTTACTGATTGATTGATAGTGTGGCAGAGCCGATGTGTAGGCACGCATAGAAGCGATCGGTAATGACCATGAGGATCACTAGTATTTGGATTGCGTGTTTGATTGTTGCGTTTCGTATGGTGTCAACACCGGGCGCATTGTAGAAGGTGGTTTTGTTGACTGCATGCATGATCTCTGTGGTGGTGATAGGTGGTTTTGCGATGGGTGTGTAGTGTCAAGGTCGAAGAGAGTCATCAAAATGGGGGATGGGGAGATGAATGATCGACAGAATGTCGTTGATCAGCTCTGCGTTGTAGCATAAATGGAGGATGCCAGACAGACACATGGTTGCAAAACCAACCAAGTATAGCGGCCGGAAACCATGTTGACTTCGTTAGCAACGAGGAAAAGGCAAGATGAATCAGACACAAGAAGGTGAAATGAGGATTTGATAAATTGATTTGAAAACCCAGAATAATCCAATATGTAAAACGCTGAAATTGGAGAACAAGCACGATAGTGACGGGGCCTTCCGACGCTTGTCAACGCCAAAAGCTTCTGTTGGAGGCCCAGCTCAATCCGGATTTGATTCATATCGAGACAGAAACCAATCCATGTCAGGATGTCAGGCGTAGATTATGCCTGCCTCATTTCAGAGCGGCGACCAATTCCTCAACGCTCTTCATTTCGCGGTCGTTGTTCTCACCCACATCCAGGGCCACCAGGAACCGGCTCACGCAGTTGTATCCCGCAATACCAGTGGTCAGCTCCACAATCTCCCGGTCGTTGAATCCAACGATCTGCAGCTGGGCAAAGACTGCATCCTCGACTTTGATGGTCCGAGTCATCTGGTCGGTGTATCGCAGCACGGCGCGCTGACGGGGGGTAAGCACGCTACTCTCCAACTCAGCCAAGTCACCTTCCGTGGTGCAGGGCAATGTCCGGCAAGCCTGTAGCTCCTCTGGTGCAATACCGCCCTTCAGGGCGAGCGGGGCATGCGCATTCCACTCGTACACCGCGCCGTTGAGTACGGCAACCCGGCACACAGCCAATTCGAGGAGACCCAGGTCCACAATGGTGCGCGTGCGAATGGCGCCCAGGAAGCTGTTCCAACCATCTGCGACGGGTGGGCTGTGCAGCAGGGAGAGATCCAGAGGGATGAGGGGTCGCGGGTTTCTTCGTGCCGCAATGCGGGCATAAATGTCGGCGGTGTCGGCGACATCGTCACCATCGGTGGGCGGGGTGTTGGGGGCATATGGAAGCCGCATGGTGCGCGTTGTGGTAGTGCTGGTTAGATTGGTGCGAAGATGAGAGGATGGGAGTACTCTGCGGTGTAGCGTTCGATACATCAACCGTATAGCTGTTCCGGTTCCATGCCGATGACCACTGCCAATGCCAATGCCATTTTTGCCCTCATTGATCGGCTGTGGCCGTTGAAGGTTGCCGAGCGACTCCGCACGGAAATGAGTTTACGCGGGGCCCGTGAAACACGTGACTACGGACTCGGGGCTTGGCACATGCGGGGAGATTTCTCACGTGATGTGGCCCGCCATACGCCTCGATCTATGACCAACTCATTGCTGGACTTGCGCAAAGTCAGGAATTCGTTTGGGCGATTCCACCAGCCAGTTCTGGTGGAAGGATCACGAAGCTACCACATATCTGTTGTTTTCTCCTCTCCCACTTTGCTTCACACATGGTCCCAGTCCCCACACGCCGCCTAAGACGGCCGAAAGTCAAAGGTTAGACTCCGCAGACAGCCACAACTTATGAGCTATTTTGACTGACAGAAAATAGGCTGTTATGAGTGCTCCCAGCGTCGGATCAACTGCGACAGGACGGAGCCTTCCTGCCAAAAATGCATTCATAAAGGCATATCTTGCTCTGGACTGGGAGTGCGATATCGGTTCAATCATGGTGTTGCCTCTCGAGGAAAATTAGCCGGCAAGAATATAACAGGAGAGAGGTTACAAATGAACTTGTTCTTTTGTTGTGTATTCCTGCACAGCTTACTGATATTCCACAGAGCTGACCCAGTACCCAAGTCGCCATGCACCGACGCGCGTGTGATGGAATTTGAGCCGGACATTTTATGCCCAAGTAACTTTCTTGACCCTTTGGGCCCATGGAACAGATACTTGGTTACCTATTGTATGTGCTGAGCCCCTAGAGTCCGCTTGATAAAGTCTGCCACTGAATGGGATCTAGTTAGCGAGCACATCGCACCAGCAATGGTCGCTATCGACGACGAATCGAATGGCTACCGAGCAATCATCCTTCCTGTGGCCGAATGGCATAGACCTGTTCTTAACGCAGTTCTTGCGTCATCTACATATCATATCGCCCTGAAACTCAGTAGTCAAACTGAGGCGTTGCAACAAGCACAGATTTTCTACATACAGGCCATCGATGAGTTGATGCAGCTTTCCTCCAACGTCAACACCGAGCCAACCCAGACCTCGCGCATACTGACGACAGTTGTCATGTTAGTCTGTGCAATGATCACTGGAAGCTCCGACTTTCCCATCTTGTATAAAATGCTTGAGCATTCAATACAAGCCAGCAATACTCAAACAAGGCGTGGCAAACTCGCGTTTGACTCATTTGTGGAACTTCAAATGCGAAAGTATGCACCAAATTTTTTTTACCTGGAGATAGAAATTCGCGCTAATGCATCGAATAACCAGGTTTGAACTATATGCTGGCCCATTTCTTGACCCTAAAGTGGCCATAAACAGGTTCAATGACACAGAGTCTATCGACCGCGGACTAGGCTGTCTTCTTCAATGCTCACAGCTCCACCCTGAGTATTCTGTTGTTCTGGAAAGAGCATCAAGGTTGATTCACATTGCTTGTCTTATTTACTCCCTCCGTGTACGCAATGACCTCAGCCCTGGAAAATCGCGCCAGCTGGTAGAACAATACCGGCAGACTATCTCCCAATACCATCATGAGAGTCCTGGCTGGAAAATTCTCATTTGGCCCACCTTTATTGTCGCTGCAGGAACTGTCGATCATGCCCATCGATCATTCTTCACCTCTATATTTCATGACTTCTTCAAAAAGACCGGTTTCGGGAACCTTCGTACAGCGTTGAATATACTAAAAAGCATTTGGCAAGACAGTACGAGCGCGAACTGGGCAGAAGCTCTACCACAATGGAAGTCATTCATCATGTAAATATTTCCAGCGAGAGCATTCAAGACGACGTGGTTCTCGCAAGGAAGAAAAAAGATTTACTGAACATGCAACTGGAATTCTTTCCCAGGAGTTCATCGGTGTACTTTGAAACCTTTTGAAGTTTGTAATTGCGGTATAAAGCATGAATTGAAAATGATTCTCAACTCATTTGTGTATGATGAAACAAGCGTTGAATAAGTGTATCTTAGCGTTGGACTACCAAGAAAATATCTCGGCTGCCCTGGTATTACATTATTACAGCCTAATATCCCCGACTTTGCGTAATAGGGCTATTTGTACGCGAATATAGCACTCGGCTCATCCAAAACCACCCGAAATGCTCCAACCTCCATTCATAACATATACCAAACCATATCAGCACTCTTACTGAGCTATTCGTCCCCGGCAGATCGTGATTGAAAGTCTCTGTGTTGAGACAACCAGTCAGAAAGGACTATAAGGAGAAGAAGAAACCACCTAAATCGAAGCAATCTATCCCAGAGAAGGGACGACACACGCTCATCCACAGCCACAAACGACCTCGTCTGCACAGCCAACAGCCTGGGGAACTGTGCAATCGTCTCTGTCGGGTCGAAGATGGGAAGAAGCCGTCGTCCTATGCGTGAGGGAGAGCGGAAAATGTAATGCTTCTGGTAGGGAGCTGTTTTGAACAAAATGTGTCCAATGTGCAGTTATACGTCGTGATGCCTGTTGTAGAGAATCCTCTCCAATAATGCCTTGTATTCTGCCGACTGCACCATTTCTTACCATACATTAGCGTTTGGAGGAGCATGACGTGCGTAAAGACAGTAAGTGACTTGCAGCAGGGCTGTGCAGAGACCTCCAAAGGGAGGTCCCTCATGGGAAGGATTGATTTGCCTCTGTATCGTGAGCCGGCCCGTCATGAGTAGATATCGGCAGCACAAAAATCTCTCGGTTACCCGTGGCTTAACCAGCTTCTGCGCGGAGAGTACTGAGGTGCTGGTTCGAAAAGGAGTGCTATACTGTACGCATTTTAATGAGTATTGCATTGTCCCGCTCCATCTGTTGCGGAGGGGGAATCATACTGCAACTTGTGACAATGCCCTTGGGCTTTGCAACGGTCATTCTGAGTTGGTTGTGCGGTGATGGTGCTGTTCGTATGAGTAGCAGAGGATATGAAAAAGATATCCAAAGCAAGTCTGCGTAAACCTTGTAGATACAATATTGAAGAGTGGGTGGGCCCCGTGGGGCTTGAACTAAGGCCATTTTGTTTGCTCGGGAGAGGTTAAATAGGGATTCAAGGCCAAAATTGGCAAGAAGACCCCTTGGTAAAGTAGTGGTAAAACACTACGCTTAACGCACACCTCCGGCGAGTGGGAGGTGTTCGAAACCGGGTGGTGTCGAGGCACTCGCAGAATTGATACCCTCTCTCCATGATCGTCGGGTTTAAGTACCGGATGCCCAGTTGGGCGGATTAACGGGTGACCGGGGCCACTGCTCCACCTGGGCGGCCCGGGCTCGGTCTTCTTTTTTTATTTTTTTGGACTCGATTTTTTGATTAAGTTTGTTGCACAGCCTCTTGAGGTTGGTGGTCAAATATCTTGCACGCAGGTGTTGAATATTATAAACAGACTCTCATAGGGCGGAACCACGTGCATTGTACATATGTAACCCGTCCACGTGGATCCTCCCCACTTCCTTGATCTTCTTGGCAACTCTAATCAAACGTGATCCATATCGCTCCCGAGGTAAAATCACGGTGATTCTTTCTGATAAAAACTAGTTTGTCATCTATCCACCATGAACCACACATGAGGCCATCGTCCGTATATTAGGTGTTTCTTGTACGATGGCCAGGGAACAGAGATGAACAGGTACTATGACTCCCAAAGTCAGAATCTACATGGACAAAAGGTCCAGCCACAGATGTCCACAAGCAGTTTCTTCTTCGAAAATTGTTTCCAAGTGCCTCTTGAATTGGTTTCCTCGACAGCAATGGAAACCATTGGAAATACTTTTCAACCCACGGACATACAGCATAATGTTGAAGTGTGGGTAAGCAGTGTTCGAATCGTGTCCTGTTTTGGCAATTATGATAACCCCCTGGACGCAGACGCAGAAGTGGGTATGATGGATCTTTGGAATAAACATTTGTAGACACATTGATAAGGAATGGTTCGAGACAAACAGACACGTTTTCGATGTTTGAATGGTACTATGTACAAAGAGAATGACGGAAAATCCGTCCCAAACGCCAGTTCAATGCATTCCCACCTTCCACACTTGCGCCGACAAGAATCAGATACACATCCACACCAAACAAACTCAACGATATGCGCTGTTTGATACGCTAGCCTCAGATTCCTCGGGAATAGTGGCAAATTTGTGAAGCACTTGCTTCAACACCGGTCGTCGTATCGGTTTGCTACCATCCATTAGTATGTCGATGCACAAACCTTTAGTCAATCCGAACATACCTCATGAACATATCCATACCACAATCCATGCATTCCTTGATGTTGCTCTCTTCCGCAAAGGCACTCAATGCCACAATGGGTGCCGAGTATCCCATCTCACGAATGAGTCGCGTGCTCTGAAGGCCGTCCAGATTCGGCATCTACCCCAGTTAGCGCAAATCAAGATCAGCTGTAGTGGGCAGCGGTTCCTTACCTGGATATCCATGAATATCAGATCAAAGACTGCACCAGTTTCCATGTTGGCTTTGACGGTGTCGAACGCCTCCTGCCCATCCTTCACCATGGTCACGTCGTAAACCTCCTCGAGGGCCAGCATCCTGGTAAAAGTTAGTTCATGCAATCTGGAAGGAATGATACGTCTCATTCTTACCGTCTCACAACCTCCTGATTGACGGTGTTATCCTCTGCAACGAGCACACGGATCTTCTTGGCATTTTCATCCTTCTTGACGTCACCGGGATTCGATCCGGGATTCTTGGGGAGAGCGGTCGGCGTGGAGGACGGGACCGTCGGTGTGAAGAAAGGCTGGCTCAGGCCCACCAGTCGGGGCTGGATGTCTGACTTTTCGAATCCCGGAGCAACTGACTCGTTTCGCACAGAGCCATGATTGGATGGGGTTCGTGCCGCGTTTGCAAACTCTTCCAAGGAGAGCACGCTGGGAGTTCGCGAACCTGGCGTACTGGGTGCAAGCGTGCTTGGTGCAGCTTCCTTCACGAACCCGAGCGGGATCCGTAGTGTGAACAGAGATCCTCGCCCCTCCTGGCTGTCCAGGAGAATCACACCGCCCATGATGCGGGATAATTGAGCACAGATGCTCAGCCCCAGTCCCGTACCTCCGTACTTACGGTTCAAACCCAAGTCACCCTGCACGAATGGATCGAACACGCGCCGTTGGAGATGCCCTGGAATGCCTGGTCCGTTGTCCTCGACTTCAAATTGGAAGGCCAATTGTGGAAAGTCGGCAACTGGGGATGACTGATCCTCGTTCGCAGTCTCAACCTGCAGACGAGCCTTCTCGGGCACGCTTCTTCGGATTGGAGAAGGATCAACGAGGAGTTGCAGATTTCCCGAGTCACCTTCCGTTGGGGACTCAACATGGTCAATGCCACTGGTAGTTTCCCCAAGACATCGAATGCGCACCGCCACCGTTCCTTTTTCGGGTGTGAACTTGAGACTGTTGCTCACCAAATTGATCAACACTTGCAAGATTCGATGTTGATCTCCCCAAAGAACCATATCCATGAGCTTTGCCGGTTGCATGCCGTCCAAGCTGGACCGTGGTTGCCCATGGCCCTCGTCGATGCACATACGACTCCGGGGACCAGTTTGAATTTCGTCCCCAGCAAAACAGTCCACGCTAAAGTTAATTCGCTTTTCGTGGACCTGATTTTGGAAGATGGTGGTCAGTTGGGATCGGATGTCGGAAACGCGGAACTCCTTCTCTTCCAGTTGAATGGCCTGCTCAATTTGATTTTTGCTGAATGTTAACAGGTCATTCAGCAGATGCAGAAGCAGGTCGCCCGACTGATAGACCACTTGGAGTGACTTCTTCACTCGAGACAGGTCATCTTCGCCCATGCAGACCGCGCACATGCCCAGAATGCCGTTCAATGGGGTCTTCAGCTCATGAGAGATGTTGGCAATGAACAAAGTCTTGCTCTCGTTGGCTGTTTCGGCGGCCAGTTTGGCCTTCTCCAATTCGCGAGTCCGCTCAGCCACCCGCTCTTCCAGACGATTGTACTGGATGGTCAATTCATCGGACATCTCATTGAAGGTGCTGGTAAGCTCCGTCAACTCATCTCTCACGAAATGTCGCCGTTCTTTCACGCGCGCCGGGATCTGGAATCGCCGATCAGCAGTGGCACTGAGCACGTTACCCGTGCTGTTGAATCGCTGCAGCGGTCGCCGAATGTGCTTCACCCACGAGTCAGGGCTGCTCTTCTCGTCCGGCTGCTCCTCGATGGCTTCAACGTCGCCCTCATGAGTGTTGCTGCCTTTGGTTGCTTGCCGTGAAGAGGGCGGGGTTTGGATCTGCGGCACGACTGACTTACGGGCAGCTTCTCGCAGCCTTCGAATCGGAGCCACGGCCCAGTGGGTCAGTAGTGGCACGAGCAGGATGATGGCACCCGCCGTGCCAAAGACACACGCCAGGATAATTTTCCTTAAACGCAGGACGGGACCAAATGCCTCTGAATGCGTCTCTTCCATGATCAAGATCCACTCCGCCAATTGTGTCTGAGGACGAATGACACCCACCGCCACCTGAGCCCCTTCCTCGTTGGTTGTCGAAAGCCGACTGATGGACTTGTTCTCCCGACCGTATGGCTGTAGCATAATCTCCAATGCCATCGGGTAGCTCGACAGCGCGAAAGGGGTACTGGTCGTCATCTGCTGATGTCGGCTCGCCTGACCGGGCAGTGGGGTGGGCTCAAAGACATAATGAACCTGCGCATCCGTCAATCCGGCAGAGTTAGCGGCTGAAGTTGCGGTTGCAGGCTGAGCATCTGCGGCAAACAGGTTCTCTGGTCGAGAGGGCCCCAACAACAGCACCTGGCCAGTGTTTCCGAGTCCATCGCGAGATGAGATCACGTCCTGGATGTTGGCAGCACTTGCCAGCACACTTGTAGTCATTAGCATCGATTTCATAGCTTGAACGAGGTAGCCAGAATGAAAATCACGTACGTCATGAAGCCTAGGAGCTCAGTATCGGAGGTGTTGTTCACAATGGGCAGGGTCAATGATACCAAGGAGAACGAGTCGTTGACCCAGAGCGGGCCAAGCATCAATGTCGTGTTCAAACCAAGCGTATAGTCCGGGAAGGCGCGTACGGTCCATGAGGAGTTATCGTTGAAGGACTGGGTGTAGGTCAAATTTGGATAGAGCATGGAGGGGAAGACCTCATCTCCCAGCATGACGGCGCTCCCATTGGCGTCGGTGTAGGGCAGAGTAATGTCCGGGAGCGTGTCACTGGTGACATTGAGCAATCGCGAGACTCCATTTTCTCCACTTCGTGAGTATAGTACGGCCTGGTACAGGCTGAGATATCCTCGGCTACCCAGTGCGGACTGGAAATCCAAGGTCGAACTGCCCCAATTGCTGGCGGAGGTATTGCCGGCATAGTATCGCTTGAGGGCTGCCTGAATCAGGATTCGAGTGGAGATGGTCTTGCAGGTCACCTCAACGACCTCGAGTGTCGATGCGATCTGACTCGCCTTGATGGACGCCACGAGCTCGAGACCTTGCGACCTGTTGGGATGATAAGTATGCGTATGCGACCGCTGCGTTCCGCCTCCATCACTGTGCGCTGCGCGACTGAAATCAGGACTTACCCAACATCCACCACAAAATCATAGGTGGTAAACCACTAAACGCTGTCAGCAATGGATCTCGTAATCGCCCAGCCTTGATCAGGACCTGAGAACGGAGGGGGGGAGCGTACTGTTGCAATGGCGAGGATGGCGATTCCCGTCAGCGTCGTGATAAGGACGAGCAGCGCAAGCTGCACTGCGATAGGAATCCGCATGCGACCGAACGTAATTCCCGGGCATATAGGATGCTCCACCGAGGAAACGAGAGTGGGAAATCCAAAAACGCAACAAAATCGGGGATGTCGGGGAATAATCAGGGAAAAGCTGCTTTGCCTGAGTTGACAGGGACCGTTTTGAACTGACTGGGGGGTCTAGCCCTTCGGTGGGGAAGACCGGCGTTCTAGACTCATAATTTACCGTATACATGGTACGGTACTGTAACCCTCCGGCAAGCGTCCCAGTGCCCGTCAACAAGTATTTGACCTTACCTACCGCCTACTGTATTCATCGAAACTGGCTTTAGCTTGGCTAATAGGAATTTGGAGACATCATTATTTTCCGGCAGAATATTATCTAAAAAATTGGAACTGGTCAAATACTTCTTGAGGGGAACTGTAAGAATTGCCGAACCAGCCAATCATCTAGACCAACCCGGTATTACAGAATCATACGGTATTGCCATCAGGGTCTCTACAGTGGTAGTGCAAAAGTTTGAAACTATTTCCTGCTTACCGCCCATGTTTCACCGCCTGTTACTGACTCCTAATTACCGTCTACCTCTTTCGCGAGATGCGTTATTTATTAGCTGATATAGGTGCGATGCCTCACAGGGTACAAGAAATTATAGACTTAGAAGAGTGATATACAAAATATAATGTTGTTTGGGATGAAATCTCTCTTCTTCGATAGATTTTTGACTAGCAGAAAAGCCTTGGCATTAAGGAAATAGTTTCAAACTTATGCACTGCCACTGTACTTAATCTATTGTGGACTAACTCTGAAGGAGTATGTACTATTACATCCGGAGGTCTATATTATACATACATCCTCTATATAGTACAACACACATTTATATAGAGTAGCCTGTACATTGTCCAGTACAGCAAAGCGTCACCCAGGATTTTCCTCCCCCGCCGTACCAAACAATGTCAATGTTGGTCTATTAGAGAAACATACTTCTAGTGTGCTCATATAGTCTATCAGATGGACAACAGATGTCTACATTTTGCATTATGTCCAACTCCGTACGCCTGGATACAACACCTACGTCATTGTCCCCGGGCTCCAGCGAGTCCAGCCACATCTCCCCTTTCGACACGGGTGTACCGATTGAGGGATGTCAACAGCAATTGACAAAAGAAAAGTGGTCGATGGTACGTAGCTTATATGCGGTTGCGTCGGACTTGATTGGGTGATTCGAGTGTTTACAAGAATATGGGGGGAACTCCATCGACAACCAGACTCTTCGAACTCAATGCAAATTGTGGGTATCCAAAGTATTTCTATACACAGACAAGTCCAAGTTCCAACAAGCTTGATAATCACATCACCGCTTGCGCGTGGTCTTCTTCTTTTTCTTCTTTTTCTTCTGCTCACCCGTCGTCGAACTGACGGGCGCGTTCCGCACCGGCCATTTTTTCAGATGCTCCCGTTCAAACGCATCCTTTTCCCGACGATACAATGCCATCGTCGCCCGCGCATCCTCCACGGACGAATGAGCCCCGTCTTGAATCTTCAACCCCAGGAAATGCTCGGCCAGCATCTTCAGTCGTGGGGATCCACCGCCGGCGATCTTGCGGTACTCCGGGTGCTTGCTGGTATCGCGAATGTCGCGCTTCGGGTGGCCCAGGAGCAATGCATCCAGGTCGTTGCTGACCGCATGGCCCACCAACACACGTCCATCCATGATCTCTCCAACCTCCTTCTGGACCAGTTCCAGCGTGCGGGCTTCCACCATGTGCTTGGGGGCAATGCCACTGACATGAGTCCGCCAATCGGTCACCATCTCTTTCGGTCGCACGTATGAATCATAAACTTGGTCACCGTTGAAATTGACAATACTGACACGGGCGAGAACCGAGTCGTTGTCGGGGTTGGGACCCACGCCCACCATCTCGCAATCCATGGCAATGTATTTTCCGATTTCCGCACTGAAGGATTTTGGCATGAGTATTGAAGATTTAGAAAGGGAAAAATTTTTGACCGCGTGATTGCTTACCTTGGAGAACGGCCCTCGTTCACCTTTGCAGTCCGTGATACTGGGACTGTGGGAGTAGACGCGACCGTGCTGGATCTTCGCCGGACTGTCGTTGAGCCCGAGTCGGTGCCCTCTAGGCCGGCATTGGCAGATTCATCCAACATCCTCCGTTTCCTGAAGGTGCTCTGGGAGGTTCGTGCCTTAGACTGGTCTTTCTCGACAAACTTGCGTTTCTTCACAGACACGGTCGCCGAGTCGCGGTCTGCAGCCTTGCGCTTGACCGTTGATGTACTTTTCACGGCACTGCCTTGGTTGAGTGTGGCCTGTAGCTTCTTCCAGTTGCTGGAAAGGGTTGTTGCGTCCATTGCCAGGGGTGACTCGGTCTGCAAGCGTTATTGCATGCCGCGGAGGAGGTGAAGGAAACAGAAGACCGATCCACGGAACTTTTTTTTTTCTGTCGGCAGAAAAGATGCCAACCAGCGCCACACCGTCGAGCGGTGAAAGCTACAGTGAATCGTAATTGGCCAACATACTGTACTCCATTTCCCCAGGAAGAATCGGGTACATGATAGCGAAATTTGGTCAGATTGAGCATCCTCGTTTTTGGTATTGAGTTCTTATACTACCGGGTCACTATACATGGATTGGCTTGAGGCTTGTTCCCTTTGCTAGCGTGTTTGGCTGGTTTGGCTTGCTTTGTTTGCTGCTTTTGCAGCCTGATGCCTGAGACTCGAGCTGTGGCGGTGTGTGGCAGTGCGGCCCACTCTGTGGCTTGGCTAATTGGCTGGCAGGCTACATCATCATCTCTGCTTCTACGACTGACTGCTACTGGAAAAGTAAGATAACAAACGCTTACATAGCATCGGTATTCAAAGGAAGCTTAATCAGTTCTACGAAGAACGATTGATAAGGATGGCTTAATAGCAGGGATGTTGCTAACAAGTCTGATATATTTTTAGTTGAAGCCCACCAGTTCCACCATGTAACAAACACATCGAGGTTGTAGAGTTATGAACACTCCGCTTCTTTCCATTCCATTCAAGTGTTTGCTGCCTGAGCATCGAAGAAATCCGTTCCCTTGCATCTTTTTGTCTTGCTTGGAATGGAATATTGTGATGCCTAGCGAAAGCTCGACCTCACATGGACATGGTCGACCACGTATCGGCCGCATGGTTCATGCTTGCTGCCGTGGCCAGTCGTCAGGAATAGCGGTACATCGCATACATGTAGCTACATAGGGAAAATTGGTTGACTGAGTTGTGGAATTCCATGAGTTGGTGGATTGGCTACATTTACATGGCATTCTTCATCTCTCGCAGCGCAGCCATGACATCCACTGGATGGGTCTTGCCGGTGGCCTTCTGAATCTCAGGGTCCTGGAAGCAAGTTAGTATAAAGACCGAACAAAAATAGAATTCGCTCGTCTCATCCCACTTACATTAACACGCATGAACACATTATGAAGCTAAAGCATGAGTGGGTTAGCTCCCGACGGTCATCGAACTTCACAAGGCCAGCAGTGACATACCTTTTCATCGCCGATGGTAAACTTGCCCTGCGTTTGCTGATTTGCCTCGGCAAATGCCTGGAGCTTCTTGATGGGCTCTGTCTGGGACACATGAAGACAGAACTTCACATTTGCCTTGGTGTACTCGTGGCCGGGCTGGAGGATGCAATTGTCAGCAGACATGTTGGGGAGCTCACACGAAGAGTGATCAACGTACGTAAACCTTGGTATCATCGGGCAAAGCAGCCAGTGTCTGGTTCAAAGCCTTGTGCATCTCGGCGGCATTCCCCTCGAAGAATCGGCCGCATCCTGGGAGAAATTAGAAACTGGGGTTCCTCCAGCATGAAGAGATCTTGGTCACAAACCGCCAATGAAGAGAGTATCTCCGGTAAAAACGACGCGCTGGTCACCATCTTGCATGAAGTAGCAGATGCTGTCTTGCGTGTGACATGGGGTGTGCAGAGCGCGAACAGTGATTCGGTCACCGATCTTGAATTCCTCGCCATGTGCCGGCGTTTTCGTGACCGACTTGCAGTTGCTTCCTCCAATGACAGGGAGTTTACCAAATTGTCCCAACTGTGGAAAGTCAGACTAGAGACAACATATCTGTAGGTGGGGATATGGTAAACTGACCATCTCGTCATTGCCTCCAGCATGATCCCAGTGGCTGAGTTGGCATGTCAGCGCAAATTGCCGGGCCGGGAGCTAGGATTGTCTTCGGTAGCGATTGACTTACTGATGCGTATTCACAATGGCCATCAAATCAATCTTCCCAGCGCTGATCTGCGACTTCAACTCCGGTGCAACCCTAGAAACCAGAGTCAGCAGTTGAACAACTTCTCGAGCTGTCATGAACCTCGGCCTGGATTGACATACTCCGGGGGATTCGCAGGATCAATAACGACCGACTTCTTCGACGGCTCATCTGTTACCAGGTAGGCATAATTATTGCCTTTCCCGGTCCCTGCAAGAAATCAAAGTCAGATCGCCAAAAATCTCGGTACCGTATGGCTCCGGGTGCAACATGCGCACACGGTCGGCGCCACCTCACTTACACATTGGAATTGATTGAATATGCATGGCGCGGATGTTGTGTGGTTTGACTGAACAGGGATTGAAGCACCGAATTGCTTTTGCAAGATACATTACCAGAAACGCAGGGACGATGTGCGGGGATGGCCAATTGAGCTCATCCACAACACCCGATGACATATCACGTCACACGGGACGACGGTTTCTCCGGAGACCGTTACTACCGCCTCGAAGTACTCCGAGGGTCCCGCGGACACTGGAAAGCAGTAGCGAAGATCAAAATTTCACTTGATTAGTCTGCAGTGTCTAGGAATATGAACATTGGAAGTGCGACCTGTTGATTAATGAGTTTCTCGTTGGAATTTGAGGTTAGCGGGGTAGCTCGTGGCAGCCAAGCGGGATAAATGGGGGCATCGTGATTTGATTTTACGGGGAAAGTCTTTGTCAAAACATGCAATTGGAGGTATACGGAAAGTAACCCGCAAATTCATGGAAAGTACCGCCAGCAGTACGAGGTTCAATGATTAGTATACATGTGCCTCTTAACTTTTCGAAGTCATTCCCAGTGGCCGATTGTCCCATTTCTCCGCAAGCCTCCATCCATGCCCCTGTAGCTTCTTTGAAACATCACCAACCGAAACATTATGTGCTCGTTTCCTCAAAGACTTGTTCGCCGATATTTGAGGCCGGGGCACCACAGCAGCGCTGACTTGTTGCTGGAGAATGAGATTCTGAGCCACGACCTTCGCCCAATGAGTCGACTGGCCATTGCACACGGCGAGGATGTAATCCCGAGGAAGAGATGGCCTCTGCGACTCCCACGCAGGCGAGGTGAGCAGATGATCCAACCACAGGAAAATTCCTTCAGCAATGGTGTTCTCTGGTGATTCAGTCGCCGGATTGAATGCCAACCTGTGCACTAGCTCCTCGGACAGGAACAGCAAGAACGAGGATTGACTGTCTGCCACCTTCCGCAGAACTGGGTCCCACTTGTCGAACATGGCGTCCATGGAGTCCCCAAGTCTAGTTCTAATGTTAGCCATTAGTGCAATAGCAAGATTAGACACATGGGGAAATCACACCTTCTCTCAGAATCAAGCAACAGTTTCCGATCCAACAAAAGGACCGACAGAGCAGCTAGGCCAGCATCCATCCCATCCCTCGAAACACCACAAATTTCGACCAATTGACCCGCAAAGCCATCATCTTGCCCGCGCTTCCTTTTCTTCTGTACTGGTCTGGAGACTGACCCGTGAATGAACTCTTGCAACACCTCACCAAGTGCCGTCGTGACGGACAAGCTTTCATCATGGTTGTGACGAATGGCACCACCAGTTACCTCGAGGTCAATATTGGCCCAATAGTTGTCCCACAGCCACTCCAACGAACGCTGTGTGGCTTTGCGAAGGACAACGAGCGATGGAGGCTCACGATGGGTTGCTTCATGGCGCAGTTCAACAAATGAGGCTGGAAGGCCCAGATCCATCGCCCTCTGGAACATTGTTCTCCGGGGGCCAGTGACTTTGGTGTCTACCAAGCCTGTCACAAACCTGTGTCATTGGTTAGCCCGTTGCGGAACATGCATGAAGGTCATTCGGTCGGGTGCTTGCAAAACCAAGCGCATGGGAAGTGATAATCACATACCGACAGAAAGCTGCAGAGTACGTGGCCCGGATGGAAAAAATGGAGTTCCGCTGCCCATCGTCATGCAGAATCGCGTCTGTCAACAACGCTGTGGCCTCCACATGATGTGGGACATTGCCATGTAATTTCCAAGCCTCAACCTAGTCTAGCATTAGCTTCAGCACAGCGCCCTTGAAAGATGGTCACATACCGTGGCGCAGGCGTGTGAGCGCATGTCCGGCCCAGCGTACCATGTGGGTGGGTAAAATTCACTCCGCACGTCGAGTAATTGGGCCTTGGTCTTCCATGCTGTAAAAGTGACCTTGGCCATTTTGGATCAGATGGCTCCACAAAGGTCTTTCTGTTCGACAGATTCCAGCAGGGGTACCAATCCGTGTCGTGGATGGGAGGTCTTGACTTGGTGAAAGATTCTCGGAGGGTTGTTGATCCTTCGGGGTAGTTTTTCCGAGGTCAGAGGTCGACCCGACTGAGTGTCTGGGCGGTGAATTCTTTCTGCCCTGCACAAAAGTCAGATCACATGACACTATCGCCTCGGCTCCATAGTATGATCAGCAATCAGATTCCAAAGGCAATGCTATATAAATACTTCGCTATGCTACGTAATGCAAATGAGATCCATCGTCCACCTGTCATCCCCAAACTTACTGTCTCTTCTTCAGAACCGCAATGACACACCACCGCTGCCGATTCTCAGGGTTCTCGCCCTCCCGCAAGGGCACCCACTCCCGCCGAATCTCCCCACCCTCCTCATCCCGCGAGATTAGATCCCTCTCGAAGATCTGCTCAATCTCAAACCCGTTCTTGAGCGCAGTCTCAAAGAAGCCTGCCACGATAGCCCGACCCGTATGGAACCCAGCCACACACCAGACTCTGCCTGCCGGGGCAAGGAACCATTGTATCGTTCGGACGAGGTTCTCATGCTGCGAGCGCATCCAGTAGCAGTCCGCGGCAATGATACGGGTAAAAGATCCCCTGTAGGATTGGGAGAAGGAGTCGGTAACGTTTCCCCATTCGTGGGCCTGGATAGAGACGGCGGTCCGTTGGAAAGGTTGACGTTTGAGGAGGTTCTGCCTCAAATTGAATTCGGTTGCACCATTTAGGGCTGGCGACGAAGGATGATCGTTGCGATGACCAGCGAGGCATTAGCGAGGGCAACAGATAAGAGAGGGTAGAGCAGCGCCTAGGTGGTGGATATCAAAAAGCTGAGATAGTTGTATCGCATTGCTTCGAGGAACTTACCAGCGCCGAGCTCCATCACCGTTTCCCCATATTCAGACCAGATCTCATGAGTCTCTTTCTGCGCGGCAGAGTCGTTCTCCTTTGCCTGACAATTCGCATTCTCAATGCCTTCCGCCACAACCATCCCCGCACTCCATAGAAAATGCGCAAACAGCGGTCTTTGCTCCTTAGCCTGACTACCCCCTCCTTCTCCTCTAGTCCAATCGTGACCTCTTCCGACTTCTTTCCAGTCTGGCCTGGATAGGACGGAATCATGATTTCCAGCTCGCCATATCGCGGGGACGAGTAGAGGAGGTACTGGCCGGGATCACCATGGAACGAAGGCGCATCATCGGGAAAGAGATGAAGCAGGAAATTACCGAAGAGTTCCCCTGGGGACTCTTCGATATCCGAGCTCCAGTCTGTATCGTGAAAGTCTGGCGCTAGGGCCGCAGGCTTGGTGGTGGTTTTAGAGGGTTTGCGGCGGGGAGCTGATCGCAGGCGCGAATGCAGCATAGTAGGCCTCGTTCCCTCTCCAGAAAGGCTACACCTTGAGCAATATCTTGAGCTGTTTTGGATGAAGAGAGGCGATGAGGCGTGCTAATAACACGGTTGCGGCACTATTAAAAGGAAGATCTTTTTACTAGCCAGACAAAGGACATGCGATTACAGTGCGGGGTAGTGATAAGGCACGCGGCGGAGAAAACACTTATGTTTATATTGTTTGCTTGTAGCGGGTTAACTCACAAGTTGGGAGGACATACGGCAGCGGGCGGTCAAGCATTTAGCTTACCGTCGAAAGGTACCTAGCTCTTCTGCAGCGCTAATCAAACTTCTTCGGCACCGTCAAGATTTCCAGTGATCAAAGGGCCCATTCGTTGATATCATGTGGAAAGCGACTGACGTTTAATTTAAGGAGGGAAGTTGGCAGATTCCCAACGGTCGCCTTCTCGTCGTCCAGGGTCTCATAGTGTCGTGGAAAAGTGGAGAGATTCATTACAGTGACCTCGGATTGGTCACTTCCATCCCAGATTTCCTATGTATTTGTATGTAATATGCGGGTAACCCTTGACCATCGGTATGGTCACTTGAATACCTGGTTACACCGCCATGGGACAGCTCAACCTGCCCCTTTTCCCATTCGTTCGAGTCCTTTTCCTTTCTTCAATCAATCAACCTTCTCTGTATGATTCCGATAGTTCTCATTCGTCCATATGCATACTAGTCTATACCAATCCTACATATCTTGACACATAGTCTTGTATCAAAACCGGTTGAATTGGTATAGGCTAGTATGCATATGGACGAATGAGAACTATCGGAATCATACAGAGAAGGTTGATTGATTGAAGAAAGGAAAGGACTCGAACGAATGGAAAAGGGGCAGGTTGAGCTGTCCCATGGCGGTGTAACCGGGTATTCGAGTGACCATACCGATGGTCAAGGGTTACCCGCATATTACATACAAATACATAGGAAATCTGGGATGGAAGTGACCAATCCGAGGTCACTGTAATGAATCTCTCCACTTTTCCACGACAATACGATTTTGGCCACCCTCCCGTCCTTCTTCTACAGTATGTGTGTGTGTGTGTGATGTCATTTACACTGACCCCTCGCAAAGCGATATGCAATATACAACTATGTCGGACTTTAGGCGGTGACCATAAAGTCGTAGTAATACACATAAGAAGATAGAGTGTACATAGGTAGGTAAATACTCAATGTAGTGTCTAAATACACGGTTATGGGTCTATAAGATCTTGACATGGTCTCTAGGCACCACGGTCTGTCCCTTGATTGTGAAAGACTCCTGGTCCGTTTTGTCGACCTTGGGAGCGAAGTGTATGATGGCTGTTTTGTCTGCCTCGAAAGTCGCTCCGCTCCTTTTCTCCCAGTCGAGTGCATCAGTGATAATTGCTTCAATACCTTACCGATTACTCTGTGCAGTTGGTCCGGTCACCCACGCGGTAAAATCGTCCACGAACGCGATTGCTCCGCCCTGGCTGTCGATATGTCGTTGTACGAGGTCTGCGTTGAAGAAGAGGAACAGGATCGGGGACAGCGGCGAGCCCTGCGGCAGTCCAGCCTGTGGTAGGCTTTGGACCTCAGACAACTGGCCATTGATTTGGATGGTTGCCGTTCGTTCCGAGCAGAACGCCTCCACCTACCGGAGCAGATCCTCCGGGATGCCTCGCGCTTTCATCCTCTGAAGTAATCGTTCTTTACACGCTCCGTTGTAGACTCCCTTGACATCAAAGCTGATCAGACTCAGTACCCGTCGGCCGCGCTACGCCGTGTAGATTTGCTCTTGCAGAAACACGAGTGCTTGCTCCGCAGACCGCTGCTTTCGGGCTCCGAAGTGGCTGGTTAGGAGCAAGCCGTACGTCTCCACCGCGTGTGAGATCCTTTCAGTAACCACTGATTCTAGTATCTTGCCTAGCGTCGTAGGCAGTGAAATTGGTCTCTATACTTTAGCAATGCGGTAATCTTCTTTATTTGGCTTTTTGAGCGGTATGATCCTCGCGTGTCTCCACTGCCTTGGCAACGTGCCTCCTTCTAGTGAGGCTTGGAAGAGATTAAGAACCCTGTCCTTGACTATGGGCCACGTTATCTTCTAGACTATCACCGGCAGGCCGTCTTCGCCAGGCGCTTTCTAAGACTTCGCCGCCAACAGTTACCGCTCTACCTCCTCCATCGTGATAGCTGGCATTTCTACCGGTGCTCTTTCTGGTCTCGTCCCTTCATCATTAATAATATCCGGCAGAGGCGGGAAGAATGTGGTCAGCAATTCTTCTGCTTGCTCCTTATGATCGGTGGTGGTCGTTCCGTCTGCTCTTAGGAGCTACGGGACCTTTCCAAACGCTACGTCGTCTCCCGACTTCAGGTATTTAGCAGCTTTCTATATATTATCGTTGTCTGCGAGGAATTCATTCCAGTGCTTTTTCTTTTGTTGCCGGATAGCATCGTGGTATTAGTTCGCTACACCTTGGGCCATCTCTTCTAGATGGGGTACCTTTCGTCCTGCCAGTCGCTCCGAGCGGGCGTGATTCCTCCAGTATGTGTATGTTTGACGGAGCTGTGTCAAGTCATCTGTCCACTATCGCTTTGCGTGTGGTGACGGTCTGGCCTTCGGGGTCAAGGCATGCACCGCTTCCCAGACCACGGGCAGGAGTCGATCGGTTTTCTGCTGCACGGTGCCCTCTAACGGGGTAGCGGCTAGGTTGTTCGTAATCCTAACATTGATCGCTTTCCATGGAGAGTTTTTCAGCAGGAGTCGTTCCGGGTGCTTTGGGGGCAACCATAAGGCATCGAATACGGTCTCAATGGTGCAGTGATCCGACCCATGCTCTGTCCCAAGTATGGCACACTTAACCATGGAGTCTGTTAGGTTTCCCGAGGCCAGGACGAAGTCGATCGTGGACTCGCAGTCCCCACTCTGTCCTGCACCATGCCATGTCTTTGTGCCTCGTTTGAGTAGACTGCTGAGTGCAAATTCATTCGTGAAGTCGATGATTGGGTCCGCTTCACCTTGTCTTACCAAAGACACGTCGTCTCCTCCCCAGAGTTGATCATGACGGTTAAAATCTCCCACAATTATGATCTCCAGCGCTCATTAATGGTGTTCGAAGGATATTCCGAGACAGCTGTGCGGCCATAGTTTGTCAAGAGTTCTCCGTTGATATAGTCCGTAGCAAAAACGGCTTCCTCCCTACAGACTAGTTTTCTTGTCCTGAGCCCCACTGCCAAGGCATTGGCGCTTAAATTCATTTGACGGACCTCAATTGTGAATATTAGTGTTCAAAGTATTGAATGGTACTGACAACCAAATGACCGTACTTTCACCTATTTTTCCGAAATTAACGGTTATTTGGTACAGTATGCCCTCACGTATTGGATGATGCGCATGAGCGCATGACTGTGGTGGTCTCATTCGTCGTTGAGTTTTTGAAGGCCTATCAGTAGCAGTTTGCACAATCTATCTCCCTCTGTTTTGACCCTGGGTCTTAATGGCGCCTCATGCCTACCCTCCTTACCCGATGTCTAGAACACGGTGGAGTCTGATGTCAAGGACTCTTCCAGGTGGAAGGCGTACTCTTGCTCATCCTAATTAGGAATAGTCGTCGATCTGACACAGAATTCTATGGAATCCGGAAGATCACGGTGCAAGCAAAACAAATATGACGTCATGTCCCTGGTGTCAAAGCGTTGTTCCTGTGCCCTCAATTTGACTTACCTTAGTCCAAGACCAAGCTTGGTTCTTCATCCAATCATGGGGCAAAGAATATTGTGCTAGTCTGCAAATGGTCTAAACGTGAGCATTCCGTAGCGACTAACTTAGATCCTGGCGGATCTGATTGTCTATTAGTGTATACACGTGGAAGTGGGTCCACAAAATCAGCCTTCACGCTCCGCTTAGAGAACACGTGGGAAAGTTCATCAAAGAGTGAGGTTGTTGCACCGGTTTCGCAACGTACTCTATCCGGAACAGGGCTTCCTTGCACATTCTTTGGTAACAGGCTACTCCGTGGTACAGCCCGGATATTATGGAGCCAATATAATTTTCCTACTATAGATTTGCGAAGTTTATTCAGACCAAATGACTTACAACATTACGATACAAGGCCCAGATATAATTCTATCCTCACATACTACCCGTGATTTAGTATTCCGAGCAACTCCAACCCCTCATAACCCCTGATCAACGTGATGTATAACGTTATACATTAGAAAGTGAATGGGTCAGAAGGCATTGCGCATCAATAGTTTAGAATATCCTGGACACCGACTAGTTCCCCATATTCCGATCTCAACAATGATCTATGCAACCTGAAGTCAGTGGCACTGATTTTGCTATTGAATGCGGAGACGGAATGTTAGCGTCCAAACATTTTCGTGGTGATCTATTGAAAATTTTCATAAGTTCAGAGAGCTTTTCTATTACAGAACTCTCAGTATATCTACGATACGTTCAACAGAATTATGTCTCGGAAACCATACAGCAGCTCGTTAATGCGTGGGCGAGTTTGAGGATTGATTGTTCAAGGAAGTGTGATAGGATTATTATTACAGTCCGTGACAGAGAAGTAGAAAGGGGCCGCCACACCTAAACAGTAAAAGGCCTCAAGTATCAACTGCCTCAAAGCTGAATGTTTCAACACAAAATTACATGTGTTTTTTTGATAATGGCTTTCGATATCTGGTGGTCACTATCTTTTTATGATCACCGAGATTAGCTCGCTCTAGGAGGTTCAAGAAGCTCAAAAAGGGGGTGGTTCACTCACATCGCTGCCTTTTATTTTCATACTGACGAAGAAATCCTCGGCAGGATTGTAACATTATCATCGCCTAAGATCGCGCTTTGATACAAATTTCTCTGTCAAATGATTATTACTCTTATGAATAGTTGAGAAAAAACACCCTACAACACCCAGGAATGATGAAATCATTATCGCAGCAATCTTAAGTCTCCATCGTGAGCTATCTAGTTCCTTAAATCTTGTCCTAGATCCCAACTTACTCTGATATAGGTATAGTCTAGAGCTTTACAAGGCCACCAAACTGTGTATTTGATGAATCGCGGAATTGGGTCTTCGGAATACAGTGATTGATGAATCCCATGCAGGCCTTGTAATTCCCGTAGACCGTTTTCGCAACCGTTGCAATGCAGGGAAAGGTATTGTCGTATATTGATGCAAGTCGCAGTATATATATTCGGAGACAGGGCAAGGTGAAAGGATCACCTTGTAGTGAACAATGACTTGAACATGAAATTCCTCTAATTGGAATTATAGTATACTCAACTAGGTGTCTGTGGGCTGATAAACAGATGTCTTAGCAGCTGGCTCAGCATCGGCCTTCTCATTGCAGGAATCTTTTGGTCAACTAGCTCCAAAAGAGATAACAAGATTCCAATGCAGATTGTTGAAGAGAAATTTAACATTGAATAACTATCCATCCTGGGTCAAACGTTACATGGACATAATTGTATCAGGGTGATGGTCGGAGAGGCACATGTGGAACAGTTGATCAATTAGACATTCTCTGGGATTAAGGTAAGACACGCCACTTGGGGTGACATTCTTTAGTTTCCCTTTTTTAGATGTTGGTATGGTTAACACTATGATCCTTAAATTCGTGGGAAACGGCTTTAGCTTGATTGAAGTATCGTCGCAAATCCTCTCCTAAGACAAAAGCACCGGGTGAATCAGTCCACACATTCCTCCACCAGAGCCACATGGCTATCACGTGATGGGCTGCATTCCAGCCAATAGGATCCATTCCCGTACTGTGTGATAATATGCTACCTGACAGGATGATGATACTTTCATTCCACTCTTTTTCAACCTACCCTAAACATTGCGGTAAGATCATTCGATCCGGCGTTTTGACACCGCATTAGATATGCAGTGAAACGCCGGATTTGCACCATTTTGAGCCGGATTCACAGCCATTGAACAGAATGCTCCCCCGAACCTAGATTTGTAAGCTTGTCTCAATTCCGAAAGGACATTTGTACAATAAGTATCACCAATATCGTCAGAGCGTACACGGCCGGAATAAACACTATAAATGTCCTAGGTAAAGGCTGGAGAATCGTTCGCTCGCGATGTACTCATTAAGGACGGGCGGAAGCTACCCGAAGCACCGCCTCCCCTGCTTCCCACGCCAGGCTACTAAACACCGCCACTAAACGTTTAGAAACAGCCTGTAAGGGCAGATTAAAAAGTCTCACTCAGGCATTATGCTACTATTTACCTGTGGGTAGTGGATTCATCCCCTGGCAAATATATTCGACCTCGCGGTAGCGGTATAAGGGTTGTCTACGGTGGAACGTTCTGGAGGCGAATAGGGAGAAGGGTAAGATACGATTGATATTAATTAGTTTAACCAGTACAAAAGGAGTGGACGGTTACCACAACTCGGCAACCAATAAAGCAATTCCGCGAATAAAGATCTCAAACAGTAAGCACCTCCTAGGTGCCGCTAAAGATAGGCCCGTATGCTGTTGACGAGGACAAGACCTGTTACTGTGTCTCTCAGCTACGCAGAGCTCAATAACAAGCGACGGAGGTAAGCGCACGGCTGTGGTAGCTTTGAAAAGCCCTTTAATCATCGAACTTGTGCTTGTCGTTGGAGACGGCGATACACTGTACCGTAGAATTCGCTTAGTATGAAATACAGACTAGGCATTAAACCAGAGGGAGCTCACCTTGTTGCCATTGCCGGGACAGCATGCGAAAGTTCCCTTGCACACAGCACCGTTATCTTCATGGGTATGGCAGAGGCCTTCGCCGCCTCCACCTAGGCCGAGGGTTCCCAGAACCCCATCAACGGTACCGACAAGGCTATCAACAAGATTTCCAAGCTGTCTCTTTTCGACCGACGGATCACCCCCAGGGTAGATGTTGATCTCCGAGCAACAAGCCAGGATTTGGGAGCCGCATTGCTGCGTGATATCGAGCGACTTAGGTGGATCACTTTGGCCAGGCATAGCAGCTGCGGCCACCGCGAAGGTAAGAAGTCCGATAGTTGTAAAACGCATCTTGATCACGTAGCTTTAGAAGCGGTAGAAAGAATGAATGGAGATATGATCTTGTGGAGGAAACTTTGGATTGAGAGGAACTGTAGTGAGAAAAAACCGGGAGAACAGGCACGCTTTATACCTCGTCTCACCCCACCATTCAGGAAATAACCGTCCTACCTCACTATGCTACCTTCTCAAGACTCCTTGACTCCATTCCGAATACTTTCTTCCTTCGCCCTTCGCTCGGACTATGATCCTTTATCCAAGCATCCAGGATTAGCCTCTGTTCGCATTCCTGGCAAGTGAAACTGGCAATCCATTCAAGGGTTCAAGGGCGTATTGATATCGGTAACTAAAACCCTGATAAAATCTATTCAAACGTTGCACCTCTATCACTGTGGCCTTGAGTTCCAGGAGTGCATTAGGAGATAGAATATTTTGGCTATATCCGTCTTTGCATTCTTGGTAACCTGGATGCTAACCCAAAGTCTGACGCGTTGTTGTCCATGAGAATGCGACTTATCAAATTATCTTGGAAATGAGATACCGGGATCTCAGCCTGATTAATCAAAATAAGGTGGTACCGGAAATATCATGCCCCTGGTTCCTGGTTAGCACTCTGCCCTCAGACATATTGCAAGCAAAAGAATGCCTGGTGCTTACGCAACCCCTAATTATAGCTAGACAAGCTCGATCAAATCATTGTCAGAAAACTCCTTTAGTATTTAAGTAGTGGATTTTCAGTCCGAAAGCAATCTCATACACATATAAGTGAGTTTTTTATTGCCTTCAATATTCTCCTAGCGATCTGTCCGGAATAGTAACGAGGGAAAAGGAGGTATATCCATTTTTGGAAGGGATCAATATAATGGGAGACAAGAATCCTTTACCACGCATCCTGCTGAGAGTGTGACAGAAGTTTCCTGGAAATGATCGAGTTACATTCTTATAGAGTAACGGCATGGGACTGTAACTCTGCGTTGGACTTCCGCAGAATGCATAGCGGAGGTGACCAGAATACTCTACCCCGTTATACTGTATTGACACTTATAGCTTACGGAAAGGGAGAACATGGTGTAAATAGCTTATTTGACGGGTTTAAAAGCCGTAGTCACTTCACCCTAGAATGCTAGGACAGCACTATTCACGAAGAATGCGAAGGTCAACAAGGTCAATTCTGGATCACAGACCCAGTGTTCCTGATTTTAGGCAAGGGAGGGGAGGCAGATCATACAGAATAGCGTCAATTATTTGTAAAATTACCTATGAAGGATATATGTTAATGGTATCGTTTCGACTAGGGTGAGACGAGGTATAAAGCGTGCCTGTTCTCCCGGTTTTTTCTCACTACAGTTCCTCTCAATCCAAAGTTTCCTCCACAAGATCATATCTCCATTCATTCTTTCTACCGCTTCTAAAGCTACGTGATCAAGATGCGTTTTACAACTATCGGACTTCTTACCTTCGCGGTGGCCGCAGCTGCTATGCCTGGCCAAAGTGATCCACCTAAGTCGCTCGATATCACGCAGCAATGCGGCTCCCAAATCCTGGCTTGTTGCTCGGAGATCAACATCTACCCTGGGGGTGATCCGTCGGTCGAAAAGAGACAGCTTGGAAATCTTGTTGATAGCCTTGTCGGTACCGTTGATGGGGTTCTGGGAACCCTCGGCCTAGGTGGAGGCGGCGAAGGCCTCTGCCATACCCATGAAGATAACGGTGCTGTGTGCAAGGGAACTTTCGCATGCTGTCCCGGCAATGGCAACAAGGTGAGCTCCCTCTGGTTTAATGCCTAGTCTGTATTTCATACTAAGCGAATTCTACGGTACAGTGTATCGCCGTCTCCAACGACAAGCACAAGTTCGATGATTAAAGGGCTTTTCAAAGCTACCACAGCCGTGCGCTTACCTCCGTCGCTTGTTATTGAGCTCTGCGCAGCTGAGAGACACAGTAACAGGTCTTGTCCTCGTCAACAGCATACGGGCCTATCTTTAGCGGCACCTAGGAGGTGCTTACTGTTTGAGATCTTTATCCGCGGAATTGCTTTATTGGTTGCCGAGTTGTGGTAACCGTCCATTCCTTTTGTACTGGTTAAACTAATTAATATCAATCGTATCTTACCCTTCTCCTCATTTAACATAGGCATATCTATGCATAGTAGGCTATAACGACGTATAGTCGGATGGCTCCCTAAAAACTTTATGTGTATTGGAAAGCACCATGTACTCCTTGGTCGGGCTTTGGACGTAAGCCGGAAACCGTATTTTCAGCTTCTGAGGGTCTTGGCATTCTTCCTACAGTAGGTTAAGAAGCGGTTTCGGTCTGCTAATGTGTGACTATTGTTCCCACGGGTGCGCTACCTCGAAAACCTTTTTGAATGTCTTTTTCATGATTACCAAGAAACTTTGATTCACTCAAAGTCCGAATTGGTGAAGAGATGCTAACTAACGACTTACGTCCTTGAGCGAGGCCGTAAGATTCAACCCTGGAAAGATGAAAGCAAGCGCTATGTCCCTTCCCTGTCCCACGAGAGCAACTAAAGTACTTTACCTTACTGTCAAGTTAGTTCGGCGCTATGAAAATAGGATCGACGGGGTGGGGCCCATAGGCATTCCCGGCTAGGGCCCGAAATAGTATAGTCATTGAGACGCCACTGCTTATCGGGACGGATTCCTATTGGCTGGAGGGGATATCGTCAAATGAGAACCATGTGGCGTCTGCAAGACAGCCGATCAATCGATAGCCAATCAATTGGTCCATAGTGGCTTATCAACCCCTCGTTTAATTAAATCACTCAACCACACTGACCTATCTGCCCCTACTGAACCAACCACTCACTACCTACAGTATGGTCTGCATTGAGTTTCACGTCTAAGATCGTTACTTCGAAGCAGTCTCGTAAGCTTAATAATACTCATGTGATGGGATATCGGCAGACAAGTCCCAATCGTCGTTGAGTCATTGTATCCAAGGGCGCAATGTTCAAAAAAGTCACGCAAAACATGATCGCATAATAGTCGACCCATGCACAGTCATCTAGGGCTCATGCCCTGTACAGTTGTCGGCAGAAAGGAAATTATTCACTAGGTAACCTGGCAACAGCGTCATACCTAACCCTTCTGCGACGATCTCTAGTATACTCGACTATTCTAACATGGCGTTTCTGCTACCGTTGCAGCTATCCCTTACGCCGAAAATATCCTTCCTAGGTAAGAGGAAAAGCCATACTGATGCTTACTACATTCTTTGGGGTCTTAAGCAGTCTTCTTACTGAATTACACTTTGCGATGAGTCTCAGGTCAATGTTATATATAACATCCTTCACTGCAAAGATGACCACCACGGAAGAAGAAGGTTGACGGCACGGTAAGGTAATCTAAGCAGAGAAACCAACCAGACTAAAAAACCAAACAGCTGCACTTAATTAGATTGAACACGAGCGTTTGAACACCAGCGAAGTTCAAGGACATATTCAACTGCCTCTCGGTGATGTTAATATATGTAGGTTAAACTTGAGGAGCCATTTGCCCTGGAAAAGCCGGCTAGAGAGAAACTCAAATCGTATTAGCTCGAAAGTTCTGGGGTTATAACTGCATAATAGAAGCCGAGAGATCCTCTCTCGAGTTTCTATAGTATGACAGTGTCGAGCAGTTCTCTTTGTCCGCGCAGGACGACTCTGTAGCGCGGCTTATATGTTATTTGCTCAAGAACAATTTAGCAGTTCCAAGTGCCGTGGTATAAGCAATGTATCTTTCAAATCGAGACTAAACCATAACATCACCTACCTTCTCCTCTCGGTGAATCGTCATCTCTGGGCTGGTTTTCGCATGATAAAATGTTTAGATAACGATTTTGCCCGAACCTATGATACAGAGTAGATACTAACGTAGATTAATTTACAGGTACAGTCTTTTAAGCTCGAAAGGTCAATCTTAGAATAGCTAAAGCAAGGAGAAAGACAATATTGCTTGCTAGTGGTGTGGCAGTCCTCAGGATATACGATTATGAAATGCAGAGAATTGCACAGGAATATTTGCACTTCGGTATCGCGGATATACAGTTTCATTCTGCTTAAGTTCAATAGATAGATAGAATGCTGTTTTGCGAGCATTTACGACTCAGCTTGCGAGAACAGACAGAGTCGATAAATGTTTATAGTATGTAGTTCAAAAAAATTGAGGGTATTTTGAAGTGCGGGCTATTGGTAGCTATAGTTTCCATCCAATTACTTGGGGTCATTGCCAGTCCCTCACACTGCGCGATGGTATAGTAGAACACGTGAATGCTGTTATACGTCTTATTTCCTACGTCCAGTTACTAATTTAGCACTTCCTCGTGACTCAACACTGCAATAGATTGAGCAAGCGCTCCAGGTAGCGCAGCATCAATGAAAAAGTCATGTTAAAAGATATATAACGGCTGTTGGATAAGGATGTTGCATCAATATATAACATATGCCATAATACTAAAATGCCCTAGGATAAACACCGTAACCACAATCGATAGCTCGAAAGACGTCAGGAGAATACATCGTATTGATTTGCAGTCTTACACAATGGAAAAATCTCAACAATCGATCAGAGAGCGGTAACAGCCGGAAGATTTCCTCAGCAGATGACTTTTGCCAATCGTGGCAGTATCTTTTCAATATCAGATCAGAGCCCTAATAGAGCGAAAGCATCATATCAGAAACCCATTCATTTCAGATTTACCCCTTAACCTTTAGGTCACATAAAAGGGGGTTGATGTTATGAGGCCTGCCTTCATCCGGAGTGTTTAGCGACTGAACTAGCGACAGACTAGGCGCTTTGATCTCATACCCACTGCGCTTGAAAGAGCTCTTTCGGGACTTGTTGATTTGATCATGAAAGCACATATAACATTCTCTTTTTAATACTTACATATTTTGACTATACCAGGGCTCTATTACCTTTTGACCGGTTAAGCCAAGGGCCTAATACTTCAAGCACACAGTATCAAAATTTCTACCGGATTCCTGGTAATGGAGCAATATACGTGCCTAGAATTTTCCAATGGAATTCGGTAGTGTCATTCAATGGATGAGAATGGGATAAAATAAGCCAAAGAATGATTTTCGATAAGCAAGCTGTAGTTCATTCTTCCACGTAAGTCGCCCTTCGTTTATCCCCTTACGGAGCATCTCCGTCAAGGACGTTTGAGGGGGTGGAATTGGCTAGAAATATCTCACTTCATTTCACTGTAGCATATTAATGTCCCTTGCTAATCTTTGGATTGCGGGCGATCGGTAAGACAATAAATTAAAGTATGTACATAACTGTACTTCCTATAAATTGTCAATATTAGCGCAAGAATCCCTCCAAACTCCCATCTCCATCCCAAAATAACCTTGCCCACCACAAGATAGCATGGGCTTTTCCTACGGGATTTCATTAGGGCGACTGTCGCCCGGAGGAAACATGGTAAGTTAACTGAATATCGCCGATTTGATTATCAAAATGGAGATCTCCTGACGAAGTTCACAGCGATCAAGGGAGGCATTTACTATTTATCAAGACACGGAGTCATTGACTTCATCGTGTTCCCTTGAATCTTTGTCCATTTCTCCCACTACTCTCAGTCCACAGAGCCCTCACGTGGACAGCTTATGTGAAAGGACCTTGATTGATCCTATCCCAAGCCCACCCATTGCGACATCAAATTCGAACAGAAAGATGCATATACTGAGCTTGCGGCGCACGGTCAGCTTTGGTGCATTTCTCGACACTTCCGATAGAAATTTATGTCATTCCACCGCATTGCATACGAGTTTGAGCAATCTCAGCGTGCATTCATCCATCGTTGAACAGCTCGATACCGAGAAGCATTCTGCAGAGGTGAAAGGGCACAATCCGAAGTTTCGAACAATGAGCCTGTCATATAACAAGGTGATTGTGTTTATTCGTCGCCTCCTGAATAAACCCAGGCAAGACCAGTCTTTCTGAATATATGGTGATACGATTTGGATTTTAGGGATATTCTTACCCAATGGAAGAGTTATTGTCGGGGAGATTTCAAATCAGTGAACATTCTCACTAAATGTGTAACTGCATCCAATCAATATTAGCTCTATATGAAAATGTTTCATATCTCGCGAAAGCGGAATATGGGTGGGCGGGTATCAAATTTTATAGAATGAGAATTTTTGAACAGCGGGGCCAGTGCAATTTGTAGAGGAAGTAATTACTGTAATGCAATCGCTTGTTATAGCACGATTTTCAACATGAACGGAACTATGCACGATATCTAATTCCTTGACTGGGGATCCCCCGCAACAGAACCACAGAGCGCGGCGAATATAAAATCAGGCTATAGTACTAGAAGCATAGTTTATGCATTTCCAAGAAAAAGGTGGAGGGAGAACAGAAAATCTAACCTAACCGGTGACTCACAAATTTCATCTCAGAGCTGCTCCTTGTTAAAACTAGCCTTATATACAGATAGTGGTATTAGACTGGATATATACGTGAATGCACCTCTATATTGGATATTGCACTATTCACCTCATATTCAGTTAGGAATGATCATATGTATGTATTCTATCCTGGTTGCGAGAGCGGAAGGGTAGGCGGAAAGGGAACCTATTGGCCGGAAGAGCTACCGCTACATTTAACCCCCTAGATGGAAGGATGCTGTAGAAAATATACCCTGTGTTCCAGCTATTGTGAAGTAGCTAGGGGTACAAATAAGGAGGAAACGATGATGTTAAATTTAGAGTCAGAAAAAATACGAGTAGTCATAAAGTAACGATGAACATCTTTTGTTCTAGCTAGGCTTATACTCTGCGCGGTCTAAGACCGTCAAGGAGACACATTCTTGCGACGTACATATTCACTCGCTCATTACAGCCAGTTCTGGATCAAAGAGTCCACATTAGGTACTCCAAACAGGTTCATCGTTAAATCAACTATTGGTTTTAACCAGACCTATGCTATTTGCGGCTAACCCCTACAAAGAAAAAGCATATTCCTATGTTAGGGTTAGATTTCCAGAATGATGTCAAATCGACGTTTATATAAACTTGAAAAATCAGTTAATACTATCCGTAAAGTTCACATGGCATGACCGAAGGAGGGATAAGCATTTACCTCACAGCTTCATAAACAGGGACCTAGCTTTGTATCAAGTTGAATGTATATAATTTACCTCATTTGGATATATTTGCCATTATAGCGATATATTACTCTTCCTCCCGTGCCATTTTAATATCTCTTGCTTTCCGAATCTGCTTGTTTGATGCTGTACTAATTCTTTTTAGCCAAAGCGTAATTCACCTGAGTGATCCCGTCCCATCAGAGTCTTCGGTTACTTGCACAGGAGTACAGTACTCTAAGATCCCACATTCCAGCTACTATGATACTATTTTAACACTAGTCAAGGGAGTTTCTATCATTTAACATACCAGGATGATCGCGTAAACAACAACATACTTATGCTATCCATGGTGGGGCATAAAGAGTTGACTAACGCGACCAAAACCGACTGCACGCATTGCGAGAACTTGTCAGGCCCTTTCTTGTTTCACTCATGAGAGCTACGCGCTATTCCGTTTTCTAATGTGTTCATCATGAGTGCTATGTCCCAAACAAGAGTCGCCAACGCTAATGCTCGGGAGGCTTATGCAACACCGTTGAGTGCCGCCGATGATGGACTCTATCATCCAGCAAAATATTCGCATGGAGCGGATACTATTTATCAGGGTGCGCAGACTAACCAAGCCCCTACCACCTTACAGGTAGCGCCTTTGGTTACAAATGCAATAGTGACAAGTACGCCACAGTCACCAGCGTGGGATACAGCTAGACTCGCCGAGACCGGAATTCCGGGCTCTACAGAGAAGCTAGCCATGGCGACAGATATTTTTCAGAGTTCCTCAATTACTCTACCAAATGGAGCCCCATCAGCAACCACGTTCGACTTTCCAGTCACGTCTACAACATCGGTGGCGAACAATCTACCACAACGGAAAGAATCAGCACTCAAAGAATCTCGCGTTTACCATCTGTTGGTTATTTTTCTTGTTGCCTCTCTCATAATACTCATGATTATGGGTTGGTTCAAGCGACAGGCCGAGCGAGAGAAACCTATACTTATAACATACCAACAGCCTACCATTAACCCGACCGTTCCGAAGCAACACTTTGCGGCAGCCCTCTCTCAATCCAAAGGTCTTACGACGGGTTTCCTGGCAATGAGTGCTGAAGCGATTAGTGCAATCTAAGCTTCCCTTTCCTCGGCGAAATCAAACTCTAAAACGTGTCTTAACTCTAGTGCTACAACGTTTCAGACAAGGCGTTCATTAATAGAGAGGTTTCTTGAACAAAAGATCCGGATTACTATGCGCATGGTCAGGAAAATTTCTAATTTTCGTCGCTGGATTTCCGATCCACTAGGGAGACACAGGGATGATGATAAAAGCTTGTTGAGAAGGACGAGGACATAACAGCAAGGTTATCATCCCTTAAAGAGGAATCCAAGAGGCTCGCCACGTGATAGCGTCGACGAACAGACTCATTCGGATATAAGCCACAGAGTCGCGAGAAAAATTCGGCCCCCACCGCCAGCAATAATTGTCGAGCGGACTCGTCGCAATAATAAAAGTGGATTGAAAATCAACGTACCTCGCAGGCCAATATCACCAGATACAGACTACTTAGAGGATGTCTGTGCAGCAAGCGAGAGTTCCGATACGTTAAGAGGATCAGAGACCAAATCCCTGCAAACGATTGACGAGTGCCACGGAAGCGGCCAGTCACCGAGTGTGGGACTACTAAGATTGAACGTATATCGTATCGAGATGGAGTTCCTCCCACGCCCAAATACTCAGCTAGGGGTGAACCAGGGAGATGAGGTTGTCCTGACTCGTGTTTTTGATGACGGTTGGGTAGGTTGGCATTCGAGCCCGTATTTGAAGCTTTAAGCTGATTAACCTCTGCAGGCATTTTGTGAACTGTTACGTACAAAGAAGCAGGGGCTTGTGCCCCGTGCGTGTCTCTCCGTGTGGCTCTCTCGGCGCAACAATACCCCACCTAGCGTGACATGTGTGCAGCTAGTCCCTTCAGCGGCAAATAGTCACACAAATTCGCGACCCACTACACCTGTTTCGCCACTTTCATCTAGTTCCCCGGTTTTCCCTCGATTTTACAGCTGTGGCTCCTCGACAGAAAGTCTGTCTTAGAGCGTGTGTTCCAGGTGCAAGCTTCAACCCATGCATTCGGAGAGAGACTTGGGAAATTACTGGATTGTGGGATATATTGGGTTGCGACCAGGGGCTGCCAGCATTGCGATTACTTTTTGTGTGAATATTAATACGCATGTAGGCTAATTTAAAGCGTAAAGAATCTCGACTTGGAGCTATTTCTTGGATAAATTCGTTTTGATATCTTTAATTCCACTGGGGACGGGGGTATTCTATCAACGAGGAATTATATGCGAAGGTAACCTCCTAGCATATTATTTCAATCTGTTATAGAATCAAAGTATAGAATGTCTCTGTTGGTAAGTATCTCGATGGACCACACTTCGATATATATGTCAAAAGTTGACTACGTCGTCAGCATGACATTCTGCGGATTTATCTCTCCAGGAAACGTCGGCGACCAACATGTATTTTCAAGATCTTCGCTAGATTAGTAGTTTTGTGAGCATGATTTTCATTACATACATGTTCATGATACGGAAGTTTCAAAAAAAATTGCTCAATAATTTTGCATCAGACCAGCACTGATTTTGGTTTTGATTAGGCTACTCGAAATAGTGACACCCGACCGCTTAGGCTATCCTGGGAGCTTAGTTGTATTTCGAATCACTCCGAGCGCACCCACCGATTCACTGACCTTCGATCTCCTTCCCTTCACATTCAACATCTACATCATTTAATATCCCTCTCTCCATTCCTTGGAAACCTATTTTATATACTCATAATCTATATTAGAGTTCACCAAATTTTTGCTTTAGGTGACAGGGGAGGAGCTGTTATTCTTAACCATAAGGCTTTACTTTATTTGGATATAGAGTGCCTCATAATGTAGGATGCGGCGTAGGAAGTATCACTAATAGTAGAGAAATCCCTGACAGTGTACTGTACGTGTTTGTGATGACCCTTGATCGCTACCGCTACCCCACATCTTGGCGCAAAAAATGTTTCGAGCGCTTCCCCTTTGGTATATCAATACGAGTCGAAGAGTTCCTAAAGTCCGAGGTCACTTCCTATAGGATCACTGGATTATCTAGGGGCAAAATCTAGACCTAGCTGTAAGTCTGCCTTCAGCGAAGTGTGCATATCTCCATAGATCCAGTACGCGTGAGCTCATAATTTGAATCCTAGAGGGGCTTGCATTTCCATGACTCATGCTAGCGCCGGTTTCACTCAAGGACTACAGCGGTCCACGCGCATCAACATATCTGGTTCTCAAGCTATTTTACCGATTGGTCAGTTCTCCTGCTACACTCGTAAAGGTCCAGAAGAGAAGTCCATTAATCTTGTTTTTGCCTATCTATCACAAGAGGAGATCTCATTTAACAAAAGACATTTTGCCTCTGTCTCAGTTTATCAGGGCGCCACATGGTATCCGTGCACCGTAGGCGAAAAATGATTTGATACAACTCGTGTGGGAGATCAAATTGGCCTGGTAGATGGAGAATGATGTCCAATTTTCAATTTCCATTATGGCCCGTATCTCTTTTGATCGATGTTAGGGCGCCCCAGGCCCCCTTACCTCCACACCCGCAATACTTTGTATTAAATACAGCAACGTACAGCTTGTTAGCCTGTCGGAAGTTCAACAGGAAGGAATTCGATCGCTCACGAAAATACTGAGCTCAGTATATAGCCGAAGTCTATGATAATGCATTGTTATGGAATTTGAAATTATAGTTACTGTAACAGCTCAAATTTTGCTCTTATCTCATTCCGATCGCTTCAATAAGACAACCTATGATCTTGAGGCAAAGGTTTAGAAAGGCCTAAGTACTTGAAATTCATTACGAATTTAACGGATAGAAGACGTGAATGAATGAATGAACCATGTCGGGCAATGATGCGATTTCATCATTTCCGCGCTCGAAAATTACCAGGGGGTGAATGGCATACGTCTTCAACTGGCAAGAAAATGCATAGCTATCAGACACCCTTATCATTAGCTATTGGAAATATTCTGAGTGCAATTACTACTTTGTAAGACCGATTCCTGTTCGGTCTCAAACTTCAGTGTCGTAAATGACAGACTCAAGAACAAATGAATAGGTCATAGTAAGAGATGAAGAGCACAGAGGCTCATTGGCCTTTCTGAATCTCATGGACAGGAGAGTTTTGTGACTCATGTTGCGCTAAGATATTATTGCAGATCAGCCATGCTTTCTTTGCGGAGGTGTCACTGTTGGACATGAATTTGAGCCAGCGCAAAGCTTTTTGAACCTGCACGAGAACGCTTCTCTCCTCGCTAGATTGACCTTCAGAGTGCAAAAAGAGTTCGATCATAAGGACAGTAATAGACATCATGATATAATGTAGCACCAGCCAACATGGGGTGGTACCATAGAGCCAGGCGAGATCGACTGTGGATGGCAGAAGGTCTAGCATTTCGCAAGCTGCTCGCACGCAGAGCTTTGCCGCAGCTTGATGGAAAGATTGCGGAGGATGTGGCCTAGTTGAATCATAGGCAAGATAATGCAAACATGGCTTGTTGACGACGATCCTTGCAGCATAGAAGCGAAACCCAAGACTTACAGTCTGAGGTGAGCAAGACCGCACATTATGGGTCGTGGTGAAATTGAACTCTTGCGGAAGGTGTAAAAGCCATTGATTCATTGAATCATTAAAGCTTGAGATGGTAATCTCAAGATCCGGAGAAGATATATGAGGCGGCTGTGGAGAGTACAAGATTCCGATAACCTTGTGTGTCAGGTGCGACAAGTCCACGGTATGAACAAAGAACAGGGAGATCTTAGGGGTCATAGAAGTCTTGGAAGTCACAGAAGTTGCCGAAGTCGTAGTAGCTCCATACTTGGTTACTTCTTGTGTAACTCGTTCATCTGAATTCGCCTTACGCGACTCAGAACCAGCTATTTGATCGCCGCCTGCTAGCCTTGGACCTGTTATATGGTCGGATATACCGGTGAAAAAAAGAAATGGTCTCAAAAGTTGGTTACGTGCGTAAACATCAGCGTGAAGGTGCCTTATAGCGTTGTCCGCTAGGTCCTCTTCACGATAAGGCATCGGTATCGGCGTGGTACAGAAACGTGTGTCGGTCTTGGGTGGGCGACCAGTGATCGCCTGCAACGAGGAGTCCATCACGAAGAGCGTCCACCACACGCGATAGCGAATCTCTCTTGTCGAGAATTGGACTTCAATTGACGAATTACGGAGATGAAGCCCCATTGCCACTGCAGATTGAATAGCTGTGCCAAGCATTCGCCCTGCCCTAGTATCGAGATATTAGTTCACAAACACATTTTATCAGTGACAATCACAGCAAAATAACGAGGTACTAACCTATTGATCTCCGCTATGCTCAGGAGATAGAATGCTGCAAGACCTTCCACTTGCACCTGTTGTAGATCTGGAGAGTCCCTCAAGGCGACGTGATCAATGCCTAATTGCCATGCGCGTGAAAAGTAGATACCGTGGTGTCCTGTGCTCTTTCCATGATAGGTTCTTGCTAATGGGGAGATCTTCGCAGCAATGGCAAGCACAAGATTCAATAGAGCCATCCACCGCCTTCCAGGCCTGGCGTTAGGACTCGAGAAGTAGGATTGATATTGCCAACAGAACGTTAGCTTTCCAATCACTGGAAATTCGGGATGAATAGTTCGAAGATAATAGTTAACAAGTTGATCTGCCTCTTCTCTGGGTGGTCGAGTCCATTGAAAACCGTCTTCAAGGGTCTCGAGCTTGGCCTCGTCTTGAAAATAGTTCATCGCGGAGATTGACGGCGGGTAGGTTTCGTCCCCCGGCCCGAGACCGGATTTCATGGCAAGGTACCGCGTAAGTTCAAAAAGCCATGCTATTGCAGAGTGTTCGCCAATAAAGCCCATCGCTTGCAGGCGTTGGCTACTATTGAAATCTTCGTCTGTATGACCCTTGATTGTAAATGAGATATCGACGCTTCCGATTTTAGTGTCGTACGTTGTAGTCCTAAGACATGAATTGACTGGACTGGCAGACCGAGCCTTTGAATACACTGTGGGTTCCACTTCGATTCCTAGGTCATTAAAGACATGTTGGACTTTTTGCGCGGACGAAATGTCAAGTCCCGGGTATATCTCATAAACTAGATCTCGGTAAAGCTGATTCTGGGCAGACAATTCTGCTATTTTCCTATGGAGTCCGTTTAGAGGCATACAATGTCTCTGTTAGTGATGGAGGCCTCCACCTACCGATCCAAAACATCCCGGCTGCGAAGCCCGTAGATACAATCGACTCCCTTTTCCTCACACCGTTGGCACGGCTGGCGTCCGGTGCACTTAGCTTTCTGCTCTCGGCAGTGGCTACACGCTTGCCTAGCTCTGAGCTTGCCCGGGGCTTCGGCGTGAGCCGCTCGGGGAATGGGGACTTTGGGATTTACGATAGAGTTGCCGACTCGACGAAGGAATCCCGTTTGACTGCCCGCAGGTCGGTAAGGGAACTTAGGTAGCGCCGATGAGTGGGAGCCGGCTGGCGCTGATGTAAACTGCGGGGTGATTTGGAACAACGGGGAGTCGAGCAGTTCCTGGGAGGGTTCCTGACTCGCCATACTTGTATCTGAAATAAGTGGCGGGAAGGCTGCACCCGGTACAGCCAAACCTCCATTCGATTTTCACAGGTCCGTTCAGCTTTCGCGATGACATGAAGTTTTTTGAGCTCTCTGTGTTTTCTTCGAGGCATCAAGCTAATCTATAAGTACTTACCAAACAAGGGAGCCGTAACAAATGCACAGCAAAAGTACTAGAGAATAGAAAAGAGAATAAAGCTGCAGCAGGATGATCGAACATGCCTCTCATCATGAAGTTGGTATGCACCCTAGCGCTGAAAAATCGACATTTCTCCAGTAACGTCCAGGGGCTCCCTAGTTACGTCCGCCGTGTTTACTATTTGATCCAAGGGATATATGGGAGCGCAGAGGGGCTTATTTCCGATATTCTTGTTTCCTGTAGTTAGCTATCATGATAGACAACAAGAAGCTTTTCCTTCTTGCCGGCGCATTCAATTGATTCTAGGGAGCCGTGGGGTCACGCGTCAGACACCATATGGTCGACTTTTGTCTATATCCTGCCAGTTGGTCTCTATAGAACAGCTGCGATCTGACGGACACAGGTGTAAGTTATTCGAGGCATTGAAACCCTCCGCTTATTGTGACCTCGAAACTTTCACAAGTTTGCATTTTAATGTCGATTTTCAAAATCCACAGACACACACTAGTCAAACTATGCCACTATTTAGTCTAATTTCATGCTGGATGAGTCCATTTCGTTCAGTGAGAGTCTGTGCGTGGCGCTCACAGTAAGATAGAAGTCTGAGGCCTGAGACTCACTAAATTGATCCGTGAAGGCTAATGTTCTGGTGCAGTAATTACTTTTGCAAACGGTTGGTCATCGCGTAGAGTAATATTTCCACGTAATATTAAGGTACGGCCTCTACAAGTAAGTGGTAGACGGTCTTATGAATACACAGGATTCTATTAATCGCCACTAGGCTTCCTAGATAAGATGCGTCCCCTCTAGGGCCAGGGGCTTCAAAAAGTACCAAGTCTCTGGAACCTGAACAGAAGAGCTGGAACAACACTTGACATCTGACCTTAAGTAGGTCTCAATGCCGTGAGAAAGCTAACAGCATGGACTACATAGCTCGGGCCTACTTCAAAAATGGATAGTAGGCAAGTATCGAGACAATGAATATCGAATGATACGGAATGGTAGGTAATCTGGGATGGAGAAAGTGCCCCCAAAGTAAGTATCGAGGTCGGAGCTTCTCGGTAGTAAAGTGGACAGGACCAACAGCGTTTTTCCCTTTACGGAAGGTAGCGTTCTTTTGACACAGATGACACACACCATCGAGTCGCCTTTGTCAACCTAAGCCTTCGGCTACATTATCCAACCAATAGGAATTCCTCCTGCACCGATGACGGGATTTGAATTGCGCTGCAACCTTTTCTCAGCCGCAAGGGACCGTAATGCCAAGCATTTATCACACGCTATACTAACTTTGGAAAGAGACAGAAAGCTCTTACCCGTGGCTTTGATCAGCTTGATTCGCCTTTCTCCACCCAAATCGCCGGCTAAATCATCCAACTAATAACAATTCCTCCCGTACCGAAGACGGGATTTGGACCATGTTGCCTTACTATCATACAGTATACAGCCTTTGGCAGGAGACGCAAAGGCCCTTGCGTTTTGTCATTGCGTGACAGATAAATTTCACCTGACCTCAAAACAAAGAGTGGCTCTGCTAAAGGTAGGGGATATTCTGTATCTCAATTGCTAACCATGCGTCTAGACCGTTATAAAAAGAATTGAGGACAAATCCGTGGAATATAGCGGACGATCCAGAATTTGCATTATATTAACAAAATATTTCTTCCCAACGCTAAAGGAAACCATGCCAACAACGTTCCTGAGGTGCGGTCACATGACTACAACGTCGTTTGCGATGTTTCGGGAGTCGATTATTTCGGGAACTTGGGCAGATCCATTGAACGCGATTAACACCTGACTAGGAAAGATTCCATTTCTTAATCAGCCGTGGCAAAAACTGGATAAATCTCAATGGTGGCAATGAATTCAACGGAACATAGTCATAGCAAACTAGCCAAAATATTAAACCCGGGTCGCAAAGTAAGCTCTTTCATCCAACGGGCCATCTATCCACCCGCTCACTGCATCAAAATTCTCTGGCACAACATGGCAAATTTGTTTAGCGTAAAAGAGTAGAACTCTGTATACAAACATGTAATCAAACTTGGATAACAGAAACCTTTGCTGGCTCCTTAAAGCGCCCGTTCACCGGAGCAAATTGTCCCCCATTTGTCCCAATAAAGACTTTACTTCCCCTCCTATCTAGTACACAACAGGTTGGTCCAGCGAGGGCCGTTGAATTTCCGGCTCCAAAAACCTCAAGAATCTTTCCTTCGGTGGTAAGTTTCAGTACCTGATTTTCGGTGCTGGCTGCCAGATAAACAATTCCGTCTTGGGATATATCCAGATTGTCAACTCCAGACTTGTTTATGACCAATTCGGAGGGGCCGGTCGCACTTGCAGTTTCGCTAAGAGGTATCCGACGTAACTGGCCTTTGGTGACACTCGCATAGTAGAGATATCTATCAAATACCTTGATCCCATTCACCCCCATAGCCGGGCCACCAGTGATGGGAAGCATCGATTCTTCGGAAAGGGCCGGGCTGTAACGTGATGTTCGCAAATCTAGCTTCCATATTATTCCCCTGGGACTTTCGGAAAGGAGAAGGTACGAAGACACTCTGCTTCTAAACAAGGTAGAGGCTCCAAGCGCCTTGGCCTCGACAATGTCAACCAATCTGGTAACCGTGGGGACTCTTTGCGTGCCTTGGCAGTCAGATATAGTTTCGTTGTGATGCTGAGATGTAAAATCGATTTTCCAGACGCTAAATGAGCCTGGAACGGCAGAGAATGTCTTCACGTCAAATCCACCAGTCACTACTGTGAAAACATCTTTGGTGACTTCTGTGATACCAAAACAGCTAGAAATTCCAGCGTCTTCACCACGAAAATCGAATATAAGCCACGCTGTACCTTTTCGCGGATCAATCGACCACACCTCAGGAACGTCGATGCGAGTCACCAAGACAATGCCATTATGTCGGAGTACAATATTGTCAACAAAGGAACCGTTGGCAGAGAATTGATAGAGGTTGCTGATGTGGTCATGCAGAGTAGTCGAGGCTTGATAGGATGAATCAGCCGAAACAGCCTGCGCGCGCGAAATAACGAATGGCATTAGAGCGACAAGAAGGCAGTAACCGGTCAAATTCATGATGGTATATAATCGTGAGTTTTGAAGTATCCAGATGGGCGGTGGTAGGTCCGGCGAGAAGTTCACGGTGTTGCAGCTTTCTATATGACGCCTTGAATTCACGCAAGCATGCCATGCCCAAAAGTGCTCCAAAATAGGAACATTCTTTGATATGTGAGATCATTTTGTTACATCCATTCAGGAGGGGGCTTTCGGGCCAATAAGGCATGCAAGCAGACGTGAAGGAATGTTTGCATAAAGGTAGAAGCTGTGTTTGAAAAGGTACATTGACTCAGGGAAATCTCAACAATGACGCAGATCCAGCTCCCCCTGACTTCTTGAGCTAAACCTGTCAAGCGTGGCCTATTGGACATAGTCTGTTTGTACGATAATGGATCTCATAGCGCAGAAAGACTTGTGGAACCGGTTTGAAGTACTTTGGCCACTCGCACTATGACCATCACAGCTGTGGTCTTGGTGTAATGTGGCCTGGGCCAAACACTTGCGATTTCAGGGTAAAATTCCAAGCCTCGGCATGATTTGGGTCAACATAGCCGCGTGCCTCAGAGATCTAGCCAAGCGAGTATACAACCGTCGTTTTGAACAAGGGCGTACTGGTTGGAGATATTTGGCGAGTAATGTTGGATCCAAAAATCCTGATTTCTGTGAGAGGACATTCCAGTGGCCAGCTAAATACAGACATGTAACTATCATATGGCCATTGCAGCAGGCCCAAACCTCGCAACAAAGGCATCAACCGGGGTGATCTACGCTGCATCGGAGAAAGTGGGCGCTAGGGTCAAATTGGAAGGACAAGGGAGATGGCAAAGATGAAAAAGCAAATGGAGAGGAACAAGCACTTTATAGGCTTTGGTCTGAAATAGGAGGTTTACCGAGTTCCCTTCTGCGGAAAGTGCGGGAGGTGATTTGCTCTAGAAGCACCTGGCACTCCGTTTACTCAATACTTCTAATTCAAATGAGAACTTCCATTCCTAGAAAATTTTCAACGCAATTTAACGTAGAAACCTTCACGGACTGCATCCGTGCCGGTGACTGCAGATGGTATAATTAATGAATCTCGAATTAAACTTTTTCGCCCATTGCCGACACGTGGTGGTCATTTGATGGGTCCTCAGCCATCCAATCGGATCCACCTCCGAAAAGCGGCGGGGTTATCTGCAGCAAAAGGGCGATGACCATTCCGAACGATAAATTCCTGGACCCGATGAACGCAAGGACGAACCACGGGCTTGGTTGTGTCTAATAATCGTAAGGAGAGGATGATCGACGCATATTGAGAAGGGAAAGGCACGATGACTCGTCGATTATTTCAGGTAGAAATAACGCATTTTCGCATGAATCTGGATTCAAAATATGTCTTTTAGACCACCAAGCGGAATCAGGGGTATTCTGAGTATCGCAAACTATCCGTCCCCGCTTTCTCCCAGGTCTACTAGATGTAGTTTGTGGGTGCTTTATCCCAGAGCACGTTTATGGCGGGGACACTCGGTCCATCGCGCCATGGAACAACATGATGTTATGTCCGACAGGTGTTTCGTGAAGGGGGTAATGCCTCTAGGAAGGAGCTAGCAGTCTTGTCCAATCAAGGGAGATTTCTAAGGGATACGCTTAAGAGATAGAGATACTCGTACCGTGACGATAGCGCAGGATATAATGTCGATTGTACGTCGGCCATGGCAGATGACATTCATCATGGGCTACTAGTAAAAGTATGGATATAGACCTGATCGTGAATCTCATACACTTTTCAAGTTTATTCGGATCCACCTGTTAAGTCACAAGAAATGAACTTGGTTTTGAAATAAACCATACAGTGCTTATGTAAAATCGAAGAATTGGTGCCATGGATCTGCTAATGCTTTCAACATTCGTTTTAGATAGTATTATCATCTAGAAATTGGCGTCGATCGAAAGAACACGACCCATTGAACCCATCCGTGTCGTAACTCCCTTTCCAATCAAGAATCACGGTCATGGTCCCAATGCCGTTTGCAAAAGCTGCATCAAATACCAGTCAGAATTGCGGCTTTAGAGCTTGCATTGAAGCTTGTGGTCACGGCAGTATCACTAAGGTAGGGTAGACCTGTTATAGTCAAGTGGCTGAGCCTCTCCTCAAACTTGGCCCGCATCTACGTAACGGTCATACATTCCGACAGAACCAGGCCAAATGTGGTGACCAGGCTCAGCGACCTTACTGTGACAGGGCAACCTACCCCAGAACCACTGTCGATGGGCTTTTGTGCACTCGCCGGATTTCTGGGCACTGAAGATATCCCACAGCCGAAGATCCCGTAGGTAATAGAAAGTAAACTTTTTTTATATCAATGCATTCCATATTGTGTATTGGCTAGTCGTCTCATGCACAAACGCATTTCTCAGCCTAGAATACGTTTCTGGAGGTGCGCCTTTTCCAGTTCATATTGAATCTCAGTGTACGAAATTACTGCATGTATTGCAGTTGTTGATGTTGGGCCTTTATTCAAAAGAACCAATGCGCATGTAGAACGTCTGTATGCCATGAATGTAGCTAAGTATCAAATAGGTTTATCAAAGATGAACACTCGAATCCCAGCGAAGCTTTACGTACTTGTTCTTTAGAGTAACCAACTCATAGTTCTTTGGGAGGTCTCTGCAGTGACCAGCAAGCTTCCCATATTGGGTCAATATTAGTAATGAATTTGATTATGCTTGAAAATAAAGAAGACTAGACAGCCAACTTCTCGTCGGTGAGCGAAGAGATGGAAGAAAAAGTGTTCATCAAACCCGGAGATGGTTGTCTTTATACCTCTATTGATGACGCTAGACTGATTAAATGCTATTCGATATGAACGCGAGGGCGGATTGACCGGATCAATTCATACATTGCAAGAGTTATTAGATTCACCCTTGACTGCAGGCAAGGGAGGCCGACCAGACATTCAAGTCAACGAATTACAGCCATGGTGTTGTCGAATGTCCCCTGACAATGGCTCCCTTGTATATTGCGCACTCTCCTACCTGATCGCACCTCGTTAGTGCATGGAATCTTTGTCTCATAGATATTCCTAATGATAACGCTTTTCGTTATTGATGAATAGTCACGGTTTCCATGTTCACATACATGGCTCACATGCTCTTGGAGCTATAGTGGTAAGCCTACATGGTGTGATTAGCACAACACCCTGGTCCTAGCAGATTAAACACTTGGTAAGTTTGACCCTAGTTGGTGCAATTTGAGGCTTATAGGATCTGAGTCCATGTCAAAATCAATGGGTGTGGTAGAATCAGGGGAAATCCAACGTTGCGGATGCTACAGCAACGGTTATATTCGTCATATCGTATTTTTATGCAGGGAAGAAACGACAAACGTCTCATATAAATAATATGTTGGGTGCGGAGCAAGTTCTGTGTCGTTAATATGATATTGCCTATCACCAGAAACTGATTCGCACATGCATACAGTGACATGGACTATAAAAGAACACCAAAATGCATAGTACCCTTTGAAACAGAGTGCATTACATGTAGAAAAAATGCTTCCAACATAGCAGAGCTTCATTTATGAGGCTACTGGCAGTTTACCTTTGCAGATGGAAAGTCGCAGCACGTAAAGACATATTGCGTACGATCATGGAACAGTCCCGCATGTCGAAGACCACACCGAACCGAAGCAAGGTTTGCCATTCGTGAGATATGACCGACGATGTGTGTGAAGAGACATGTTAAACACACTTTCAAGCTGGAATAGCTAGGTAAGCCACTTCATAGATGGTGCAGATAGTGAACAAACCACGCCTTCAATATGAGCACTTATCGCATGATGTTCTATCCCGTACCATAGCAATCTCAATTTTAGTGCTGTGAGATAAATATCAGGAGCTAGGGCAACACAGTGCACGGAGTTGGAATGGTTACAAAACTGACAATAGTAAATTGTGAAAACAGCTGGAAATAAGAGGCAGCATTGGCGACACAATTAAAAAACTCCCAGTACCTTCTCCATCGCGATTTTTAACTTCGTTACATCGCAATCTAAGCTGTCGGAAACGCCTCAGCGGCCGACCGAGGCAGCTTCAAATTTTATGAAATCAATCACCATCATTCTAAACAAGCGTGGCTCTCCGAGTAAGCTTGTCCCATCAATGTATCTACAACTGTGAGGCTTAAAAAAGTATCAAAAAGGATAGCCAAATAGCGGCACTTCTTGGGAAACAGGCTCAACCGCTGCATTTTTCAGTCTTTTGGCTGCCAAAAGCATTGACATATTGCTTCTTCTCCATCAGGCTGGGTTCCGTACATCATTATCAAGGCAAATTTGTCTGCAAGTAGCACAATGACTTCACATTCTCCATAAAAGGCCTCATCGCATCAGCTCACTACTTCAACAAGATGGTATGCAAATGTCTTGGCAGGTATGCTTCAGTTCCGTTTGGCCATGGCAGGTTTGCGATTTGGAGTGATTTTAAGGACTCCTCGAACCTCTCGCTTCAGTCAATGCACGGGTCACCAACGGTCGCCAGGGTTTTTCATCCTCGATCTACCTGTCTGCTCTTCCCCATTCAGGTCACAAGGGATTACAACATGTTATCTGGAGGCCAGGATACAATGTAATATTTCCTAATAATTACTCCTAGCATGCGGACGCAAAGATACAAAGGACGCTAGAGACTGTAACAGTAGCTTTCGGGCAGATTTCCGATTGGTTGGAAGTCAGGTCAGTAAATGGTCATTCATTGCCCTGGCGACCTGGCTTAATCCACGCTGGCCAACTTACCGTCCGGACTTTTCATCCGCAAAGCTTTTGTCTTCATCTTGATTTGGATCTTCCATGACAAGGGCTGTACTATTGCTGTAGAGGACTAACCCTGGTAGGCCAATACGGTTCTCGTTTGTGCCGCCCATGGTTCCTGCTTTCTACTGCCACTTCCATTCGTTGCTGATGTATGGAACCTCCCGTGTAAGCTCACGCAGATCTCGAGGACATTCGATCCGGTGTAAATATGAGCGGCAGTCTATATTAC